AGAAATGGAAATTATGTTTATGACAATGTCGTGATTCACATTAAAGAAAAGTGTTAACAGCAAATTAAACTTAACGAGGAATCGCATGTTTCACTCTTTAAAATATGATTTAAATTTAGATTTTATGTTGTATTTATTTTAGAAAAAAAGCGATTTAAATTTTAATTTCCTTTCATCTTAATCTAATAATGAAAATTTAATAAATTAATTCAATTAAAGCAGAGTTTCGAGATTTGTGGAATATCTTATGAGATTCTCTTGTTCACTTTTTCCACTGAAGAACCCTCAATATTAAAAAAGTTATCAATCAAAAAACTTTCTTCATAAATCTAAGAAATCTCAAATCTTATCCAGTTCTTGTCTCATTAAATTTGATTAATTTTCTAATTTGATTCTTTTGACTTCAATTTCATGTAAATCTTCAGTTCGAAACTCAAAAATTTATTGACTATTAGCTTTGTTCTTGCTTCGCTGCTTCTCAAGCAATGTAAATTAAAATTTAATTAACTTTAACTCGCGGTGTGCCACAGTTTCATCTCATTAAAAATATTTAATTTCAAAACAAATGGGAGAAAACTTTACAATAAATTAAATGCCATTTTCCATTTTCGCTTCATCTCTTGTTACAATTTGCTTCTTGTTGTAAAAATAGTTTCAAATGTTCTTACCCCAAAACTCGAACTCGGTGAGTGAATGAAGTAAGAAGTTAAAGATTTATGAAGCAAAATAAATTATTACATCGCTTCTTAGTGCTTAAAGCGAGATTAATATGCAAGAATTAACAATTAAAATAATACTTAACTGTTCAAGCGAGACAGCGAAAAGCACCCGTCGAGTGCTGTTTAAGTCGGGAGAGAAAATTAAAAACAAACAAAAAGTCATAAATTTCCCAGCCAGATTGAAAATGTAGTTTTTATGTTTTCTTCACTTTTATAACAACGATGGTTGCTCGTACAAGTTTTCCCCGACTTCAACTAAAGGAATTCGGTGTCGTGCATTTCAAAACACTTTCTTACTGCATTTCTTCTCACATCAAGTCAAATAAGAATTTCCAAAGAATTTTCTCAACGAGATTTATGAATTTTTCTGATATAAAATCTCATCGTTCCACAACATCAAATAAGTTCCACATACACGCCTCATACATTAAATTTATTATAAAATTTTCTGCACTGTCTGAAACTTTTTTTTGCATGAAGGGCTATTAAACTTTCTGTAAAATTAAACATTAATTTATTACGACGACCTTTATTTTCTTTCACCAATTGTTATGAAGGGGAAGAATCTTTCAGATAATTTTCTCTTTGAATTTATTAAAAAATCAATAACTTGACTAAACCCTAAAGGAAGAAATTGTCACCTTCATTTTCTTCCACAAAAACTGAATTCATGAATCTTGATGTAAAAAAAAACTAAATAGAAGCTGTAATAAATGAAATTAATTTTGACCATTGACAGATGTTGTTAGGAGCGTTTTCCAAATCAACAAAGCATGAAAATTGCTTTTAAAGTGAGTTCATTGCTTTGACGATTGGTTGACAAAGCAAATAAACCCAATATCTAATTATTTTACCGAATAGCGGTTGAGTGACTTTGAACAAAATTAAATTCGTAAAAACAAAGATGATATCATTCTCTTGCTCCATTTCGATAGAGATATGCTCAAATCTTTTATAGCTTTCGTTGTTGAGATGAATGAACTTTGCCATTAACTTGAGTGCGTTTGAAGCGAGCAAGCAAAACAGGAAAAAGAATAATACAAGCATGAGATAAAAACCAATTACCCGAACGTTTCCTTTTTTTAGAAAAATGTGAAGATTCTTTCTCTCCGTCTCTCACTTTCTGTTTCTTTCTCTTTCTCTACGCATACCTTACAAAATCAAGGGCTGGGCCGAAATAGAAAGGATGAGAAATGTGAAGGAACTTTAGCAAAACACATAGGTCGACGAACGCAGATAAATTTTCATAGGCTTTCAACTCCTACGCCGAATCATATTCGTAGCATTTATTATAAGATTTAGAGTCGTCGTTGTAATCTTTGTTAATAAAAATCGACAAAGTTGATCGAATTTAAATTGCGGCTTTCATTTAAAACCATAAGTATGCAGGCAAAGGAATTCATAATTGAAGTTTTGAATATCTTAAATGAAATGAGATTCTATCTTTAATGACTGTTCATGTAATTTGATAGTTAAGTGGTTGCACATGAAACCTTTAACTATTATGCTCCATTATATTTACATATATACAATCTAATTTCGGTTGAAAGGATGAAGGGAATCTTAGTAGATATTTATGTGATTTACGAGCACATAAACATGATTCATGTTTAATGTTTGGAGTCGGCAAAACTGATTGTTGTTAAACTTAGACATAATGTCGTTGCCTCTTAGAAACTTAATAATTCCTTCGGTTATTGTTAATGCTGTCAGCTTCAATGCTATCGACAAGTTTATAGATGTCGTTGCCTTGTCAATATGTATAACTTTTATTAAATAAAAGAAATCAAGCCAATGAACTTACCCAATGGACGATTCGTAAATATTTATTATCGGCATAACAATTCAGCTTTTCATTGACAAATTGCTTCTCTTCATGATTAACGAATGTCAATAATTTTTGTGTTTATTAAATATTCACGAAACATAAATTAATGAATGGTACGACGAATGAATACAATTGATTGATGTCATTCTAAAAGTTTAGTGTCTATCGGCGAATGCCATTCTCATCAGATATATTATCACATTGAAAAATAATAATTAGTAAAACAAATAAAAAAAAGATTAAACAAAAAATTAGAATAAGGGAGTTTTGCAATTTACGATTAATTTTGTCTTGGGGAAATATTCAAATTGCTTCCGGGGTTCAAATTCAAACTTTAAACCCTTTTAGGGGATATTTTTTTAATGTTTGTTAACATAAACCGCAAAATTTTGTTCCCTTATGACAAAAGATCAATTATGAGTTAATAGTCTAATAAAAATATGTTATTTTCATGTTAATTATTAAGATGCTTATGAAAGCTTAACATAGGAAGGCGGTGAACACTTTTGACGAAGGAATTTGAGGATATAAAGCGGCACACAGGAAACTGCTGTTATCGCTGATACTTTGCTTAAGAAATCTGTGGTCCAAATGAATTCCCAATCTGTACAAGAGAACATAGTCAATAAATTTCTGCATGAAAAAGATTAAATTAAAATATTGTCTCACCAAAATATTGTCGAAAGAAGAACAGAGAGATGAGATAAAGAGCTAAGCTGAATAGTTCAGCTAAAACCATCAATCTAGGTAAGAAAAAGAACATAAATTTATGAAATCATTCTGAAGATTTCACTCTGTAACTCCTACCTGTGCCATGTTCTTATCGTCAATGCTACCATAATAAGCTCTGTAAGAATCAATGCTGTGAAGCTAATCGCCACAATGTGAATGAACTCATCTTCGAAAAGTATTAAAGCTCCATACATTATCACTCCGCCTGTGAAGGGTAATTTATCAGATTCTTATCAAAGCATTTACACTACGTATTTATTTAGGAAAGCCAACTCACCCTGACACAATGATATTAAGACCCACATGAAGAAAGTCTTATAACTTAAACTTCGACCTTTTGCTAAGTCTTTATAAAGTTCAGGAAATCTGAGTGCAACTTTCTCATTTATATCTTGATCCAAAACGAGTGAAAAAACTGGAAACATTGTGTAAATTGTAGCATAACCAACCATTAAGAATCCTTGATAAAGTGAAACTGATGACAAATAAAAAACGGCTGAGAAAATCGCTTGCATGGTGGAAATGATGAGTCCTCGATGAATAACGAATTGTGACAATTGTGCTGACCTTTTATATGAACGACGTCCATGAACTAAGAGAAGTTTAGCAATGAATTTGAATTGTGGGATGCTAAAATCACCAGCAAGTGACGCTTGCTTTCCTTCACGCCCTTCAATTCCAATTCCTGCATCAGATTGTTGAATCATACTGACATCGTTACCACCATCGCCAACAGCACACGTTCGCTTTCCGGTATGTTTCTGTATTAATCGCACAACTTCAGCTTTCTGTGTTGGACTACAGCGACAACAGACAACAGCCGGACAGCTTGTAGCAAGCTCCATAAACTCATATTGATAATATTGGAGACAAACTTCAAGACTTTCACCCGACACAACAAGTGCGCAATCTTGTTTTCTTCGAAATTGATTTAATTCAAGATGTGCATCGGTTCTAGTTTGAATACTTTTAAGAACATGCAAACCCTGATTTCGTCCGACGAGATGTGAACTTTTAGCAATGCATGTTGCTGTTTCCAGCTTATCACCAGTCAACATCCAAATTCTTACACCAGCGTTTCTAATCACTTCTAATGTTGGCCTTACTTGATCTTGTAAGCGATCTTCAACACCTGTCAAACACAATAATTCCATTTCACGTTCAAGCGACTCTATGACAGTTGCAACACGTTGAATTCTATCAGTGATACTTAATCGAGCTGCATTATATTTCGACTCAAAGTCATGATATTGTTCAACTGTTAATGTCTTCTTTGCAACGACCAGCGTTCTCAAACCTTCACGAGCCATATTTCCACTCTCTTCATTCAACCAATCATTATATTGAACAATTGTGTTCATAACAACATCAGCGCCTTTCAAATAAAATGTTATTTCACCATTTACTGTATCTTGAACGATAATTCCCATTCGTTTACTTTCACTTGTGAATGGAAAAATTTGAAGGATTTGAAATTTTAAGAATTTCTCATGTGACAATGAACCGACGACATTTACACTCATATCAGTTGAAGTTGTTGTGATTGATTGATTATCATCTTGTGATTGTCTTACAACACCCGTCAATTGAAGTGTTATTGTTGCTAAATCACGTTTAACTAGAGCCAAACCAACTTGTTCTGTCCATTTTACTAAAGCAATTTCGTCAGGTGATGAAGCTTGATAAGTTCGCTCTGTTTGAATTTCCACAGAAATTGATTTTGCAACTGATTGCGCATCATTTTCATCGTATACAGGTGTGACGTTATGACAAAGTGCAAGTGCTTTGACTGCTTCCCATACACGCCAACCTTCAGGTCGTCGCATTACATTCGTACTGAAAACCGAGCCAGATGGCGATGGAGATTGATCGTTGTGGATATTCGAGCTGAGTGCTTGAATTGTTGATGCAACAAGTTCAAACGAATCGTTTCCATATGCAACTGTTCCAAGATGAATCTTTTTAAAAACCATTTCGTTTTGTGTTAATGTTCCAGTTTTATCTGTGAGAAGATATGAAATTCGTCCAAGTTCTTCTGGAATTGTCGTCGATCTAACAACAGTTCCTGTCACTTCGGGATCATTTTGCATTTGCCATGAGTAAAATGCTTTTCCCATGTCAAGATTAACTCGCAAGCTGATTGGAATAATATAAGAGAAGAGAAGGACAAAACGGAACATGTAACGATACCAAGGACCACTGAATCCTTTCAAACACATCATTACGAATGCAAGTCCAACAACAGCACAAAAAAGAACTTTTGTCAATCCATTAATTTCCATATCGAGTAATCCAATCTTTGATCGTGGCTGGGAGTTATTCATGACACTTCTTGTCTCGCTACCAGTATAGACGACAATTCCAGTTGCACTGCCAGCAGCTACAACTGTATTCGCCCAAAGAGTATTCTGAAGATCCAAAGACTCTTCTTCTGATGATCCTTCTTGTTGACTAAATGTTCCAATGAATGAATGAATATCACGTTGTGGCTTCTCAATGTAAACACTCGCGTTTAAGTTCAACAATTCAGCATCGTTTGGAAGTTTTTGTGTCGCTGGAACTGCTAATCTTAATTTCCAATCCGTTTCACCGTCAAGTTGATCTGTTCGAACAAAGACAGCACCCGATTTATCACTAGTTCTTAAAAGAACAAGATCTGCTGGAACTCGTTCATCCTTCTCAACAATTATTATGTCACCAACTTTCAGTTTTGATGAGGGAACACTTTCGAAGCCTCCATTGTGCATGAGTCTGCGATATTTTTGTGAATTCACTTCACGATCTCTTTGATAACGACGAAAATCATCGATAGCTTCTCTAAAAATTGTGACTAGAAGCACGAAACAAAGAGGTCCCCAGTATGTGTAAAGATAGCCGATTTTGACGTCGGGAATGAATTGTGACAATGCCATAATGAGGAAGTAGAGGTTGAGGAAGAAACGAAATTGTTCGAAAAGTACCAAAGGAAGAAACGTTATAATGTTGTATTTCTGAAAACGGTAAAGAAATTGGAGACATGACGGCATAAATTATGAATCATCGTTCGGCAACAATGCGCAAACTAAAACTTTTTCTCACCTGATTACGAATTTCATTTTTCACTTGATGTTTCTGTTTTTCAGCCATTTGATACCGACCACCAATGTACACAGTACGAGATTTCAGCTCTCTCGGTGCAAACCATCTTCGCCAGCATCTGAAATAAACGAAAACATAGAAATAGTAAAAATTAAAAACAAAACTAAAACAATTTCGAACCCCGTAAAAAATCCACTACTTCGTGGTTTATTTATTAAAGGAGCTGTCTCCTTAGTCACCAGCTGATGAGCTGGTGTACTTTGTGACATACTATCCATCGCTAGATACTCAATTTTGATAATTTTTTTGTAATTTTTCGTCCAATCTTAAAAAAATATTTCTTTGTTTGAAAGTGTTAGTGACAAGTAATTTGAAGTTAATTTTGATAACTTTTTAATGTCCGACTGTCTTATTTACATAAAGAGCGCATTTTATAGTCAACTTGTTTATATTCAGCTCAAGTTTTTATTATTCTCAACTTGATAATCTAATTTTATGAAATGTTCAACATGATTTATTGATGAACTAATTAGTACATGAAAATTCAATTAAAAAATCCTTTGCGACTTAAATTTAAGCACTTTCTCCGTCTTTCTTTTGAGCATCCTTTTGTTTTTTCGCTTTTTTAGACGCAGCTTCAACTTCAATTGGTGCTGGCTTTACAAAAGGAATTTCTGTCTTGTATTTCTCGGGCATATATTTCTGAAGTACTTGCGGGACCTGAAATTGAAGAAAATTAGTCAGTTTTGTTCTATTTTTTTCTTATCGTTTATTAACTTACCTTGACACCTGTTTCCGTCTGATGAGTCTCTAAAATAGCGCAAATTACTCTTGTAGCAGCACATAATGTTGCATTTAACATATGAACAAATTCGACATTTGCATTCATTTTCTTTGACTGTCCATAACGAACTAAAAGTCTTCGTGCTTGATAATCCAAACAATTACTGCACGAGACAAGTTCCCTAAATGCACCAGATCCACCAAACCATGCTTCTAAATCTAACTTCTTAGCTGCAGCATGGTTGAGAGCACCAGAAACAATGTTCACAACCCGATATGGAATACCAAGTGATTGACAGAAGTTTTCAGCATTACCAATCATTTCATCCATCATTTCCCACGACTTATTGTCATGTGGAGATGTCAAAACAAATTGCTCGACTTTTTCAAACTGATGAACACGGAAAATTCCGCGCGTATCACGTCCATGCGATCCAACTTCTTGACGGAAACATGTAGAAATTCCAGCATATTTTATTGGTAAAGCACTCTCAGCAATCCATTCATCTCGATGGTAAGCAGCTATCGGTTGCTCGGATGTTGCAATCAAATATTTTTCATCTCCATCTTCAGCTTTATCGGATCCTTTGCCAATAACTTTATATAACTCTTCATCGAACTGTGACAACTGCGCTACTTCTTGCATTACTTCACGACGCATAAAAAAAGGTGTATAAAGGGGAGTGTAGCCTTTTTCAAATAACAAATGCAAAGAATGTTGAATTAAAGCATGTTCTAGGAAAACTGCTGGGCCGGTTAAGAAATATCCTCGTCCACCGCTAACAACAGCTCCTTTCTCGCCATTCATTCCATCAATCATGACAATTAAATCAACATGAGAATATTTTCCTTTCGCTTCACAATCTCCCCATGTACGCTCAACTTTATTTTCGTCTTCGTCGTTGCTCAACGGAACCGATTCATGAAGCCAATTTCCAACCTCTCGAAGTGCACTGTTACGAGTTGTTTCAAGTTGAATTAATTGTTTTTCATTCGCAACAATGGCTTCGTCGATTTTTGCACGAACTTGCTTGATTTGATTGATAGTGTAAGGTTTGAGGTCATCAATTTTGAGATTCTCCAATTTTTCAATGAGTTCATTGGACACAGGATCGTCACTTCCTGGATTTTCCTTCTTTTTCATTCGTTCACCAATTTCTTTACTACAAACATTTTTAAGTTTATTGAAATTATCAGCCTTAAACCGACAATTACGCCATTCCTTATCTAGAACAATACAAAATATGATGACGGATTATGAGATATTGCGAAAATGCAAAAATTACCTTGTGCAATGACGGTTTCGACTAAATTCAAGTCTTTAAAACGTTTTTCTTGGTTCTTACGAACTTTATCAGGATCACCTCCTTTGTCACTACGGAATGCTTCAATATCCAAAACCATTTTTACAAACTTCTCTTAGAATTTTTGAGAAATGTTTTTACTCGGCGTGGCAGACAAATTTTTTTTAAAAATCGAATGGATGGGTACGTTGCTCGGAAAGAATTGTGTAAGTGGGTATAACTCTTTTACATTTGTTCTGATATTTTTTTTTCGAACCGCGGAACCGATTCGAAAAGAAAATTTTCTTCGTGATTTTTTGATAAAATAAATAGAGAAATTGTTATTATATTCACTATATAGGTTTGAACAAGATCCATAATATGTCGGGGATTGCTAAAAAGGTTAGATATCATCTAAATTTTATCTGGCATACTTACGCAATTGCTTAATGGAATTCTCATATAAAAATATTTTCTTAAAGGCTACAGGACTAACTGGATTAGCTGTCAATGCCAATCCGCATTACTATTTGACTGCACTTTATGGAAAAATATTGAGAGCAGTTTCTAAAATGCCACAAGATGCTGCTTACAGAAGATACACGGAACAAATTGTTAACGATCGGATGTTAGCCGTGAATAATGTTAGTTATCTTATTAAAACTACTAATGGAAAGTGAAATAATAAACATTCTTGTTTCAGCATAAAGATGTAAAAGAACTTGAAAAAGCTATCGGGAATGGTCAGGCTGAAGAATTAATCTTACAAGCGGAAAAGGAATTGATTTTAGCCCGTAAAATGTTGGGCTGGAAGCCATGGGAACCTCTTGTTAAGAATGAACCTCCCACTCAATGGCAATGGCCCCCAGCAGAGAAAAAGCAGATTGCTTAGACTCTATAAACTTTCATAAAACTTAGTTTATGTTTCAAAATTACTATATGAATAAAATACAAAGATATCAAAAGATAGCACACCACTTTGAATTGAAGTTGTTTAATTAATTAATTTATGGCATCAGTTATCTAGATGGAATAAACTTCTAATCTTTTGAACTTACCCACAAAAATTCCTTATCATTGATCCCATCGAGACTTTCTTTTTAAGTCTTCGATTGCGTGAATTTAGATCTTCAGTATGATAACTACGTCGAACTTCTGTCAAAACTAATAACTCAGTTTCTGAATCGCTTTCAAAATCACTCATTTATTGTTATGACACAAAAATATTACACATTTAATAAACTATAGATAGTTGAAAATATTTGCAACATTTATTATAATTAATATCTCAGATTGCTAAAAGATTCATGAAAAGTATCTATTTTTAATTAATAAAATTGATTTGAAGTTTAATTGATGAAAAGATGATATTGTTTACTATCCTCCAAATGACGTGATCCCACATTTTAAGGTGTTATGCCGTGATCCCGTAACTTTGAAACATTGAAACATTGAATTATCCCGGACAAACAGCATTAGGAATATTTTGAATTTTTAATATCAGTTAAATGTTTCGAAGAAAGAAAATTAAATATCTACAAATATCTTAACTATCCATTAATTGTTTATTTTCAAGATAAAATCTGAATTTAATTTTGGAAAGTAATAAACTAGGTAGAAAAGAAAACGGCATTGAAAAATTCTCTTAACACCAAATCATTTCAAAAAGCTTTAAGACTCTGAAAAGTTGATTGAAAATATTTAATCCTCAGGTACCTGCTAGAAAGATTTTAATTAAAAGCTGCGTCCTTTAATTGATGCATAAATATAATTAATTTTTCTCGTCAATACTTAACCTAAAAACCATCTCGTGCATTAAATTACAGAGCTGAATGACTTTTTCTTAATTGAAAATACAACAGTTGTAGATACATACAATAAAAAAGTTGTATGAAAAAGTTCTTTGTAGCATTTGAATCATTATTCAAGTTGGAAACTTGTTGCGTGCTGGTATTCAAAGTAAATAAAACTCATGGGAAATGGAGAAAATGCTGAAAGGATTAAAATTCAGTTAGGTAGTCATGCTTTGCGCTAGTTATCTGCTACAATTCTTTATGAACTTTGTAACATAATAAGTACATAACTCTTGAAGAAAAGGTCATTTTTAACAATTTACGCATCCGCTTCACACAATACAGATTCTCATTTTCTTTTTCCTGAAAAGCTTTGTTAACTTCGGCCTTGGATTATTTAGCTTGTTGACCAACATTCCACAGACAATCGAGAAAAATAAAAAAAAGTTTCTATTAAGAAGACCCCCAATAAAATTAATATTTAATACTTCAATGAAAAATATTCTTTATTAGGGAACTGCTTTTGTTTTCTTTTCCATTCTTCAGATTTTCTTTTAATTCTACTTTGTAACATAAAATAAATAAAACAATGATAAACTTTTCAAAATAACGTGAAGCACATTTGTGCGATGTACTTTTTATAAATGCTTTTGGCCCTTTTTATTACTATCTACTTTATTATTAAAGGAAAAGATGGAAAAACAATTAGATAGCAAGTCGAAGTTTTACTCGAGAACGAGTAAAATATTTTTGTTCCATTAAAGCCTGCTGGCAATCAATCATCGTCAAGACATGAAAAGCATTGAAATGTTAACAAAATATGCGATGTGTGGAAATGAATAAGAAGGAAATAAGGTATATGTCATGCAAGATTAAATTAAATCAGTTTTTAAGAGCATTTCAAGCATAAAATTGAACTTTGAAAGAAGAAAAAACGAAGGAAAAGAAGTAAGCCATAAAGTTTTCAAATTTGTCGTCTAATGAATCGTGGTTTTAGATGTAACACTTGCACAATGATTTTAAGTCATTCAATTTTACTTTTAACAATCTAGATATGTTTCTTATAGTTTACAACATACTCAAAAATATTTCTTTGGAACTTTTCTTAAACTTTCATCGAAAACACCATTCAGAAATCCTTCTTTCTTATCTACATAATTATTAAACCAATTTCTATTTTAATTCATATGAGTTTAGGCACGTTATTCAATTTCTTCATTAATTTTAACATTTCTTTGTTTTTCTTTTTTCATCTGTCACATAATTTGTTAAAGCATGATAATTGGATTATTTAATTATCCCACAGAAATTTATTTATATTCTCAGACTCAATTAAAGCAATTAAGTCAAATCTAAATTTACAGTAACTTCTTGATAGTGAAAAGGGTCTAAGGAAAGAAACTTTATCTATTTGTTGATGTAAATTCTAAATTGTTTCTTGACTGTAAGCAGTCAAACCTGTTTCAAATTTAAATCGATTTAATTCACCAATAAATGTCATGGATACAAAAGAATTCACTTGAATCACGAACCACTTTACATTGTGTTTTGTCTTGAAAGTAAATCATTTTGTTGATCATTATGCTCGTCGTCATCATTTTCACTATCAAGCTTCGATTGAGTTGATACTTTTGCTCCTTTTCTTCTTTGATAACCTTTTGAACCTTTTAATTGGAGAGAATATCGCCTTTTCTTCCATTCTTCTATGTCTTCATCACTTTCATCATCCTGTTGTTGATTAAAACTAAATGTTCGTAAAAATAAAGGAGATAATTTTGATTAAATATCCTGACAAGAAAAATCTCTCAAAATTTCAAAAAATATCTCAAGCATCTGTGAATGAGTTTTATTCAGAAGATTCAATCACTGGTTTTTTTTAATACGCTATTGAATATCTGAAAAGCGACTTATCATTTCAGCAGGCACTCTTGTTGATATTTTCACTTGATTTCCATTTTATCGATTAACCCTTAATGTTTTTCAAACAATCCTAAAATAACAATGAATGAAGCCGACCAGGCACTCACCATTTTTCTAACTTTGATATTCGCTGCTTTAGCTTTGCTTGTGATGATGCATATTCGCCAAGAAGACGAGCTAATCGTACATTAAGATTTTCAACAGTGACTTCTAATTTTGACACACCAAGTTCAAGTGAATCTTGCTGCTGTGCGGCACCTAAGAATTTAGACAAACATTGAATATATTGTTTATGTTTTCCTTTTTTTTCGTGATGACTAATAAAATTTCTCACTTGCAAAAACTGTTTCATCAAGCAACCCATCTTTGCGCAACAATTGACATCCACGCTCGGTCAGTGACGCCCTCGCTTCAGGATAATCTGCAAGTGTTTCCCACAAGTCACGCTTCGCCAAACAAAACAAATCGGAATATCCTTGAAAGATAGAAAATATGCACAGGAAAAGAATAAAGAAAAGAAGAACAAAATCTTTCATGAAAGAAGGTCACACAATGTTGAAGTGAAACATGTTACCAATTGATCGGACGTTAGCTGTCCGTCGGGTTCCGGTTCGATTTCCAGCAATTTCTAGAACTGACACTTCGCCGAACACTGAACCTGCTCCCAAAGTTGCTAGAACTGTTGTTCCATCATCGGCGACGACAGAAAGTCTCCCACGTTTCACTATATACATTTCTTTGCCTACATCGCCTTTTCGACATATATAATCACCGGGACTAAACACTTGTAATCTTAATTTCAATACTAAAGCCTCTAATAATCCTGGCTCACAATCTTGAAAAATTCTAACTTGTTTTAATGTATCCATGTGCACTCGAATAGCAATTTCAGCTTTGAGTTTATCAGGTAAAGCAGCCAAAACTCGTTCTTCATCAAGGGCACCACTTTGTGCCCAAGTATAAGCAAACCATCTGATCACCTGAATGGAAAAAATTAATTGAAACCAATCTCCAAAGGCTCTTACTAAAACGGATGAAATTTTGTTAAGGTGCTTAAGTTCAGGGATTAAAAAAAATCAAAATGTTTGATCAAACATGAAATAAATATTCTTTCTGTTTGGCAGTTTTGTCTGTTTATTCAACCGCACAGAGGTTAAATTAAGGCAAGAAGGGATACTAAAATAAGAGGGAAATGCCGTTGGGTAATGGTGCTGAAAGCTTCCATAGAAAGCTCATATCAACAAAAGCTCCATTATTCATAAAAGAGATTCATATATTTGCTTTTTCTTCTCGCCCACACCATGCTCTCATGCACATGAAAAAAAAACATAAATTACTGTATGCTTTATGAGATATTCTACATCTCTCTCTATCTCTCCTCCTCTCTCCTACTTAATAATAAAATCACATTTAATTTGTTTGGGATTGAAAGGGAATGGGGTACAAAAGGTTTGATTATTTGCACAATAAATTTCTGTCTCATTTTTTACGATGCGGAATGTGATGTTGCGATATGAAGTAAATTCGAAACATAAAATATCATTGAAACACTCATTAAACTTACTCGTGCTTCTAATTCGCCTCCAACTTTACGAAATGCCATATACTGCTTAACGCCATCCATTCGGTTTTGAAACTCAACCCTGGCAACGTTCATATTTGATATCATTGAACCTTTAAGTATGAGATTATTATTGGATCGTTGAATGTGTTTGTACATATGTATGAAAACAATCTTTAAACATCACTAACCTATGTTTCCAACGATGGTAGCGAAGATTAAGACACCAGCCAAGAAATCAGCAACAACAAACAAATATTCGGTCTCATTTTCGGGTGTTGGAGTTTCGCCAATTGTGGTCAGAGTAAGTGTTGACCAGTAGAAACTGTAGATGTACTGTCGGGTAAGCGACGCATTCTGAGTGCCTGAAAATGAAGAATTTTTTGACAGCTTTAAAATTAGTCGAGTGCTTTTGAAAGGAAATGAAAAACTTCAGACAAATAAATTGTTGGGGGAATATTTTCAAGTTACTTAAAATTTATATAAAAAATACATTCAAGTGAAGCGTTGTGGGTGGAAATATTTCTGAATCATCCCTTGCTTTATATTCACTTAAACTCAAAATAAATCTTGTGGAATCTTTCCACATTTTCTGCGAGCCATAAATATTTGAGGTTGTTAAAACATAAAACCCTTTGTCCAATATCTAATTTATAAACATTCTTTTTATCTTCTCAATTAATTCAGATGCTTCTGAATGTTCTAAAAATATTATTCACTAACCATTTAAATTGTATACCCAATTGTCACTGCCGAAACCTTGAGCATAACTGATGGCAAAATAGAGACAGGCATTCCAGTGGATTAAAACTAATATTGCTAGTACGACCTAGAAAGAAATATTAAATGAACACGTTGTATGGTTCTTTGATAGATATAATTTTCCGAGCACATCTCGAAGGAAGTCTTCTTCACGCTTCTTGATGCATTAGAACATGTCGGTGACCTACATTAGTCCGTGACATTAGATACTTGAAAAGAAATTAGGCAAACGCTTCCTTGGGAAAACATTTATTAATGTCATAAATTGTGATCTTCGTAATAGGAACATCAATCAAGGAACAAATTTAAATCCTCCGAGATGACTTTTTTAAGATATTGGAGACGACACTAACTAAATTATTGTTTTCTATGTGAAAATAACTTCAGATGATTATATGAGAAACTCACTTTACATATTCGAAATGCGTTGGGATATCCTGTAGCTGTTTCTGTACGTTCAAACCATTCCCACATTCGAGGCAAACGTAGAAGACGATTTATACGAACAATAACTGCACACGGCACTCGATCAAAGCTACACTGATTTGGTCCCCACCACACATAAGCAAGGTCAGTTGGAAACATTGATATAAGGTCTAAACGCCAATGACTCGTACTAAAATAGTGCTGACGTAATTTTTTAGCATCACGTACTAACAGACCTTGTTCGAGGTAACCTGGAAAGCACAATATGTTTAATAAATAAAAAAAATCGTAATCAATCGTGCAAATAATTGGAAATTAAGATTCATTCATTCGAACATGCGGTAATTAAAGGCTCTTGAAATGGAAACATTTCAATAAGCATTTCGTTTCAATGTTCTCAATCATGAATTTTTCTTGATGTCAACGAATTTCTTCTATACATGGAAATTCTTCTTTCATTGTGATGAATATTTGAATTGACATTAAATATTTTCTAAAGGAGATTAATGACATTTATGAAAGAATTCGTACTTTTAAATTGAATTTGTTTGAGCGACTTAAGGAGTAAGATTTGAAGAATCCTGTTACCAAACAACATTTTATGAAAATCTTCGTCAAATCACACAAAGGAGAACATTTATAGAAGTTCAAAGCATAATTCAATATCTAATGTAAACTTTCTCTCGTGTCTTAATTTCCGGACCTTTTTTATAAATCCAACAATTTCCTTCGAAGAACTTCAAAAGAATTTTATCGAAGGAATGAGAAACAAAAAAGGAGAGAGTGAAGTAAATTCAAATATCTAAATTGGCTACATCAGCAGTTCCACTTAAACGTTCGTGCTCGAGAATTCGTTTCATTTGCCCTGTTCGTAAAATAAAAGGAGAATAAAAAAAATATTCATCACCAAAGTTGAAATGAAAGAAAACGAAAAAATGAAATCATTTGGATTGGAAGTGATTGAAATTCACTCGTTTTTATGCTTATCATATGATTCTTCTCATTATCAACATCATGTACTGTACATAGATCTATGTACAAGTTGTCGAAACATAACGTGCTAACTGAAGCAATGTCATTATCATTCATACCATGCAAGAGACATTCGTGCTATCTTTTCCAGTTTTCAAGCGACAAATGATCGATTGATGATAACCTTGTCGGTGCGAGGGTGGATTTATATGATGTAAAATTTTCTCAACAAAATTCCTGGAATGGCGTCGTTGGGTTCTTTATTTTCTTTTCTCAAAGTTTTTTATATTTAGAAGAAAAGAAAATGATAAGATGTCATGTGCCAGATTCAAGGTCATAAACATAAATAAAAGAGACTCCTCCATGCCAATATCACCTTCATTCATAAAAATTGTCATGTAACTAACAGTCAAAAGTCTATTCATTCAACTAATATTATCTATGCATAAATCAAAACGCACGTGATTGGAATTTGAATATTCAACAAAAGCAAAAGTGTCTCTAACTTGACATACCTTCATGACAGTGAACGATTGTGTCGAGAAAGTAGATGAAATCACATAAATAATCCAAGAAGTACCACAAAAATGTTGCTTTTTTGTTTATCTCCCAGAAGATTGCACGTCCCACGACGAAGATGATGTTATAAAGTACAGCAAGAGAGACGATTGCTAGCCACTGTCAAATACATCATAGAATATATATTTTGGAACTTTTCGTTCTAATATTTGTTATGTTTAAAGGTTAAATTACCCGGTAATAAGACGACAAAGACGGGTCAAAGGATAAACGACTATAAACTCCATCTGAAGGATTACCACCGGTCGTTGACTGCTGCTGATTAACTGATGTCTGATTGGTTACAGAAAACTTATCTAGTGACTTGTCAGGCGGCTGTGAACGATTCTTTTTTCTTGTTAATCTACGTCTCAATGCATTCAATGTTCGACGAAATGTTGAATATGAATTATCATTTAATGAATCCTGTGAATAGAAAATAAATCATTGGAAACGTCATGACTCCCAAGAGGATACAAAATGAATTAGTCATGAGTAAATATTTATTTTTCTTATGGAATTAATCGAATGTTTGCAATACTTGTTTGACTACGCAAACATTTGGGTTCGGTTTTTCAACCTTTGAAGAGAAAGATCGTGATAGAATGTCGCACTCGAATGTATTGAATATTACCAATTTTTCATTTCCATCTACTCCTACACCGATAACAGCAATTTCAATTTTTTGCACCATTTCTCATGAATCGACTTTTAGAAATTATTAGAAAATGCTTTTAAAAGTTTATTTATGTCAACTCCTTCATCACAAAAGTTTTACATTATGCTTCAATATTATTCAATTATGCTTCACTGAGTTTTGTGAACTGTTTCAAGGTGACCAGTTGTGTCTATTTTTTCTATCGTTTCCTGTAGGGAATTCAAAGCACTTCTAGGAAAACATCATTATAATGACATGAGAAGTCATCTTAAATTTGCTTCATTATTGAACATTTTCCTTTTGTCATTTCATATGATGGAATTTGCAATTAGTTTAATTTCATTTTTCCATGAAACTTTTCCATGATGGAGTATTTATAAAAGCAGTTCATGTGAAAAGTTTCTCCCTTTCCTACATTATCTCTAACATTTTTAAATATTTAACCACTTTGCAAAAGTTAAGAAAGGAAAGAAAACCAAATGAAATTGATCCGAGCAAACGAAACACTTGAGAACAACTGAAATTGAGACTTATGAACGAAAACACGTTTAATTGATTATTCAAAAAAACAAACGTCACGATAATCGAAGACGCCATAACAATACCAAAAGAAATTTTATTCAAGTGATATAAATAATAATATTTCAAAGTGCTTGCTCCAATGCTAGTTAATTGAATGTCTAAGAGAGCTCTCGTGTTTTTGTATTGGCCATCAATTCGTCTTTCAGTTTGTTGTTTACTCATATCCACCCTTCCTTCATTATCATCAAATTTTATTGAGTGTAGTTGGTCAATAAGTTGAAGACTCGAATAAAAGCAAGCACCACAAGCGAAACATTGTTATCGAAGCATGGAAAAATATGAAGCGCAATACTTCGACGAAGTATTTATTTGAATGTGTCATCAAACGCAGCAATAAGTTGGCAAACTCCCCGGAATTTTTCTCTCTTAGAACTACAAGCAATACATATTTACGATGAATCGATGGAAAGTTCTAATTAATTGTCTGAATTGGCTTCAATTATGTAATAAATAAACACGACAAGAAGAAAGAAATTTCACAATGGGGTTGAGAGAGAAAGGAAAGAAATGCGATCCGACTATACTTATTTTGCCCTCCCTTGGCTTTTCCTCGCTCTCTTCTTAAGCGGAAATAAAGTTATCTTGAGCTCGCTTTGTTGTTAGAAAAATTAAAAGAAAAAGAAATTTTGTTGTTGACGGAGAAAAGTCGCAATCCAAGCAGTTAATTTCGTGAAATATAAAAACAAGCGAAACAAGGCACCATAATCACAAGCGTGGAGTTTCAAAAATGTCACTGGACTTTAATTGATTTATGAGAAAAAGTTTTAACGAAGTTTTTGTTCAAAAATATTGTTGTCGCTTTATTTCGTTGAAAAATAAAATTAGGGATCAAAATTGTGTTGAAAAATTGAAAAGGCGACTTTCAAAACCTTCTGTCAGCGAAATATTTTTTAAAATGTTTAATGCAGTTTAAAATTGGATTAAAAGTTATAAATTATATTTTATTTATATTGGATAAAAGATTTCTAAAGTTACAAGGCTCTTTTCAAGTCAGTTTCAAAGCTTCATGAGTTTTGTCGTGAGAACTGAAAAGCTTTTAAAAGCGTTTTGATATTTCTTAAGATTTATAAATAAATAATCGAAAGTTCCAGTAAATAAATTTCTATTCACATATTTTATATAATAATTAACTAAGCATTTTTAATTTCCGTTTGAAGCTATTTCTGCTTTTAATTAAACCAAAAAGGTATTCTTTGATCTTTTCTCGCTTCCAAAGCCTTACTGAAGCCAACGATTTTAAAGTATCATTTTAATGTAAATTCTGTTGACAATCTACTAATACTTATTTAATTTTTTCATGGAAAAGAGCTTGTTTGTCTTGTCATTAAAATGTTTATAAAATTTTTTTAAAGCCACTCGTCATGCCTCACGCTAAATATATAATTTCGTTCAAGCAGTTTCCCTGTTGTTTTTCATCTTCAATGTGATAATGCGATGACGACGAGACATCTGATTTTGATGTCTAAGAGCAAAAAAAAATGATATTATTATGACAAAAGCTGTGTCAAACTTCCACGTTCTGCAAAAAAAAGCATGTCAAGGTGGTAAGCATAATGGAAAAATTATAACATCTTCAAATCCACATTTTATCCCACTGAATGAAACAAAGAAAGAAGACAATAATGCATGGAAATGAAATTTGTTATTCAATTAGCTCTCAATTTCATATTGAGATTCAATAAAGAACAACAAACAACGCGCGTGTTACACTTTAAGAGAAGAAGCGAAGAAAAATCTCCAACACTCAAACATAAATAAATTGGAAAAGATTTATTCTTTCTTCTTCTTTCTCTTGCTATTCTTCAAGTAATACAATTATATGATAGATGTTATCGTAAAATGGAGACGATAGGATGTCTGAATTCAGATACAAAAGAAAAACGGATGCTTTTAAAAATTATTGCTCCCTGATGTATCATAATCATTTCATTCAATATCATAATGTGACATCTTTTTATGTTTCAAATTTCTTCTTCTTGCTCTTTGAGCTTTCTTACTGGAAGCTCTTAAATCATTTACTTCAGTCAGCTTCACATTGTGGTCTGTGGAATATGCGTTAATTGATATAAAACACATTACGTTACTTTAGCGGTACTCAAACTTAGATAAATGTCAGAAGCTTCCTTTTGGTCTGTTTTGTTTTGTTTTTATCATGTTATTGACCGTTAAAGATGAACGCTTGAATAAACGTCACTCACAATGTTCATAAAACAAACAAGAAGCTAAATTGTCTTTGTCTTTCGTCCTCGCCCACTCAACAACAGACAACAAGTAAATGAAAGTAAAATGTTTGGTTGGTCGAAAATTTAATGGTTGCAGATAGTTTGCTTTTGGCTTCAATTATTCTCATGAAATTATCCATAAACAGCATAAGTATTGAGTCAATAGTTTAGTTCAATGTCTTTGTCTGGAAAAGGATATCTCTGCAAATTTAGCAGCTTAATTAAATGACTTCAAGACAAACGACACAATTGTTAACTTATTCATATTCTGCAACGTTGCCTGCCTTTCAATTTATTTGAAATTATCATTTTTTTTCCATTTAGTCTAGTCTTTAACTTATATATTGCTTTTCACTCATTCTATTAATCATGGAAACGTGTCAGATAATTAATTTTTATGGATCACGAGAAAAATTTCCATTTAAATATAAGCGTAAGTCGTTCACAAACTTCCGAATATCTTCCATAAGTCAAGTTGCTGTCAAGTGCATTAACAGAATGAAAAAGTTTCTACTTCAACAAGCTGTCATCATTGTGAGTTTGATGATTAATTTTACTCGGGCACATCGCTTCGGGATAATCGGAGGGGCGGCAACCGATATAGAAAGTTTTCCATTCGCAGCAGCGTTTCTAGTTGACAACAAATTCAAGTGCGGTTCTAGTATAATCTCTGAGAATTGTGCTTTAACTGCTGGTAGGCAAAAAGCATTTAATTTTTTTAATTGGATGTCATTAGATAACGGTACAATTATCAAACATTTAATTAGCACATTGTGTGCAAGATCTCGACTCGCCAGCGAGGGTTCAATTGCGGGTTGGATCGACTTTTAAAAATGAAGGGGGTCAAATTATTCAAGCAGATAACATCATTTCCCATCCAAACTACGATCGATTGAAACTTAATATGGACTTTGCAATCATAAAATGGAAAACAAGTTTACAATTTGAGGATTCTGTGGATTCTGTTGAACTTGCTGGTGCTTCCGAAACTCTCGCTGATGGAACTGAGTGTATTGTTTGTGGTTGGGGACGAATGAGAAATGACACACGAACATCGCAATTGAGGTCGGTGTCTGTTTACAAAGTAAATCAAGAGATATGTCAAAAAGACTATAATTCCACTCGTGTCAAATTCCACATAGTAGAAGGCACGATGATATGTGCTGGTGTGAATGAAGGTGGAAAAGACGCTTGCGCTGGAGATTCAGTAAACATTGAAATAAATATTTCATTGAGATTCAAAAGTTATTTTAATTTTTCCTAGGGGGGTCCGTTAATATGTAATTCAAAGCAATTCGGTGTTGTCTCATCGGGCTATGGATGTGGCTTGCCAGAGTACCCTGGGATATACGCTTTTGTACCAACAATTCATGAATGGATTAACGAGCACTGTGCCCAGTAAGTTTACGTAATTAAAATACATTAATAAGGGAAATTGAGTTTGACAAAATGTTCCCATTAAATTTCAATTAAGACATCAGATGAATGAGCCAAAAATGAGTGCTTTTGATTTAATTAATTCATTGTTATTTAGATAGCTATCAACGGAAAACGATGTAAATTAAGTAATGGTTATGAATTAATTATTAAGTTGTTATTCCCACAATTAATAAACATTAATAATCACTAAATCATGGTTTTTAAACAATTTTATGTATCGAAGTTTCCGACAAATTCGTTTCGGTGATTAACGGCTTTGAAAAGGTTTTATCACGCGACAATTCAGAATTTTACGCTTAACTTTCTAAACCACGATAAGTTAATTCGATTAACATTGAAACCGAGACTCTTTCCATCTTTCTCACTCCTTAATTCGTGACTTTCAACAAAACTTTCGCAATAGTTAATTGAAACCAATTGAATTTACATTCAGAATAAGTTTAGTTAAAATTTTGTTAGCAGATTCCTTCTTTTTGTCTGCCTCGGAACTTATTCTGAACTTTGTTAAACTTTTTTCGCACTACTTAGCTAACAGAATCAATCAAAACCAGAACAAGAAGAGAATTAAATTTCTGTCTAATTGAAATCAGCATAAATTTCCTAGGATTCAAATATTTAAGTGAATTAAACGAAGAGTGTCTTTTTTGCTCCACTTCTGTTGTTCCCCACCCCAAATTTTTTATTTGGCACATGTTAAGATCTCAAAAATTGATGAGAAGTTCACGTACTTTATAGTTCCAAATTCACCTTTCATTGTTTCTTCTGGTTTTCACGCAACCCGAGCTCATTCGTGCTATGAAAGATGTGACATGCCGAGATGTTTTTCAAATACCCACGAGAGGTTTTCCATGGATACGTTTCATTGTGATACGTATGGGAACATACATGAAAAAAGCTCTCTTAAATTTATGTTTCGTTCCAAAAAAACCAGCAGGAAAAAGTTTTAAATAAAATTTATTTCATTTCCATAAAATAATATAAAAAAGCTACAAAATCATTTGTTAACTTTTTGGTAAAATTGTTGAGTCTCTTGAAAGTATTTCTTTTTGTAATAAATTCTTTGTTAGCTTGACAGTTTGCTTAACTGTAGTTATGCTTTCCAATGAACAAAGAAGAAGAAAAATTGTTTAATAAAATATTTCCTTCTTTTGAAAGCATTTCCACCACAGAATCTTTTCTGTTGAGTCAACAATCTAATATGAAAAGTAAAACAATCGGAGACAAAACCACCAACCAAGCTTGGATAACTAGAAAAATATTTTCCGCCTTTTCATGAAAAAATTCCGCATTCTTAGCGTGAAGCTCACGTTATATCTCGCACGAATAACACGAAAAATTGTTTTTGACATAAACGATGTGTTAAGCGAGACAAAAGTATTTTATTCGAGGTGACAACAATTTCCACGTAAATTTAATGAATCGAAAATAAAACAAACCTACTCACCGTTAAATGGTGTTCAACATCGTGAGATGTCGAATGATCGTTCCTAGACGCATTTTGGGAAGCTTTTATCACAGTTATATTGAAAGCTTTCGAACAGCCTTCTCCCTCACTAGTATTATGTGTTTGTTGAATAGCATTTGACGAGGACGATGGCTTTGACATGTCAACCTTATGGTTTTTAGTGGTCGCTTGAAAGCGACTTGATGAACGTTTATCATTGCAGGTATCGTTGATTGTGTAGTCATTCCCGTAAAGGTTTTCATTAGAATGTGGAGGCGAAACACCATAACGTTCCGCAAAAGTTTGTGTGCTGCGCGCTGATGGATCGATAGTGAATGCTGTAGTTTGGTAATGTGGTAGTCTTCGCATACGATGTGAATAATTAGAATGTGGCAATCTGCATCAAGGATGGAATTTAATGTAATTAAACAACATGCGAACCGTTATCAGTTAAATATGAAAACATTAAATTACCTTGATAGACTTGAATCATCGTTGTGTCTGGCATTTTGACGCGAAATAATTGACGATGCCCGATCGCCTCGTGCAGCTGCCATCATGTAAGTCCACATGATGTCGGATTTTCATTGCATTTGCAATCTTTCCAATAAATTAATTATTTTTCTTCCTTATTTTTTGAATCACAATACTTTTCACTGTCTCTGTTGTAATTGAAACTTAATTACTGTCGAGCTTTCTTCCCAATCAACATTATGCTATCGTTTCTTTTACCAAACTGTTTTTGAAAATTAGTTGAATACTCTAGCAACAGTTTATAATTCAATTTGTATTTTCATACTCAGCAGGAAAATTTTCTTCTCCCACGCTCATCTACATAATGTTAACAACGATTTTCACTCTTCTCTCTTTTTATAAATTTAATTTATGTTCAGTTTTTAGCCATAAAATCTTTTTCTGGTTTTATAAGTTAAAGGTCATGGTCGTAAGCTTGAATGAAATGGTGGTAATTTTTATTCTGCGGGTCCTACATTTATTCAAGTGTTGTAAGTTTTTACTTTTCATTTATTTTCATTCAAACGGTCGACCATGACTTTAACTGCTTTAACAAAAGCAATCATAAAAACCCTAAATAAATTTACTTTTAAGCTTTTGAGTTGAGTGAGAAATAATTTTATCCCTTGAGAAATTCAACAAGACATACCATCATGGGCTTTGTTAGTGTTAATATTTACTCAAAAGACTGTTAATTTGTTTGTGAAGCACTTTGCAGTGAATTTCTCTGATATTGTCTACATGAGATATGTTAATGATTAATTTAATTTTAATTATCTAATTGCTAATGCTTAATAAGTCAATTAGTTGAAAGCTATTGATTATATATTTATATTCAGTCATACACTACATACACTACACGTTGTATATCACTTGACTTATTTATGAGATTGTTAATTATCGATAACAAAAAGAAAATTAGTTAAGGGCAAATAACTCCCTAGCAATCAGTCAATTCACCTTATACCATCGAGAATTGTTTGTTCGACTTTTGAGAATTTCAAACGATGTAACCTTTAGATCTGCGTTTAGAATTTGTTTTGTTTGGCATTTGCTTCATGCTCTATAAAAAGAATTTATTTGTCTTAGCTAAATGTCTTACAATGGCAGTAATTAAACACCTTCATTTTAATACCGTTCTGAACTTCTTCATGAAATATAAACTAATGAAATCTCAACAATCATGAAAACATTTTGAAAATATTCTTATTCTTCTCCAGTGGAGAATCTCCACTTGACAGAAACTCAATTTCTTCGAGTTTCAAAGTCGTTTAATGTTTGAAGTCAGATTTTTCATTTCTCTTAAGAAATTTAAGAATTTTTTTTAAATTCATTCATATTTATTTTAAGTATGGTTGTGGAAAAACATTTGCAGACGTTATGAAAACTTTTTCTAATGCTTCTTATGAAGCAATAAAGTTTCATCTCAATAGTAATTAAAAATCTTCTATGCTCGTAAGAAGAAAAACTTTTTTTCATTTATATTCTTTATTTTATATATTTTTGTGATGGCTGTTAATTAAAAGGGCTTCAGAGCCAATGGAACTTTTTGACTTTGTAACATAAGACGATGAAAGAGAAGGAATCCCTGATGGTCAATAAGAATTGTAATAAAATGTTAAGAAGAAAGAAGAATAAAAACGGCTTTAATTTCTTATCATAAAGTTGGTGGAATGAGCTACGAAAGCTTTCACTAGATGTTGCTTAATCAATGATAACATTAAAGTGACACTAGACGAAACGCGACACAACATTTCGCATCGCTTAAGGTTGACGATAATTTAATTGCTGATTATGAGATTTTCATGCAAAGTTATCAGTGTCATCTGACAAGATGAATTTTCTCGAAACTCGGAAAATGGAAAAACAATTCTTGTAATTTTGATTTAAAGTCAGGCAGGCTTGTGCCATTTATGAAATGTTAACTTCTCACTTTTCTCATGATGACGATGATAATGATATTAACAATCTTTCAGCATGATGAGATTTTGCCTTTCTTTCCTTTCACAGAATTAATCCGTTTTTGTATCCTTTTTTTGCGTTCTGCTGACACATTCTAATCAATATCGTAATCTAGGAACAGAAGAAGAACCATTTTTTATGATAAATCATTCCTTTGGAAATACTTTCACGTGGGTATGTTCGAACTTCGAATCAAAAAACTTTTTGCTTTTTTATCAGAATTCTTTTACTTTCTTCATTGAAAAGGAAGTAGATGAAAATTCCGAATTTAATTGAATAAGAAAAGATTGAAAAGTTGTCAATGTAGTTTGACGAGGAGCAACGTTTCATGACTTTTAATTAAAAAGATAAATAAGCGCAGTTATTTCTGTGGTGAGGATGAATAAACTCCGCATTTCCTTCTGCTTCTTTTTCTCCTTAAAGCGTAGAAAATCTTGCAATAAATTCTGCATATTTGTTATGGAAGCTTCAGCAATAAAAGCTTGAATGATCCCAGAAAAATCTTTTTATCGATTTTTTATGTAAAGGAGTTGTTTTATTGAAAGAAAAAACACTACAAGAAGACACTTTGTTCTTTAAAGACTGTCAACAAATACCATGAAAAGCTTTAACCTCATGTTATGCTTAGACAGTCGTCGGTTCTAATCTGCTAAAAGTCGATTTAGATGGAATTACTAAGCAGATACTCAATGCTTTGCTCATTTTTTTTCCAATCCATTGAGGTATATTTATTTTGTTTAACTTTCTCTCATTTAAATAGCTAAACCATCTTTGTTATCGAATAGAAAATTTAAAACATAAAAAAATCAATTTTAATTCTTCCCCCATGGCGCCAAACAGGAAAAATCGATGTTCGTATGAAAATTTCAGTAAAATGAGAAACTTGTCAATTTTTGGAGGGGAACGAGTGCCAACAAGAGATTCGAATAAACTTTTATTTAAATTAATAGCTTCATTTTATTTTTGTGGGAAGGAAATGTGAGTTAAAACTTCATCAATTCAACATGGACTAGCAAACATTTTAAACATTAATGTCACAAATTGTGATGAATAATTCTTTTACGTGTAATCACTCGAGTTTGATGAATGAAGTTACTTTCAATAAATTTCATCGACAATCATCCTTTAGGCTGTTCGCATTACTTCACAAGAATTTCCAAGTCTTGATCAAGAGCAAAATGATAAAACATTCAAATGTGTTATTAAATATATTTCAACATGGGATTCTTTCTTCCTCTTGTTTCTGTAGGGGAAAAAACTTTTCTACTTGAAGGCATCAACATTAAGAATTATTAGGTTACCCACACGATCAAATTCAAATTTTCTTTTTGAAGCCCATGTTCGTATTCAAATATATTGAAAGAGCTTCTTGTTACGCAAGAGGAAACTTTCTAAACATGTAAACATCCTACATAGCTTGTAGTCTGAAAAATCTGTCGGCTTGTTATGTATTTATATCGAAAAATGATTGAAGTGACAAAGCAGGGGTCAAGATGACAAAAAACATGACCTTCAATCACCACCCGTCAAAACTTTATCATCTCGGCAAGGGAATTCTTTCGAGAACATATTACCAAGAAAAACAACGACAACAAAATCGAAAAAGTTTGTTTTACACGACAGAAGAAATCCGACTTTACTCAAACTTATCTCCTTTCCAATGATAGTCAGAAGAGGCTTAACCGAATTTTCCCTGCTGTTGGATAATTTCTGAATTTCTCCAAACTCATCTAACAATAACGGAAGTCAGCGAAAAAGTTTTTGTTCCTTATCGGGTTAAATGTTGCTGTCAGACTATGAAGAACATAATACGACATTCGCTAGAGATACAAACTTTGAGGTAATTGGAGATGAATTCGAACGTCTTTTCTTAAATAATCTTTGGAAAAACCTACATGAAAACTTTTTCTTGTTTACCTCAAAATCGATCCAATTAATAAGTTAATGATATTCGACAAAGTGTCTGGATTAAATTCAAAGCTATCACAAACAATTTTTCATCCACCCACGCAATGTTATGGATTTAAAATTTTCTCCTTCGATGGAGATTTTTCACATCAACAGCAGTCACATCACAACGAATTCATCGTGATGTCGGTAGCACACCAATAGTTGTTAAAATTACTTTTTTTTCTTGCGTTTTTTCGTTGGATTGATTTTGATGGATTTCATAATATGAAAAATAGGAAAAGTTTCTTGTGATGAAGATGATTGGTGTACAGATTGGAACAGTTGATGGGGAAAATTATTATTCAATATCTTTCCTAAATTTTAAGGCTTTCAAAGTTTCAACGATCTTTATGAAAAATAAAAAATTCAAAATTTACATAGAAGCAGTAAAGTTTTGAAATGCGACGTAATTTCGTTTAAGTCAACTTTCCAATCCAATGACGTTCCCAAATCAACTCGATTAATTCAATAAGACCTTTATTGACTATGGAATTTTCCGCCTTTTTCAGCTTATCAACTCAAGTCACATTTAAAAGAAAATTTATGCTGACGTTTTTTTAATTAATCAGTGAATTGAAAGTTGTTTATTATCCTTTTTTTCTGTTGATTTCTCTCAAGCAGAAAGCACAAAACTTCCGTTTTAATTTTCATTTCACTACCCTTTCTTTCTTATCATTTGTCATGAAAGCTAATGTCGAAGTTTTTTCTCTCTTTCACAACAAAGAAGAAATTATTTTTATACTGATAATAATCCATTAAATATTGCTGCCGCACAATGATCCTTTTTATTGGTTTAATCCCAAATATCCAAAAGGAGGTATTAAATCACCTTATCACGATTCATGTAGAGAAAGGTAGTGTAACAAAGATTAATTTTAATCGTTTTAGATTCACAATCTTCGATTTATTTCTACAATTTTAAATTTATCGATGAATTGAAACACAACACTTGACAGCATCTGTAAGAATCACACGAGAACTTTATGGTATCAGGCACTCTTCACTTTCCAAGTTAAAGTTCAACGAAACTTTTTCATTTGTTAACTTGATTTATTTCACTTGAACGATTTCTTCATAATATCTTACACATTCCATTGCTGAATCGTCAATTTTTCTTTTTTTCCTTATGCTTTATGATTGATGGCAATTTTTTCGATTTATAATTTTTATCTCAATAATGCTCGCCACCTCCACTTCAATTTCATTCAATAAATTATAGCATCGAATCACAATGGAGAATATTCTCAATTTATCAATCAAATTTGTCTCCCACTCCCTAATATGAATGAACAAGAGAAGGCGAACAGGAATAGCATGAAATGCTTTCAATAGAATAAATCACATTCACCAAGACTCGAGTTTCTTGAGATGTTTACGCGTTTATATCTAATGTTGAACTAACGCAACATGAAAGCTTTTTCTTTTTTCAAATAGGAAATTCTCTCATCGTGAAACATCGTTTATGTGAATTGACAAAGAGGAGCGAGAAAAATCTTTCTTCGCATCGAGAATGTTTTTCTTCTCTTGTCGATCTCTCATCGTGTCGTGCTTGTGTTAAGAGAGCAGTAACATTTAATATTCATATTCGGTTGTTAATAAAGCTTTTGGGACTTTTATAATAAGCGATTACATTTACATAATTATGTCTGAACATAAAATTCAATTCTGAATTGAAGTTCATGCAACGGTCAGTGAATGAATCGTTTTATGACAAAAAATGATCCCAAAATTTACGATGATGATGTCACCAGAAGAAAAATGAATGAAATTTACATTTGAAAGCTTTGTGATTATCCGAGCTTTGTAACGACGTTTTATTAAATTGCAGAGTGTTTTAATGTTGATTGCTGTCCCTGCTTTCATTCATCAATGTTTCTAGCTACATGTACATATCTCGTGAGAGCAATGCTCGTTTTATGTTCGTTCCGATGTAAATGAAAGCTTTTTTATGGTTTGATTCTCTTTTTAAAGGTCTTATAAGAACAATCGGATACTTATAATGATTGCTCATGGGTTTTTTTATTTGTTTTTCTAGTCCTAATCAACACATTAATTCAACAAGAAATAAAATAAATGAAAATCTTTTTCTGACAAAAATATGTAGAAACTTTCATGAATGATTTTTATATAAAAATTTTCAATTCTCACAAATATTTCTCTAGCATCAATGATGATTTTATATTAATAAATAAACACATTCAAACTCCGATCTCGTTTCATAAGAAAGTGACTTGGAAATCCTTATGGATTTCAGAAACAAAGCAGACTTGTAATTATTCTGTTCCACATTTTCAATTTGCCCAGCAAACAATTCATTAAGCAAATTACTCTAGATTAAACACGCAAAAGCTTTTACGTCATGTAACGAAATTGTCGGGAATTAATTGTTGTTTTCATGAGTTTTCCCATATTTGTTATCTTCATTTTTCTAATCCGAAGTAGAATTTCATCTCTTTTCATGTAACTTTGAAGAAAAAGCACTAATCTGACAGGATAGAAAAAACCTTTTGAAGTAGCTTTAAGTTGTTTAGTTTGTGTTAAGTTGTCTCTTGGAAGTATTTTTTAAATTTAGAAAAAAGATTCCTCAAAGAAGCATTCAAATCTATTTCATTTTAAAGGGATTCAACAAATAATTTAAAAGGATGTCAAACTTTTTGTCGCTTTTAAAGAATTATTCTTATAGTGGCGACGATTTTTACATTCAATTTCTAAAGAATTGCTTAGAGACATGATTTATTGTAATGACAATGTGATAAATTTTATTTATCTGCATTACATTTTAGTTTAAGGAAATTCGAGATGGAATTCTGTTTGATTAATTATGTTCCTTAAATTATATGCAAATATCAGAGTTCATTAAAAATATTTACACAATTTATTTAAATTGTTTACAATTAGAATAAAATTAAATGTGAAGCTTCGCATGGTCTTCTTTTTAATCGAAGTAATTTTTCATTTTTGATAATTTTTTTCTTTCTGAACGCGCGACATTGTTCTGCATTATATTTCATGTTTGATACATAATTCCATTCGCTTTTTAAAAATGTCGATGAAAACATGGAATCGGAAAGTCGTGACCAATTTCGAAAGAGAAGCTGACAAAAAATATTATTGAGCTTCAAATTCTAATTGCTTTCAAGAGCTTTTGAAAATCATCCAATTTCACTGCAAAATTGTTTTATTATTTTGACTCGAAATTGGATACGATTTATTAGCTGTTTTCAACAGCTGCTGGAATCAACATGAAGAAATTTTAGATCCAACAGAAACATAAAAAAGTCAGTTTTTTAATATTTACGTCAATTAAAGAGATCGATCACTCGAGTCATCTTTCATTTCAATTAAGACCACGAAAGGGATTTAATCAGGAAATTTGAACTCGTCTCCTTTTTTCATCAATCAATCAGCGGGTACCGTTGCGATTTCAACAACAGAAAATAGAGAAGAGAACATGTCAAAGTTTCTTCAATGGATTCAGAATGCCAATTAATGAAGCAGAATTTTAACCCATCATGAAGAAAATCCAATGTGATCGATTACATATTGACGTTTAATTCCATTAATTAAATTTTTTGATGATTCACTTTCACATACATATGCATGTGACTTGAGCTGATGGTTTAATCTTTCTCGACTCGAGATTTCATTTCTAAGCATCGTTTTCAGTATCTATAAATAAATATTTATTTGATTCTATCTATCGAAATTTTAATGTTTTGCTCCAAATTAAGATACTCATTTAACCACAATAATATTTCACAATTCTATTTCAATCGAGACAATGAGAGAAAGTTGAACATAAAAATTAGGTACGTATTCACTGAAGTGGAAATGTAGGATTATTTTAATTAAAGATCTCGACTTTTCTTGTTCTTTTCAACTCTCTTATACCCCAACATTAAAATTATTTTTAGTTCTGTGTGGATAAAAGACCACGAAAATATTTTATGTTAAATAGATATGAAAAGTTTTATAGTTTTACAAACATTTTTTATCGTTTGATATCATTAAGCATGGGAAAGCGGTTTGAGATGGAACTTTTTAGTAAAAATAATTTTATTCGTTTGTTGCATCCTTACTTTTGAGGATAACTATGCATGTGTGAAAAGAATCAAAATAAAGGTTTTTACAAGTACACAGGTGCGCTAGTCTTCTTAACATATTTTCTAACTTGAATCTATTTAACTATTCTAATGAGATAGAGGATGTCTCACAAACATCAATCATTCTTGGGTTTACCACAAAGCTTTCCTTGAAGGTTATCGTAATGATTCATCTTGAAACCTTCAACTTAATTTTCTTGTTTAATATTTCGAGTTAGACGAATTTTGTTATCCTTTTCAAATTTATTCAAATTTCTGAAATTTTTGGATTATTTAGCTGACACTGTCAGTAAGGAGATAAAATGACTAGATTTCAAAAGTTTTGATTAAAGAATGATTTGTGTAGAACTTAACTAAAACAAAGTGAATTGTGCAGAAAGTAAAAAAATACTTTGTAGATTTGATGCAATAATATTTCAAGATGTCATAAAATATACTCAATTTAAGTCAAATTTGTGTTCATTGAATCTTTAATATAAAACAATGTTGTTTTATTACATTTGAAATAACGAAATATTAAGTTATAAGTGAGGTTTCTTCGGCAACATAAGTATATAAAATTATTTGGAACAAGAGATATATTACAATATCTCCTTAAGGGGTTCTCTTATGTGGCATAACATGCTTTAAACTTTTCGCTGTGGCAACAAATCTCATATATTTCACTCAAACTCCTATTTTAATCAAATATTAGTAGTTAATCAGTTAAACGATTTCATCTTGAAGCTCATCATAAAAAAAATTTATGCTAACAACGAAGAACTTACAAATCTCGTATATCTAAATAAAAGATAAAAAAGTTTGGGCTGTAAAAATCAGACAAAAAATTTCATGTAAATATTTGAATGTTTTTGTTTGTGATTCAATGTTTTAAAAAGCCTTAAAGAAGCTTTTAAAGCATTGATTTGAAATGTCTGAAGTATCATAAGAAACATTGAAAAACTTTGCATTTGATGTTTTGTATTTCGGTCAAAAGCTTCGTAAAGCTTCTAAAAAGTTTGCAAAAAGTTAAAAATACTGAAAATTTTAAAATTTCTCTACCAGTTTTTCGTGAAGAGTTTTTAATTAAAAATCTTGTAATCTACTCAATTTCATTTTAGTTTACTTTAACGTTGTTCGCACAGGATGCGGTAAGAAAAAGAACGGAAAGATCTAATGCAAACAAATCCATCATCAAATGATCTCTTTTTTAATGACATTGTCATCCATATTTGTTTGCTTAATTTGAAAATATTTCTCTTGAACTAAGCATTGCTGATAAATATTGTTTAGGTAAAAGAAAGCATTAATCATATCCAAAACTAGTTATCTTTGCTGAATTATACACAAATTATCATAAAAAAATACATAAAGAATCATAAATCATCTTATAAATATTTTTCATCATGTTTACATTTAAGTATGAACAAGTTTTTAAATTTAATAAAACTTTCATGCTTCCCACATAGCCATTTTCCTTACATTTATATATTTATGTAAATTATAATATTAAGCCTTGTAAACATCATGTAAATGTAGCCTTTTACAAATTTATGATTTAAATGTTGAGCTTTCTCACATATTTTATTTCCCAGATAATTAGATTGATCTTTTAAAAGTTTAAAGGTTAGGAATATTTTATTCTTTTTCTCAGCATGTATTTCAGAATTTTACTGAGAATTTGTATATTTTATTATTCCTCCTTTTGGCATGTAATCAAATTTTAAATTTTACAACTGCTTAAATTGAATTCATTGATATAAAAAAAACAAAAAATCAGATTATGTTTTGTATTGTTTTTGTTCATGTTTCTCTCATTAGAATCAACAGGTAAAAATAAGCTTTCTAAATTATTCATGTATTCATATTCAAAGTTAAAGAAAATATGAAATGTAAATTTAAAAAGTTAAATTTATCTTATTTAATTTACATTTCAAAGAAAACTGAAACTTTTTTAAATTGAAACATTTTTCTTTTTGTGGTTGAGATGCATTTGCATGTTCTATAAATTAAATCAAATTTTAATGTTTCATCAAAAAAATTTAAAAAGTTCTCTCGTGAGCAGAAATCCAATACCATTCACCATTGTAAAAAGAAACTCAAAATTGTGTTTAAATGTGCGATCGTCATGAAACATACTTAGCTACTTTTCTTAAAAATATCACAGATAATGTTCTCTTAATTACTTAATCTATTCATTATGTAATAGTTTGAAAAAAAAAATTAATCACACTTTTAAATTAAAAAAAGAGTTTAAGAAAGAAAAATCTCTGAAAAAGGTTTATACGATTTCATTTGTACATAAACAAATGCATGTGTGCCATAAGGTCTTCTTTTCTTTTCATCAATGCACTTGCATAACATTCTCAGAGAGTTTTCAAGAAAATAAGGAGAGGAAAGAAACGAAAGATCGTCGAAATATTGTGGGACCTTAGAAGCGATTCAGTATCGCGGTGGACGTCAACTGGAGCAGCTGGGAAATAAAAACTAGAAAGAATCTGTGCGTGAATTTCCTACTTATCATTATCAGCATTTTTTTATATAAAAAATACTCAAGACAGTGATAACCAGAATTATTTAAGCTTCAGTCGCGCGTGGTACTTCTTTTTATTTAAATTTAATTAAAAGTGCTGTTTCAGTTTTTAAATTTATTTCTTGTAAAACGACAAAGTGATAATCAATCAGAAAGAAAATTTTATTTTAGCAAAAAGAATATCTTAGTGGATATAATTTTAGTGCATAAAAAAAATTAATAGTGCTAATAGTTTTTACCTCAAAATGGCTAAGCCCGGAGGCTTCCACAGCCTGGGCGCAAAAATTTGGATTACCATTTTAATAGGATTAGCTGCAAGGCCTGCGTCATCAGCTGTAAGTTCATGAAATAATACTAACCGGAAGTAAATTTAATTTTAATTAAATATCTCATTTTGATCGTTATTTCACTCTGTATTAATAATTTTTTTGCTTTTCAATGATCTAAAGTATATAATGTACTTAATATATAAGGAGTATATAATGTATCAGAGCAATCTGAATGAAATATTTAAGTGTTAACGACCACCCACACTTTTGACAAATGAAACTAGAAGGAAGCGTAATGCTTATTTCACATGCATTTGTTTCAATAAGCGCTTCGCATTTATTAAAAGCTGTACATTATGAGAAAAGTTTATGGATAAAAATGATGTGAAATTGCAACACATAAATTTGCTGTTCAGAATTCCAAAAACTCGCAATGATTCTCAATCTTCAAATTTTTATGTATTCTGTTTTGCAACGCTAAATATAATTGTCAGAAAATGTGGAGGAAATAATTCACAGAAGCATTCATTTTTTACGCTACTGAAATGTTTCCTTTAACTGATTTTCTTTCTATCAAATTCTCTTCGCTGCTTTAAAAACATAAAGAATTCAAAAATTCTTTTTTGCAATTTAACGAAATTTGATTCTAGTTTCTGACTTAAAAAGTAAAAAAAAAGAATTAAACCCTCTAGCAAAGAACAGAATTTGCTTTTTCTGCGCTTCGTTATCACACAAAATAATGAAGCCGAAATAAATGTTACAGAATTTTTCATTGACCTTTTTGATGTGTGATTATATACTATCATCGTCTTCCTATCAACTTCTAAATGGAGAGTAAACGAGAGAATCCCAAAATGTGTGCTGCTTCTAACTTATATATATTCTTAGCTTATCAACTGGAAATTATTAAATACAAACGGCTTTGTGCCATTTTTTCAAAGAACAAAAAAAAATTGAGAATGTGATGTAATCTTCTTCAAGAGAAAAGTCAAATAAGCTTACATTGGATAAATTTATTAAGCAAAGTGCTACAATCTTGAATTAAATCTTGATAGATAGAATATCAAATTTCATTATTTCAGAATCTTCTTAGAAGTATTTTCCTTGAAAAACGGTTGTGTTATAAAGAACAGTATTAGTATGAAATGTCCGGATGCCACAATACTTTAATTCATACAATATTGTAATGCTCTGATAAGAGAAAAAAATCTCAGTGCTTATATATTTCTCACTTAAATAGCAGCGTTGCAAAGAAATGGAAATTGTGCAATTTATGCGTTTGCAAATTAACCACATAACAAATAATAAAAGAAGCTCTGTAAAATTTCACAATCTTTATTTCCATTCGAACAAAAAAATTCTTCCTGATCTATTCAATGAAGAAGAAGAAAAAAATCTTAGAAGTTATGTTTTTTGCGGAGATCAATCACACATTGCGAACCGACATTAAAAATTAAATCGAAACAAAGTTGATTCTGTTTCAAACGTTTTCAACGCGCGGCAAGAAAGAAAAATAATTTAAACGAAATGCATATTTCTTCACATCCTCACACATGTGAACTTACTTTGAGGTCGAAGCGCATAAATATTTAAACGGTTTTATCTGATTTTTTTTTCTATTCTAACATAAACATAACGACGAATGTTTCGCTGATCTCAGAGATAGTTGACGCTTCTTTTTTAGCGCAAAATGAGTGATTATCATATTGAGAGTACAGACAATTACTGATAAAGGAACTAAGAGCGATTAACAAAGATGACGATTTTCTATTAAAACATTTTCACATTCAAGTATATAAATAAATAAGTATGTATATGATAATGACAATATATATTCATCTCCTCATTCTAAACATAATGTAAAATCGTGAATGAAGTAGAAACAGACGAAAATTTCTTTTTATGTAAGATTTTGAGATTTGATCATATATGAGCAGTGTTTATGTTTTATGTTTCACACTCACACTGGCAAATTCAAGCTGGTTAAAAATAGACCTTGAGAGAAAAGAAATGCAACACATGTTTCTTTCATTTTCTCATTGCAGCTTCTTAATTTTTGAGTAAGCAAAAACGAAATATTAAACTTTTTCGCTGGATGTAAAATTTTTTTCATGGAATATTGAAGTATCAAATTTATTTGAAAGTTCATGCAATGCATTTTTATTCACAAAGGCAATGTTTTCATTGATGACTTCTTAAATTTACTCTGAAAATTTCAATTTTTGACTAGATTAAAAGGATATTTTGATATCGCATATGCTTGTCACAAAATTATTTAATGATTCTTTATTTGTTGATTGAAAACCAATGCCGACAAATCGAAAATCTTTTTCGTGTGAGAATAGAATAAAAAAGTTAAATATAAATTGCTTATAGGTATTCTTGTGTAGCAGAAAACGTATTAAAAATTTCATAAGCTTTATTAAAGATTTATTAAAGTCATTATCAAATGTCGTGAATTGCGTTCTTATTCAATTTTAATTTATTGACATCTTCATAGCTTTTTAAGAAAACATTTCAATATTAATTTTATTTCATCTTCAGACATGTAATCAAACAGCCTGTGATTGTGATGGTTTAAAAGGAGCTCCAGGAAATGTAGGTCCACCTGGCTTACCTGGTGTTGAGGGTAAGTTCTCTTTTGTTATTAAAAGCAAACTGATCTAAATATCAGATTTAAAGGTCCCCCTGGTGACATTGGACCTGATGGTTATCAAGGCAGAAGAGGCGAAGATGGTGAAACAGGAGAGCTTGGAGAAGTTGGTGAGAAAGGTGTCCGAGTGAGTAATAAAATTCTTTTTATTTTAATTATTTCAATCATGAGTGAATGTTTTTGTTGACAACTTTTCAGACGAATTAAAAAAAAGCAGTTTTTGTTTAACTTATCATGCATGTACTTAATTTGCTTCAGTCTTTATTCAAAACCATCTACAGCTTTCAAAAGTTTACAAAGTTTTCGTCAATATTATCTATTTGAATTTATAAATAATCGAACATTAAAATTGCGACACATTACTTTAGCTTTTAACAACACCATTCACTCATTAAATATTATAACAATCGTTAAGAACATCATAATTTACATTATTTAAATTATGTATTATGTCATACAAAACATAGGGAGACCAAGGCTTCCAAGGACTTAAAGGAAGGGCTGGTATTCCCGGCTTGTATGGAGACGAAGGTCCTCGAGGGCCTGACGGAATTGATGGATGTAATGGAACTGATGGACAACAGGGAATACCGGGATCACCAGGTTAGATTCATATGAATGAATTTAATAACGTGATTTAATGAATTAAATAATTTCAGGTTCTCACGGTTATCGTGGACAAGCTGGAGAACCAGGCCCACAAGGTGCACGAGGTGATCCTGGAGAGGGAGGCATCAATTCTAAGGGGACCAAAGGTGATCGAGGATTTGATGGATTAGATGGCCCTCCTGGTCCAGCTGGATTCGATGGACTTCCTGGAGAGAAAGGTTTGCTTACAATACATACATTAATGTTTGATACAAAAAATTATCATTCAACAACTAATTTGAATAGGTTATGCGGGAGCTGATGGAAACTATGCTATAGATGGTGAAAAAGGTTTCAAAGGTTCAAAAGGAGAACCGTCTGACTTACTTCCATGGTGCAAAGGAGAAAAGGGAGAAACAGGGCACATTTCATATTTCAGTGGCCGCAATGAAACCAACGTGATTAAAGGTGAAAAAGGAGAAAAAGGCACCAAAGGACCTCGTGGAGATGATGGAATGTATGGTCGCACTGGAGCACCTGGTCAACCAGGGTTTAGAGGAACAAAAGGTAAGTATCTTCAAAACAAGAAAAAATCTGTCAAATCACAATCAATTGTTATTGTATATTTTCAAATGATGCGTAGGTTATAAGGGAGCTGAAGGAGAACTTGGAGATCGTGGTAAACCAGGTAAGTTTTTGTAAAAGAATAAGGATAATTTTACTACATTATATTATAAAACTCTCAATGTTTTCAGGAAAAATTGGCCCTCAAGGTGTTTCGGGAGAAAAAGGAGCCAAGGGTGCTCCTGGTTACGCTGGAAGAGATGGTTTGTCTGGAGCAAAAGGAGAACGTGGTGAAGATGGTTATGAGGGCATGCCAGGTGAATATAAATTGAACGATTAAATTACATAAATTCTAAATAACTTTTTAATTACAGGTAGACAAGGTCAATCTGGCCCTCCTGGACGGTATGATCCAAACCTTGATGAAATAAGCGTTGGACCTATTGGACCTCAAGGAGAAATCGGACCACCTGGTGAAATGGGAGTATCAGGAATTCCTGGTGACGTTGGAAGAAGAGGTGCCACTGGAGACCCTGTAAGAAAAGAACAAGGCTTTTTTGAAGTGCTTTAATATTATTTAATATCTCAGGGACTTCCAGGTGATCCTGGATTTGAAGGTTTACGTGGAAAACCCGGAACTTCAGAAAAAGGTTAACATAAAATTTATTTATTATATACATTCATTTATTGAACTTTAAAAATGGTTCTTAATTGTAATTTTTGTACAATTAGGACAAGCTGGAGATCACGGCGAAACAGGACTTTTAGGACCTGTTGGACCAACAGGCTATCAAGGTCCAGTAGGAAGAGTTGGTGTGAAAGGTTTCCGAGGAGAAGATATTGTAAAAGTTGATATACAGTCATTTTGTAAAATATTTCATAAATTATGTTTACAATTAAGATTGGCTTGAAAGGAGAACCTGGTGAATCTGGTAGACCTGGATTCCCAGATGGTCTTCCTGGTGATAGAGGAGATGCTGGCTTACCTGGTGATAAAGGGTTTCCTGGAATCGGTTTTAACATCACAGGGCCTCCTGGGTATTGTTTAATAAATACAACCATTAAAGAAAAAAGTAAAAATATGACTTTTTTAGGCCTGATGGTTTACCAGGAAGACAAGGTGCTCCTGGAGATCCTGGATTTGATGGTTTAACTGGTCCCATGGGAGATAAAGGTTATCGTGGAGAAGATTGTGGATATTGTCCTGATGGATTACCTGGACTCAAAGGAGATTCTGGAGAAACAGGAAGTAGAGGGTATCCAGGAATACAGGGTAATCGTGGTTTACCAGGTGAAAGAGGAGACAAAGGAATAAAAGGATTTGATGGCTTACCAGGCTATTCTGGATTGAAAGGTAGGAATAGAGAAAGCTCAAAAGAAATTTTTATAGATACTTTTAATTTAATCAATATTTTTATTGCAATGCTTAGGTCAAGCTGGACAACCCGGTTTACCAGGTATTCAAGGATTTAAAGGACCTAAGGGAATCATAATTGAGATTGGTCAAAGACATGCTCCAGAATTGGGAGATGATGGTGATGCTGGATACCCTGGTAACATAGGTCTTGATGGGGATCAAGGACCTATGGGAGAGCCTGGTCTGCATGGAGAAAGAGGTGAAATGGGATACCCAGGTCTAGAAGGCTTCCCAGGATTGATAGGTATTATTTATTGTCAGATCAGCAAATCAAAATTGATTTTAAGAGTTATTTGTAATATTTAGGAAAGAATGGTTCAGACGGCCGTGATGGATATGACGGAGCTCCTGGAGAAGATGCTTTCCTTAATGAATACACAAAACGGCAATTCCAAGGAGACCGAGGATACGATGCATTTAGGTATATAAAATAAAAAGCTGTTGTAAAGCGTAAAAATTCATTTATTTATTATCTTATTAATAAAGAGGCATCAAAGGTGATCGAGGTGATAGAGGAGCTAAAGGAGAAAGAGGTCTAGTTCCAGATGTTATTCTTGACAAACGTGGATATAAAGGAGACGTCGGTCCACCAGGGCCTCCTGGAAGGATGGGACGGAAGGGTACAAGCTATTTTAAGTACTTTTCAACTTACATAATAATAATTTAAATTATTTATTAGGAGAACCGGGAGAAATCGGACCAGCTGGATATGATGGTGCCATTGGACCACGTGGAATTCTTGGAGAAGTTACACCTGTATGATCCTAATACTTTTTTTTTATAAATATTATTAATGAATATTTATCAAAGGGAATTGATGGAAATAAAGGCTATCCTGGATTACCTGGAAATTATGGGCCAAGAGGTGAAGATGGTCTACCTGGTATCAATGGAATTGATGGACTTCCAGGTCTCCCTGGTGTGAAAGGATCAAGAGGTGATCCTGGGTCAGCTATTCTTTTTGGAGAAATGGGAATTGATGGAGACGAAGGTAATATTAATTAATTAAGTGAAAGTAACAGTGTTTGAATTTATCTTTATTTTTAACATAGGTTATCCTGGTGAAAAGGGTGACATGGGATATCCTGGTCAACCAGGTTTAAGAGGTATTCCGGGTATAAGAGGAGGAAGGGGACCAAAAGGAGACTTTGGAGCAACAGGCTTATACGGAATAACTGGAAATAAGGGAGCAAAGGGTGATATCGTATTTGTAAGTATTATAAATTCTTATGTTTGTTGTCATATTTCATAACTAAAGATTTTTGATTATTAGGGTGACCGTGGTGAAGAAGGTCTGAGCGGATTAGACGGTAGAAATGGAATATTTGGTCAAAAAGGTGAAAAAGGAGACGAAGGTTATGTTGGAGCTTTTGGTTTGAAAGGTTTACGTGGTGATACTGGTTTTGATGGACGTGTTGGTCAAGACGGAGATTTAGGTCTTATTGGAGATACTGGTGAGTATACCAAAATGTTTTGGTTATTTATTTGCTCACCCTTTAAATTTGAAGGGTCACCTGGTTTAATGGGACAACCTGGTGATGATGGACCCTTCGGTGACAAAGGAGAAGCTGGAGCTATTGGAAACACTGGTTTTGGTGGTAGAAGAGGTCCTATGGGAGCATTTGGATTTAAAGGAGAACTAGGGGACAAAGGACTTCCAGGTTAATAATAAAAATTGTTGTGATTTAAAACTCAACACTCAATTTCGTACAAAAAATTATTGAAGGATACCGAGGAAGAGATGGTTTGAAAGGATTGAAAGGTCTTAGAGGAGATTATGGATTGTTCGGATATCAGGGACAGAAAGGAGAAGCAGCTTTTAGTGGACCTAAGGGAGAACTAGGAGTACAAGGCTTTTCAGGGCCTAGAGGTCTAGATGGCATTCCTGGAAGACGTGGAGCCAAGGGTGAAGAGGGCGATGCTGGAGAAGTAGCAACTATTACATTATTGAATAGTGTTGAAGATTAATTGAAAAATAAACTTTTATAGATTTATGATGGTGCACCAGGTATTAAAGGAGAACAGGGAAGGCCTGGTAAATCTGGCAGACCAGGAAGACGAGGATTAAAAGGAGCAAGAGGTACATAATTTTTTTATTGAAAAATATTAATCTTCAAATCAACCCTAATTCAATTTTTATTAAAGGTGACGTTGGAATAATGGGAGATGCTGGCCAACAAGGAGATGAAGGTAGAGCAGGCTTCCCTGGTTTCAAAGGAAGAGATGGTCGAAGAGGTATTGCTGGAACACCAGGTCGTGTTGGTGAACCAGGTTATATTGGATTCAAAGGAGATGATGGTGACGCAGGATATGACGGACTCAAAGGTATTAATATCGTTTATCAAACTGCACCGTGCAGTTCATCATTTAATTTTTGTTATCCACTATTACAGGTGTAAGAGGAGATAGAGGTTTGAATGGTTTTGCTGGACCTGATGGACCAAAGGGTGAAGAAGGAGAGAAGGGTATGATGGGAGCACCTGGTTTAATGTCATTTGGGTATAGTTGGAACTTCATTTTCTTGTAATAGCATTGAAGTATAGATATTTTAACCTTAAAATTATAGGCGAGTAAATAAAGGAGAACGGGGTGAAAGAGGTTACACTGGTAAATATATAATTAATCGTGGTAAAGCATATATCACCAATCTATGTATATTGTCAATAACTAGGAAGAGAAGGAAGTGTTGGTATTCCTGGAGTGAAAGGTGCAAGAGGATATTATGGAAGAAAAGGAGATAGAGGAAATATTGGAGCAATGTAACTTTAATAAAAAAAACCGTTGACATTTCTTTGCAACTAAAATTTCTTCAAAAACTTTAGGGGAGCTTTTGGTACAGATGGTCGTTTTGGTTTAAAAGGTATTCTAGGAGATAGAGGTCCTAAAGGTGAAAGAGGTCCTGTTGCAGCATACGTAGAACCTGGAGAAGAAGGTAATCGAATAGTCAATACAATGGCTGCAATTTTTATTTACTTATGATTTCATTCTAAAGGAAACTCTGGAGCTGACGGCTTCCCAGGAAGATCTGGAGCTACTGGATCGAAGGGAGCACCAGGTGATTATGGTGATGATGGATTATCCGGTTTTCAAGGAGAAATTGGCATCAGGTAAACATTCTACTAATTTCAATTTAAATATTTGCTAAATTAAAAAACAATGATTAGCATTGACGGTCCAAAAGGATATCCTGGTGATGCAGGATATCAAGGAGCTCCAGGTCCTTCTGGTTTAGATGGGCTAGTTGGTTTACAAGGTGAAAGAGGAGAAGAAGGTTTACAAGGAGAGCGTGGAGATTCAGGTGAATTAAAAGTTTTTTCATCTTCAGTCAGTACAGTAATATAATTTTTTTATTATCAGGCTATTCAATACGAGGTGTTAAAGGTGTTAGAGGTGATTTAGGATTCCCAGGATTCGATGGAAATTATGGCCAAACTGGTGAAAAAGGCGATGTTGGAGATATCGGTTAATATTTTCATTTAATATTCTTCAGTATTATTATGTTAACGTTCCGATTTCTAACTTAGGTTATGAGGGATTGCGTGGCAGAAAGGGAGAACGGGGACCAATTGGTGATTTTGGGGAAGATGGAAGAGATGGTGGTCCAGGTTATCTAGGACCAAAAGGTTTCAAAGGAGCTCCATACGCAGCTGATTCAATTCTTCGTCCACAACCTGGTCACGATGGTCTTAAAGGAGAAAAGGGTGACCATGGTGACAAAGGATTCCCAGGAAGAGCAGGACTTATTGGATATCGAGGCCTTAAAGGTTACCAAGGACTTCAAGGTTTAAGTGGACTGCCTGGTTCTCAAGGTTTCAAAGGAGAAAAAGGTTTTGTTGGTGCACCTGGATTAACAGGTTTAGGTAATTTTGTCTATCTTTTTAGTTTTGGTATTTCAAACATTTATGAAAAACCTTTTTCTAGATGGTTTCAGAGGAATAGCTGGAGAAACTGGCGACCCTGCACCACCTGGTCCACCACCAAGAAGTCGAGGATTTGTTTTCACACGACATTCACAAACTTCCTTGATTCCTAACTGTCCGGTAAATACCAACTTATTGTGGGAGGGATACTCTTTCGTTTCAGCAATAGGAAGCGATCGATCAGTTGGTCAAGATTTAGGCTTGTCTGGATCATGTCTTCGACGCTTCTCAGCAATGCCATTTATGTTCTGCAATCTTAACAACGTTTGTAGCTATGCAGAAAACAATGATGATAGTATTTGGCTTACAACCGGAGAACCAATGCCTATGTCGATGACTCCAATTCCCTCCAGAGAATTGGAAAAATACATCTCACGTTGTGCTGTTTGTGAAACAACAACCCGAATGATTGCACTTCACAGTCAAGGAATGAATATTCCAGATTGCCCACAAGGATGGGAAGAAGCATGGATAGGATACAGTTACTACATGCAAACTTCTGATGCTCGCGGAAACTCTCATCAAAATCTTATTTCACCTGGATCATGCTTAGAAGAATTCCGAGCACAACCAGTAATCGAATGCCATGGACGAGGAACATGCAACATTTTTGATGGAATTACATCCTTCTGGCTCACAGTCATCGAAGAAAATGACCAATTCAAAAAACCACGACAACAAACACTTAAAGCTGATCAAACAAGCAAAATAAGTCGTTGTTCTGTTTGTCGAAAGATTGATCGCAGTTTTAGAGTTCGCCCATCGAGCCCACTTCCAAGTGCTTCTGCATTTTCTCAAAGAGAAACTGAAGTTTATCATAGACGTAATGAGGTTCCGTTTGTACCGATCACTCCTCCACCACAACAGCAAACTCCACCACCAAGGAGAAGACGACCCAATGCTAGAAACCAAAGACAACGAAAGGAACGTGCAAGAGAGCGTGAAGAACGCGAGCGAGAAAGAAACTCGAGAAATAAAAATCAACGACAATGAACTTCCAGATCATTTTAAAAACATTATTTTGTGTTCTTTTTCTAGTTAACATTTTCTTTTCTTTGAAATAATTTCATGTTAAAGTACTCTTTGTATCTAACAAGGATTAAGCCAAGCTTGTAAAATCCTTCTGAGAAATAAATTTTAATTCTTTGTGCCAATAAACATTATTGTGTGCCTTTTCAAATGATATAAATTCAAAAACTTACACCAAATAAAAATTTGCTTTCATGATCCTATCTAAGGTATCATGGGACAATTTCATACTGCCAAATTGTAATTAAAAGTTTTTTTTATTTTCTGACATTTATATCAAGATTAACATTTATAAATAAAAAGGTTTGAAATAATAAAAATTAATTTTCTATTGATGTAGATACTTTTCAGCAAAAAAATAAAAGCATTTGATTTTTTTCTTTCCTTCCATTTATTTATTTAATCAGCATTAAAAATTACAAAGTGATGCTACATACAATCAGTTCATTTTTGATACCATTCAACACATGGTGATCTTCAATTTTATCGATAGAAGGAAAATGATTGATTGTTCGATTGAATAGGTACGTACATAAGAGTTGGAACAACTAGGGAACGGAAATTTATATTCATATTTATTGTTTTCATAAATTAATAACAGATGTTTGTCTTTCCTTCTTTCTGGAGAAGAAATGTTGTTAAGGATTGCTAACATTATTTCACAAAATCAGGATTCTTCTCAAGAAGATTATCAGTAAATTGTAGATGACTTTCGATAATTTGAAATAATTCTTGAGGTGCAGGAATTCTTCCAGTTGCAATTTTGGACCAAATAGGAATATCGTTAAGAGCTATTTCAAATGCTCCAGATGAAATGAGTTGAGCTTCAAGCATATTTGAGAAGAAGAAAGTCATCATGACTGCGAAAAGCTTATTATCAGTTGCCCAGGTCCAGAATGTCGGTGTTGCCATTCCCAAGAATCCAAATAAATCAAATGAACTTCCAATAAGAGCCATTAAGAGATATTTTGCTACTACGAGGATTTTTGAAATATACATGTTGAGTCCTATATGGAGAGTCAAATTTAGAACGTAAATAATGAAATTAGGTTCTGATAATTATTGGTTTTTAACCTGGAGGATCATAATTTGCTCCTGTGATGTGAATATCTGGATATTTCTCCAATATTATGCTACTGTATTCATCAAACGCATTTTTATAACCGCATGAGTAGCTAGAATTAAAAATAATGTTATCATTATACTAATACTGTTATCGCTTTCACTAATTACCAATAAAGAAAACTCAAAGTTGGTGCTGCTGCTGATTGAAATTTGGTATTTGCATTAATTTCTTGACTATTGACATTACTTGCAAATAGAATTCCACCTAAAATGACTAAACATATTAATAACCACTTTTTAGCTATAACTTGAATCATTGTGTTAGCAATTATGAGTATAAAACGAATTAAAATATATTTTTGTGAACTGCGATCTAATCGAATAATTTTTTTCTATCTTTGGAGAGTTTTTTTGTAGAGATTTTTAGAACTGAATTTCTTGAGGGGGTGGGTTTTATCGCTCTCACCATCACAGAATTTTTCATTTCCCTTACTTCAGTTTTCATCAAGATTTTCTTTAGGATACAAGGAAATATAGTGGTGAAAGATTTGATTTACTTAATTCAATTAGACTTTTAGTTGAACAAAAGTTCAATTTATAAGTCATGCTTTACCGTCAGATACTCAACAAAAAGTCTTAATCATTAATGATAACATAAAATCTGGTTGGATTTAAAAAATGAAAAGGATAGCAAAAAGAAAAATAAAATGGCCATAATATATTTTCTTCATTGGTGAGTAAAATGGTATAAATTTACTAAACATGTAGCGATAAGAAAGCTGAATTTCCTGAACTATTTACAATCACTTAATGAATAAAAATACCTACCACAAAGAAATTTCCAAAAGAGTTAGGAAAACGAAAACTTGCACAAATTAAATTATCGATTTTTTTATCACCAAAAGAACGACTCTGAAGGGAGAGGGTAATAAATTGTTGTAACATAGTAACATACCTATCTACTATGCAATGGAATAATTTACAAAGTACGTAAAATTTGTGTGGTTTATGAATTTAGCAATGTGTTTGAATAATTAATTTCATAGTTTGTCTGTAAAAAAAGAATTATAAATGTGAAAACTCTTTGCAACTTAAAAAATGCATGCAACCACCTATTTATACATGTAAAGAAAATATTTCCATTATTCACTTTAATTATTCCAATAATTAAAACATGAAGGAAAGTTAGTAAATGAGAATTTATATATGCAATCTTGATTAGTGGTTCGTACGATATTGTGATAAAGTCGATTGGAAGCAACACTTAACTATTGTTCTGAATTCTCCCTCTTCAATTATTTACATACAGTTCAATGCACTCTTAAAGGAAAATAATATTGTGGGAAATCAGGAAAGAAGTGGGAGAGTGAAAAAGAATCCTTAAACATATTTCTTCGTGAGTGATGGCAGATACTGAATTATCATCGACTGATAATAACAATTGTGATGCAAATCATCCGCTTGCAATGTATGGGTGCGACGATAAATGGTCGTTCAGTAAACGTGATAGATCACAGGAGGTCTATTTGAGTAACAATTATAAGACAGCACATTTTCATCCTAATTGGAGTAAAGGTACAGCAGGCATTCGTGGTACGAGGATTCTCAATAACGGGAGATATTTCTGGGAACTTAAAGTTAGTCAAAGAGTGTTTGGAACAAGGTATACAATCACATTTAGTTATTTCCATCAAGAAATATATTTAAATGTTATCAAATTTATTCTCAGCATGATGTTTGGGATAGGAACACGAAAAGCACGCTTGCATGTAAATTCATTTACAAACCTACTTGGAGAAGATGAAAACGGTTGGGGGTTGAGTCATAAAGGATTAATTTGGCATGGTGGTGTGGCTAAGCAGTTTTGTAATCGATTTAAAGAGAACGAAGCGACTAAGATTGGAATTCTTTTTGATGGAATTGCTGGTACATTGACATACTACAAAGACGATATTTGTTTAGGTGTAGCTTTTCGTGGATTAAACGAGGTTTGCTATTTCATTCTTATATTTGAAAAATTATATAGATTAATATCTATTTCTATTCTTGAAGATTCGTGAACCACTCTTCCCAATAGTCTGTTCAACAGCAGCAAAAACTGAAATGGTTTTATGTAACACAAAACGCGATTTTGCTAATCTCCAAGATCGCTGTCGCGCGACAATAATGAAACTAGTGAGAACACGTGATCGTCTCGAGACATTGAAACTACCATTCAGAATCACAAATTACCTTGCCGAATCGCTTTGTGAAACTCCTGATGCGATTTTAAACAACTATCCAAATTATTATGACTACATGGTTTGAAATCATCGAATGAAAGACTCGTTTCGTTACCACATTCCAATTGATAATATTTAAAAGAAATTTTAAGCTTAAGCTGTCTTTTGTTCCTTTCTTATTTATTTCAAACATTTTTAACTTAAAAATAATTCTGAAGTTCAATTTACTTCAAGAGATTTTGAAGATGAGTCAAAGTCTAGTCATTTTGCTAAGATATTTTAAGGGTAGATTTAAGTCTGTAAGTGTCGTTTGTGAGGTCGTTGATCTTATTCGTATAATTGTTCTTTCCCAAACACGATCTAGTCAAATTTCTTTTTTTTCCTTTCTAATTTTGTTATAAATTAAATATTTTTACTAGAATCTGTAATAGTTACGTAAGTTAGTTGTCGAAATTCTTTTTAAAAGAATTAAAAATAAGTAGTTTAGTCATTAAATATCTAGAACGAATAAGAATCATTGAGGATGTGTCAAGTGAAAGGAAATTGCGCACAAGATTTTCATTTTCGTCTCTTAATTTAATTTTTTCTTTTATTTCTTCATTTCCGGAAAGAATAAACTTTTCGAACGCCGTGAAAGTTTCGCTCGTGACATATTTCATAGAGCAGATAACGATAAAAACAAACTCACAAATAAAATTGACAACAGGAAATGTTTTCAACAAAAAAGTTTTAATGTCGAGAATGACTAAATGGCCATGTGTGCAATAAATGTTTAGCTTAGAAAACGGAAAAGGAAACATGGATTGACTGTACATTTTCCATTGTTTAGGCTTAAATTAATTTTTTATAACGAGATAAAAGTAAAATAAAAGAAAATGAATTTTCAAAGTTATTAAGATAAATTATTGGATATTTTCATCTGAAACCTTTATTTATGTTATTTTTCGTCAATACAAATTTCGTCTTACTTAGCAGTGTGTCTTGATTTACAGGAAATCATTTAAACGGTTAATTTACTTTGTTTCTTTTGTCTCTTTGGCTCCTTGCAAAGCTTCAGTGAGATAAAGTTTGGCCAATGATTGCGAGCAGAATTGATTGATGTGTTGCGAGACGGTGTTGATTTGTCCAGAGATAATCATTGGATTGAGTCTAAGTGGAACAGGCAAGGGACGGAATTGCTTCGTCACATCTTCTTCAGGAAGCGGTGGCTCGCCTTTAGCAATTCGTGCAATGTTTTCTTGAGTCAATTTATTTAACTGTCGATGCTTTTCTTGCTCTTGACGCATTACCATTTGTTGGTATTTATTGAACTTATTGGCTTCTTGATTAAGTTCATCAACACGATCCATCATTACTCGAATATGTCCTTCTAACACTCCAGCTGTTCCCAAATCGAGGAAATGAGAACCTTCTTCTTCTTGAACCATCTCTTGAAGTTCAGACATCATAATGTTCGACAAGGCTGAATTTCGAATATGAATGGGAATTTCAACGAAAAGTTTCTCGTAGCCAATTTTCAGCTGACGCAGTGCATCTGGTGTGAATTCACCTTCTTTATACATTGTAATAGCTTGTGGAGTCAATCGGTAAGCTTTTAATGTAAGAAACCCGCGAGCTGACTTTTGAGTGTCATAAACAACTACAACTGACTCTTCGATGCTTGTCTGGTAATGATATTGAGACTCGAGAAGAGTGTGAGACAAAAAGTTTCCAACATCTGCCGACTGATACCAACCAACGTGAAAATGATCAACATTAACTCGTCTTAAACGACGCATCATAGCCAATTGATATTCTTCTTCATCAACTGTTTCGTCAGTAGATTTAGGGAATGGAAAGCAATTCGTGATTTCTAGCCTATTTCCTTCTGATAAACCAAGTAAGGCTCCTTGAGCTACTTCCATGCTACCCTGCGACTCCTCATGGCAATGTTTCACCATTTTCATGACAGCCTAAAAATATACGAACAGGAAAGACTTTTAGAAGGATTCAAAATCATTTCTTTAAATTATTTTCTTTGAAAAAAAAAATCCACGCTGGAAACTTTTCTGTCAAAAAAAAATATTTCAATATTTTTAAGATAATTGTTATTTTCACATGAAATTCATGTTTTCTTGAATGTAACAAAGAAGTGGACTAACCAATCCATCACACTGAACATGAGTTATTTCTTTTTTGTTCATTTTCACGCTTTTTTTTTAATAAAATGTTAAAATATAAAACTTCTTGGTTTAACTGACTTATACAGAACTTCAGTACTAAAATTTGAGGAATCTGCTCAAAATTTAGTTTAAATTAGCGGTTTAACTTACACAGGTAAATTGTTCTAAAAGGCAATACAGTAGAAGTTCGATAAGCTGATATCTCAAGGGGGACAAAAAAAATATCAGCTTATTGAAGTTCCAATGTGAAAAGTTTAAGAACAACAAAGGTAACAGTTGACATTTAAAATTTCTTCAATTCTCTCTGAAATAGCACAAGTTGTAATACGAAAGAGGCAATAAGGAAATTCCTTAAACTCATTAAATTGAATAAGAATATTTAGAATTGAAAAGTTATTCCAGGTGAGATGAAATTAAGTAATTTTTATGCAATTGTTTTGATTTGAGTTTGGGGTTTGGTTGTGTCCTTGAAATGTTATGAATTTTTTCTTTTATTTCTTCTGTTGATTCATGTTAAAAAAAGATTTAAATTGGCTAAATATAAAATTGTGTGTTTGTAATTACAGCAAACGCTTTATCAAGTTACATTTTCTTTTGTATATAAACATATTGGATTTTTATGCAAATTCACGGAAATTTGTAAATATTTAAACCATTTAGAAACTACTTAGAGTTTACCAACAACAAAAGAAAAGTGAGAATGAAGTTTAAAAACTGATGACTCTTAAATATTCATTTTACTTTTCATCTTAATCAAAAATTTTCTAAATAGTTGCAACTGTTTTAACTCAGGCTGATAAACCTGTCGTTCTCTTAGTATAAAAATAGAAGTTCTCATAGCTCCTTCATGCATAAGTAACTCCAATTCCTCACTTGCTTTATCCAATAAACGACATTCCATTTTTGTGACCCGTCGCCTTGTGATTGTTGAACGATCATTCAATTTTCTTTATAGACTCAGCGATTGTACATAAATCGATAGACATGCCACCTGCAAATATATTTTATTATTTTTAAGTGAATTTAATCAGTTCTTGCTCAAATGTTACTAGACAGAACTGCTTCTTTTTTATAATTAAGCACTTTCACTGGTCATAAATAAGTTGTAAAATTTTATTTCAAAAAACCTAGCTTCTTGTTGTTTAAATTTTCTAGAACAGTGGAAATTCCTTAAACATTCAAAATCCAAAAGCTATTAGAAAACGCTTAATCGATGCCAATCATTCTTATCCGAGGAAATTTAGCCGGTTACAGTTCGAAGAGCTCACCATTTAGAGCGGTGGTGAGTGGTTTGAAACGTAAGTATATAAGTCATTTCACAATTCTCAACATCATCCGAGAGCATCATTCGTAGATTTTAATTGATATTTATAATTAACAAGTTTTTCAGTAATGTTTCGTTTATTTTTTCGTTGTTGTTTAATGTATGCTTAGTTTCTAACTGTTGTCTCTGGGAGAGGTCCATGGATATTTCCATTATCATATTTTACGTGCTTAAGTGTTATCAAGGTTCTTATCATCATCTGGTACGAGACCAGTTTGCATGGGTGGCATAAAAATCCAATAATTTATATTTTTAACTTCTTCGCTAACTTGAAAAGATTATTTTCTTTTGTTTTGCGGTTTTTCGGAAATTTTCTTCTGAGAGATCAATAAAACCAAGGAGAATAAAATCAATTTCTATATTTGGCGACTTCATTTTACTTATTTTATTTGTTGTTACTGGCAAATTATTCTTTAATTTAAAATATTTTATAATAATGTTTATAATTTTCTTTTCTTAGCTGCTGACATTGAACAATTGAATAGATTTCCTTGTGGTGGTTATTCGGATGAATGTTCAATTGTTTTCTTAGCTCATCCTTGCATCATTTTATCAGCTTTAGAAGTAAGTATTGAGGTTGTCATAGAAGATATAAGAAGAAATCAATAAACGATGACGAACAAATCATTTTTATTATCTTTTCTTTCATTTTCAAGGTTCTTGGTTATAGAGTCGTTGCATCTTCATCAACGGCAGTGAAACAAGATTATAACGAGTATATGTGGACAATGCGAAAAGAGTTTTCTGAACCAGAGCCTTTTGAAGATACAACAGTAACACCCCAAAATAAGATTGACGTTCCCGAATAAATTTCAAGAGATTTTAATTCATTCAAAACAAAAAGAAATTCATAAAGTTCTTCATAATGTCAACACCGCCAATTGTTAACAATCCAATGGTTCAGGCTTCGCCACCAACGATTAACAATCCAATGGTTCAGGTTTCACCACCAGCTATTAACAATCCAATGGTACAAGCTGCACCACCAGCTGCAGTTGCAACGGCCCCTGCTCCATCGAAAGTTGTTGTTCCACTTCCTATCATTCAACAACAAGATGAAATTTATTATTATGTTTTCATCAAAGCATCGCTTTACTCAGCCGATTCAGCTATTTTTGGATTGGAACAACAAGAGGTTCAAGCACTTTCAAAAAGATTTAACAGCACATTCAAGGAAATTGAGAATGGAGTGATGATTAAAAAGCCGGTCAGTGTCGTGGTCAATGCCTTAGCTCAACTTGGCTACAAAGTTATATCGACATGTGGAGAAGGTGAAACATTGTTCACTATGCAACGCGAGCTTTAAATTAATTTTCAATAATTCATTTAACATGGAACGAACCTCAGATAAATTTTTCTACCATTTCTCTCTTCAAATTCTTTATAAATATAATATGTTGAAAAATTAATTTAAATAGAAAGTAAATCTGCTCAAAGGCAGTTAATATTTATATCATTTAATAGAATTTAGCATTTATCTGGTTTATTATTGCAAATAACATTTACAAAAAGGCTAATATTTTGTTTTCACAGTATTTTTGTGCTTTATATGTATTAATCTTCCGTATCTAAGTTGAATAAATATCTAATTATGAGTTATTAAAAAGATTTAGGTAAAAGGTATTTTTGTTTTATCATGTTGATAGCATTTGGGGGCGGTTTGAATATGGAAAATTAAATGAAAACAACACGTAATGTTTAGTACTCAGCTGATTATTTTAGAACTCTACAAAAAAATTATCCAAAGAAAATTCTGAAGATAAATCCGAATTCTCAAGAATTTAAATATTAAATTCAAATTAACTTCTGTACAATATTTAGCAGTAACCAAATTAGTGGAAGGAGAGTGAAAAAATATAAGAAAGCAGTCATGTTGATAAGAAATTTACCAACAATCTTATTTCTTCTTATTTGGATTGTTCCAATGATAGTACGAGCAGCTGCATCACATAAACATGCTCATGGAAAGGAGCGACTAGAAGATGGTGCATTCAGTCCAAAGGATCATGATCATTTCGATGGAGAAGGTGAGGAAGAATATGAAGAAGAAATGTTGTGCAATACTCAAATTCTGTTTTCTTTTTGTTTAAGGTGAACATCACTCTGAGTTTGATCATGAAGCTATATTAGGTAGTGTTAAAGATGCTGAAGAGTATGATAATTTACCTCCAGAAGAATCAAAACGTCGACTGGGTTTGTTAGTACAAAAAATGGATTTGAATAGCGATGGATTTATTGACCGGCATGAACTCAAAGCTTGGATCTTGAGAAGCTTCAAGAAACTATCAGAAGAAGAAGCTGAGGATAGATTTGAAGATTTAGATGAGGATAATGACGATAAAATATCGTGGGGAGAATATGTGAAGGATGTATATGGATTGGATTCCGACGATGGCTTAAGCTCTATCGATGATGATGAACAATCAAAACTGTTGGAAGATGATAGACAAATGTTTAAAGCTGCTGATCTTGACAAGGATGGATTTTTATCTCTTGATGAGCATGTAAAGTTTCATTCACCCGAGGAGCATCCTGACATGTTGCCACTTATCCTCCATCAAACATTACGCGATAAAGATTTAAATAAAGACGGAAGAATCGATTTTCAAGAGTTTATTGGAGATCAAGGAAAAGGTCATGATAAAGAGTGGTTGTTGACAGAAAAGGACAGATTTGACACGGATTTCGACAAAGACCATGACGGTTATTTGAATCATAATGAAATTCTCTCTTGGATTGTTCCAAGTAACGAAGAAGTTGCTGTTGATGAAGTTGATCATTTATTTGCAGCCTCCGATGAAGATCACGATGATCGTTTATCTTATAATGAAATCATAGACAAATACGATATCTTCGTAGGCTCCGAAGCTACTGATTATGGTGATCATCTTCAAAATATTGATGAAATTCATGATGAACTTTAGAATGGTCGAATGGATCCAACATAATAAGCACAAACTTCATGCCATAACACACCAAAAAAAAAAGTTGAAATAAACTCTTTCCTCAATCTGCTTCCATGAACATAAAACGTCAAATATTCGCTATTAGGTAAGTGAACCACCACAACTGCTGCTTCTGAATTTACTTACGAGATTAAATTTACATAAATTTAAATAACTAACTTTAAAACGCATTTTCTCATTTAAACAAACAATTTCTCATTTATCTACTCATTTCACGATCTTTTTTTTATCATTTTGTCGTATTTATTGTTTCTTCTATTTCATCTTTCAAAACATTTTTAAGCATACTTAATCGTCTGACATTCTGATTGATTAAGAAATAAGATTTGTATAAAAAAAAATAAACAAACAAAATTAAAGATGAAAATAATTTTTTTTTGTAAAGAACTTTGGGAATTTTTACATAAATTACACAAAAAGAAGAAAAGAGCAAGAAAGAAAGGAAATAAATGATCAAAGGTGGATTTTCTTAAACAAAAAAAGGACGTAGAGATAAAAGTTTAATGACGAAGCTATTGGTGTGAAGTTTAAAGTCTCAAGCCGGGATTTGTGGCTGCAACGTAGTTTAAAAGTTCATCAGAGTCTTCGCAGACGAAAGGTTTTTCATGATAACATGCTGAGAAAGAAAAAGTAATTAAAATTGTTGGAAATTTTCGTGAAATGTTTCAGAATACTTACCAACATCATGCCATGCAATACCATCGTTATAAACATTGTTGAGAACTGAGAGACAAGACTCTGATGTTTGGTTAATATCGAACTCTGCGTTGTCTGGTTGTGCGATTTTCTTGTGTCCAGTTTGAGACCATGGGTTGTATCCCCAACCTGGTGGGTTGCGGTTGGTTGGTGTAACCTTCTCGCGATTTGCAGACCAGAACCATCCATTGAGATTCTTTGGCAATAAATCCTTGCGACCTTCACAACCTGTTAATTATAAATGATTATTTTTTACTGTTATTGTGTGACGTAAGTTTTGTTTTCTTACCGTCGAAGTCACACAAACGACCAGACGTCCAAATATAAGGAACATCATTTTCTTGGATTAATTTGAAGATAAGATTGTTCTCGTCTTGAGTTTCAAGTGAGACAGCATCCATACAGTATTCGCGGCAAAGGTTACGTGCTTCCAACCAATCAACACGTTTGCCAGCAAGAGCGGGAACATCTTCACTGTAGAAATAGTTGTGGCCTTTGAATTGGAATTTCTTGGGTCCTGGGAAGATTTCAGAAATTTTATTACGAATGTTTCGTGATCGTCAAGTAATTAAGATTCATAAGTTTTTCCAACACTTCTCATGAAGAATGAAATCGAAAGATCACAGCAATTGTTTTTGTGTTACGCAACAATCTGCATTGACCGAGTTTGCGATTATTTCTTTTCTTCTTCTGTTTCACGATGAGATTTTTTTTTAATAAAATGAAAGGAAAAATATTTGTCGTGATGTTTATCTTGCGTGTAAGCTTTTAATATTTAAACTTCTTGCAGACACAACGCGCCCTCATTTAAGTTCCTTAACAAAATTTACTTTTTTCTTTCATCAATGATTAATTTGAATAATTTTCGTCGTTTTCACAAGTTTAACTTTATGCTAATTTAAATAATTATTATGAACAAAAATAATAAACTCCAAAAGCATGACAATCACGAAAGAGTGTTGTCGATTATGCAATTGCGAAAGGTCGCACAAGTGAACGAAAAAAGAAAATAAAAAAATTATGTGTGAAGGCAGCGAACCTGAAGCGCAATGTGAATGCGAACAAATTGACGCGAGACGAGTTCATTTAACACTCTTGAAGTAGGTGAAAGAAAACATCATTTATTCAACGAAAGAAAGATTCAGTTGTGAGTTGAATGTCATCATCAATTATCTTAATTTTTCACATCAAAGGAGAAACAAAATTTCAACCTGACTATCATCGGTCGTTCATCATACAGTTTATGTTTAAACTTTTTTTATCTCAATGTATTATGATGAGGCACTTGAACTTTACAGCAAGCAAAGTGAGTTAAGTCACGCTACAAATTATTTCCCAATATATGAACGGGATGCGACGATGAGTCTTTCTTCTTTTAAAGTCCACAGGCAACAAACATGTCTCGAATTATTAATTCATAATTAATTCGTGTGAGCTCTATTTGAGTTATAAACTGGTTTTAAAAACGTTGCTTTTTACGCTCCTAACTTCAACTCGATTCTTCTACGAGCTTTAAACATCTACCTGATCTTGTTACTAATTTTAGCTTATCGCAATTTATAAATAAGCTGTGGCAAAGAAAAGCAAATACTTCGTAATAAAGTCGTTTAAATGTCACGTGTTGAATCCATCATCACGCCCAATGTCCATTTAAATATATTTGAACCTTTGTCACGACAAAGACAGCGTAATTTAACTTAAATGTAAACAAGAAACTACCAAAAAGGTTCAACACATTAAGAAAGGCAAAAGTCAAATGACTTTTAATGAATTGGCAAATTTCTATGACTTGCAATAAAAAAATCGTTGGAAACTTTTAAAAAAAATTATCTTGTTTTGTTTCTACTTACGACTTGCACACTTGTTTGGATTAGGAAGTGATAAGAAACGGCCTTTTGGATCTCCTGATTTGCTTCCTCCGCTCTTTACTTCGTTGATGGCTGCTGAACATACGAGAACACAGCAACATGCTGTGAGTGCAAATAATGTGATTTTCATCTACAAGAATCCGAAAAAAAAATTGTTAAATTATTTAAAATCTACCGGATCTGCAACTTGCAAAAAATAAACATCAAACACCCACTCAACAATAACATTACGTAAAAAATAGAATTTAATGTGATTAATTTTTTGAATCTTCAAATCGTTTGTCGAATTGTTGATGACTCAATTGCGGATCTGCATGTAAATCTTTCGATTAAGCAATAGTGAAGATCAGAGATCAAACAAGATCATTAAGTAAACTCTTAAAATTATTTTTCTTTGTCCATTTGTGGGGTTTTGTGCTCTTAATGTGTGATTAAGATAATCATCATCAAATGTTTGAGCTTCGCCCCGTTCCAGTTTGATGGTAGATTTGTTGATCTTTTAAATACCTTTTATGTAATTTCAAACGATGATGTCAAAGCAAATGGATACGCTTATGATTATCAGTGAAATAATATATTACACAATAGGTAGCAGTTGTACATCGTCGCTGTCTCTTTTTAATTTTTTCTCTAATTTCTTTTAATTAAAGAAATGAAGCGAAAATTTCACCTTTTATACTTGAGAAACAATTCTCTTTAATGTATTTCGAAGTTTTGTGCATATGAGAAAACCTTGGTGAAAATAAAAGTAAGAAATTTTTAATTCGATTGTGGCTTTCTTGGTTTTTTTCCACTATTTTTTATTACGATGAAGGTTGATTGGATTTAAGGGAAATGATATGAAAGGGAAAATTTCTAATTTATATGCCTTTGAGAAACTAATGCACCAGAAATATGTATGTGGTGCTGTTAAACCACTAATATGCAAAAAATATTAAGGAAATAGTTTTGGCAAGTTGATAATATCTCGAAGATAAAGAAACGAATGCAATTTTGTCGTGATTTGAATGTTCATCCATTTCTTGATCGAATTTAGAATCCTGAAACTAGTCAAGAGCAGCTTAAATTTTACACCAACACTACTGAAATTAATTTCAACTTCACAATTCATTTATTATTTATGCTAATTAGTCCATCGAGATATTTTCTTCATTTCAAATATTTTCAAAAGTTCATTTATGTGTTTATTTTGATTTTCTTCGAAATCATAAAATTTCATTTGATTTCACAATAATTTCGTCACATGCACTCACGATTCTTACCTTTTTACTATTAGATGTTGATTAATCCAAGAAAAATTAATATAAAATTGTTGTGCAATTATCTGATAATAATCCAAATGATTTCTTTCACTCGAACTATCACTTTTACTTTCAATTTGCCAAAAATATCCACCTTCAGTTAAGGTGTCTAAACCGATCGAAAGACAAACGAAAACAAAAGTATTTTCAACGATCAGCAATGATTTTATAGCTGGGCATCAGCAATAACAAGAAAAGAAGAAAAAAAACTTCAACTTCAATTCTTGTTTTTTTCCTTCGCATGTTTGAGAAGTTATAAGCCGTGTATACAGAGACAAACAAACGAAGACGCGTTTTCGAGTGGGGACCGTCATGTAATTCACATCGCAACGAAAAAATGAAAAAGCTGATATCTCCGAAGTGATAGCAAATATTCGGTATTCGATTATGAATGTTTGTTTATTGGAGGCTTGACACTACAGTAACATGCTTTTCAATTATCTAAGAAGTTTAGAAGCTTTTTAGAAGGTAGAAGAAAGAAAGAGACCCTAAACCAGTCAACATGATGTGAAGTCAAATACCTCAAGAAGATCGTCAACCTTTCAAGCATTCATCTTTAACTGAATCCATACGAGTGGGTGAATTCAACGTATAAATAACGAGAAGATACTTCTAGAACGTCGTAAGACATCTCAAGATAAGATTGGAAGAAAAAATATTTAAATTCATGCCGAGCAAGCGTTTCCGATACTAATGTGAGAAACTTGTCTCTAATGATTATGATATTGTGTTATGCTTACGCTGTTTAACGTTTCGCCAAAACTTTATGTAAATATTTGATGAAAGATTCGTCAGCCTATGTTGATTCAGTAGATCATTACAAAGTGGGAATCACTTTTTTATTATTTCCCTAAATATCTTCAAGCTATAAAAAACTTTTCTTTGGAATCTTCGAAATGAATGAAATGTCCACAGTTCATAGAATTTCTAACCGGTTGGATTATGAGTTGATAAATCTGTGTTTCTATATTTGAAACCTGTTGTAAGAAGCGGATCTTAAAAGATCGATTACAAACTTTTTATCGATGATCATTCAATCATTTGACGAGAGTACCTGAGAGATAAAAGCTGTGAACGAAGAGTGCAAGCAGCTCTTGACATGTTTCATTCAAACTCAATTAGCACGACGAAACTTTACCACAAATATCGCACCTTGTTAGGGGACGAAACATCACCACACAAACAATTGATTAAACAGGTAAATTTTTGGTGAAAATATCTTCTTGATGTCGTGTTCGCGTTATTAGATGAGTTATAACATTAACCTTGATAGTTGAATCTTTTATAAAAAAGAAACAAGTGAAATAAAAAGCATTTTCTCCGCAACAAAACGAACCTGTATCGAATGCAAAGTGTAAACAGCGATTGCGTAAGACTTAAGGATTCGAAGTGGTCGCAGTGCGAAGCACAAATTAAGAAAAGAAGAGTGTGGCTGTTGCCGGCAAAAGTAGGCTAAACAGGGGAGCAGACTGTTGATTGGGTCATTTACATATAAGATATTTTCCCTTTTCATTAAACGTCAGACATGCTTGAAAATATTTATTTCAATTCATATATATCAATGATAAACGTGAATGGCAAAATAATGAAGACATAAATCGCGATCGGGCGCCTATACAAGTTGGAACACCTTTTGCAGTTCGTTGCTTGTGATTCAATGAACAAAGCAAAGTGCAATAGCAGACTTTTTGCAATTGATTGGGAAGAAAATACAATTGAAACAATTGTACAGAAGATTTTTTATTGTCTAATGTTCCAAAGCTTCATAAAGAATTATTTGATGCAACAAATCTGACTTATTGATGCAAGAAACAAGATTTGTGAATGCAATCGTCGTTGTGAATGTGTTGACGAAATACATAAAGTCTCAAAAGATTCATTTTAGAAAGCATCAATGTCATTGCAAACTTAATTACAGTAGGAATTCTCGTTGAAAAATGTTGTTCGTCAGATGATTTGCTCAGAACTTTTAACTTGTTTAAATCTTTATTTAGAGATTTTAGAACACTCAGAGCTTCTCATCATACAATGAAGAAATGTGTTAGATTTGCATACAATGAAGTGTTTAAATCATTTAACATCAATCTGCAATTTTATAAGTTACATTGTCAGAACATGAAGTTTCAATTCTAAGAACTTTTAAAACTTTAATTGAAAACATTAATTTCAAATAGCGATAATCTTTCTGTTTTAATAAACTTTTATTGCAAATGAATGTTAAGCATTAATTGTTTTGTAAAAATAGATTACCCTTCACAATTTCCCGTAAATAAATCGTAAGTGATGAAGCATCATCCCAGAATAAACGAACGATGGCTTTTAGCCTTCAAATTTTGCTCATGAAAAAGCAATAAACATTAAATTATAGTTTCTGTATTAAAATATCTCCTTGTAGTCAACTTTTGTCCATCAACAGAAATTATCATCTTCGGTACAATATTATAGTCGATCGAAGATGATCACAAATGATGCGAATCCGCAATCTCGATTAGCGTATCGTGAAATTAAAATAATTCACTTCCGTTAAATAAAAAAATCTATTGATTTATAATTGTAAATCAAACGCATCACAATCGATAATTAAATCATTTTTCTTTTTAATTAAAAAGATTTCAAAGAAATAAAAATGCAGGAATTTAAGAATCCCGAGTTGAGTAATAAAAAGAAATAAAATTAACATCAAAAGTGCATGTAGATAAAATAAGTAAATAAATATCCGCTATAATTAAATAATTCTATCATTGATTAAGTATTCTGACTCCTTGAATAATACTTTCTAATCAATTATAAAGACGACTTTAATGTTGAACGAAAATTTCAATTACTGCATTTGCACAACTCATCAAATATTCCAATCTCCAATCAAAAACTGTACAGATATAGAAAGAGATATTTATTACCCGCTGTTTGTTGTCTATTTTTATACAGACAACGAAAATATTGAAGAAGAAGTCGATAAATCACGCCTCAAATAGATGTCATTACCAATGATTATTTTGTTCGTTTTTTAACGTGTGATAATCATTTAAGCATTAATTAAGTAACTACTTTTTTTCTACTTACTACTATGCTTCAAACAATCCGTGTCAGGGGGTCAATTTTAAATAACATGCTTTGAAGCTAACAACATACACTGAAATCTGGTAGATGAATGGTTGAAAGCGAACATAGATATGATGATAATTAGTTGGGCAACAATTTCAAATAGTGTCGAATAAAATATCATCATGCGGTGTTGAATGATGTTACCTGCACCGCAATCGCTGTTTTACATGGCACATTGCAAGCTTATGTGGTATCAAACTTGGTATCGAGAATTCTGCTTTTGAAGTTAATATTTTTAATACACTCAAAAAGTTTTTTTACATCGAACATCGATGAAACCAAGTCAAGGTGATAAAATCGATGAACAGTGGTTTGTTTTCGTGGAACATTTCTTGGAAGAAATATTTACTTTTATCGTCATCGTCTGGTTATTTGCTTTCCTCTCTCCCATGAGTGTCGTTTGTGATAATAATTTTTATTAACATTCTACTATAAAATGAAGTTGCTTTTAATTAATTCCAGTTCATTCTTTTAACATTTGAACATCGAATCATCATCAATCAATGATTTATTCCATAATTATTTTGTTAAGTGGATCAATAGACTTAAATGACGTTGAAAGACGAAAACCTTGACCTTATCACAATTGCAACAATTATCATCTAGAAACATCGTTTTGAAGATACTCGAACGACAATCAAACTGTTGACAGCTAATGTCGAGGTTGAATCTAACATTGATTTTGCTAAATAAGTTAAAAATGTTTTAATTCAACTGATTAATAGCTGTTAACAATGATTTGTGTCTGTTGATTGAAACAATCAATTAAGTGTGCAAATTAATAATATTTGCGTGTGAAGTTCTCACTTTAAAATAGAGTAATAATTTATGACTAAATGTATTTTATGTTGTAAGTGATGAAATAGAAAACTTAATTTGCAGCTTAATTCTTTTCTACAAAGATACATAATGGAAGTTGAAACATAAATCTCAAGACTTAAAACAGTATCAAGACTTAAGTTTCAACTTCCATTAACTATCTTTGTAGAGTTTCATTGTGAAACTGTTGAATTTGGAATGATTTAAATCGTGTAGAGATGAACAGTTTATAAATGAAACAATCTTTTTAAGTAGGTACGAAAACCTTTAATTTTATTTTCCAGTAAATTACAACCGTTCCTATTTATTACCTTATTTTATTTAATTTTAGTTGCTTCACGTTTAAATATAAATATCAATAATTGTTGATACATAAATTATTTGGATGTGTGTCGATCTTAAATAATCATAAATCGCTATTTTCTTGTTAAATATTCAGTCTGCTGTTTTGTAATTATTTAATGGAAATGAAATATATTTGGTTCAGATTATTTAAATAATTATAAGTTAATTATCTTAGATTCGAACTTATGTCTTGAATTATCAAAAAATTCTTTTCGTTTAATATTTTTCCACTTCCTTCTTTACGTATTTGTCTGCTGTTGCGGATTGATTCCCACTTGTTGTTGTCATGTCACCAACTTTCGGTGGAATGTAATAGAACCATGCAAGGAAGAAGAAAAGCACCGAACAAGCTTTTCCAACAAGTGCTAACAGTAACATGTACTTTGCCATAGCTTTGTTGTCATAAAGTAAACATGCACCACTATCTGATCCACAGTTCTCTTGCCATAAAACGCACGATTCATCAATAAGCCTTCCAAAGATTATAGGCGCAGGAATTGTTCCAAATATTCGTACAACAATCCACTGAATTCCCAAAGCAAACGAACGAATTTTATCATCGACACATCTTAAAGTCCCTGACAAAGCTGGCATTGTTGCAACGAAAGTGAAGAACATCACAAAGAAACACAGCACGACAAACATTCCTAAATAATTGCATTTTGACTCGCACATTGTATTGACAGCATCATAATCTCTGAAAATTGTGTTTTTATGTTGATGTTTGTTGCTTATGTTATGATTCAGCACAAGATTATTTATAATGCAATCGCAATTCTGATAGACTTTTGAACCGTCAACGCTCTTCTCAACACGACAACCAGCAAAACATGGTGAAAAGTATAAAAGTCCATCAGCTCCACATATCTGAAAATTTTTAAAGTTTCTTAAATAGATTTGTGAAAATATTAAACTTAATTAAAAACTCACCGGTTCATAATTATTCTTACTGCATCCACATTGTCGATTACATTGACTGTCCAAGTCATGTCCTGACATCTTCAAAGTATATCTTTCATAATTTCCATCTCCAATAATTGCTTTACTCTCAGCATATTCTGATGACTGATAAGCTGATGTGACACCAGCAAAGTTTAAATTAGGACATGACAAGAAAAAGCAAATTGTGAAGAGAGCGGCAAACATCGATGCAATCATGCAAAATTTTATTGTTCCCGAACAACAAAGTTTGAGTTTCTTTACTAAATATCCACCAAGAAATGTTCCACCACCACCAGCTGGTACTGTTATCAAACCTTTGTAGAATGAAAAGTTTAATCAATCTCTTTAAATTCTTTTCACATTAAACTTACCCATTAATAAAGCAGCCCAAACAGCAGTGACTGAGTATTGATTCTCGATTTGTTTCGGAAGAAAAACAGCAAATCCAGAAATGATTAAACCTTCAGAAGCTCCCGCCAAGTTTAGAAATAAAAAAGTTGGATTTCTTAATAGTGATAAAAATGCTTTTGGAATTTCGTTCAGTTTGGTGAATGCTTGTGACTTTTGCTTATCGCCATTATGAGCTTCTGAGATTTTTTGTAACTTTTCTGAACCTGGTAATGTCTTTGGATATGCAATCAATGGAATAGCAACGAGTAGACATACGAATGAAAATATTAAGAATCCAATCCACCATGCGCCAACCCAAACTTTACTTTCAGGTGTCAATCCAAGTCTGATGGAATGAAAATTAAAAAATATTAAATAAAATTCCATTTTTCTGTGTTGTTTACTCACGTTAATGGATCTACTGTAATGAAGTCAGTGTACAATAAGAGAAGCTGTGAACCAACAACGTAGCCTAAAGCTGGTCCGATTATCGCCATGGTGTAAAATATCGCTGAATGAATGAACAAAATATTAAACAATGAGTGCAAAATAATCCTTAATTTCATTAAACAACAATGACGAAGCATCGTCATAGAAAAAAAAGAATTCTCTGATGTTGTTATGCAAAAATTATCACTTTCCACCATGTCATTCAACCGCGAGAGAGAAAAAAATCCAAATGCGATGTGTAGGGGAAATTTTTAAACAGGAAAATGAAGTTTATCGCCTTAAGGACGGAAGTAACAAACAAAAATCCTGACACAGCAAAAAAAAAAATAAGAAAACAATATTTTCCTTTACCATCAGTGGAAGTTTTGCAAAGTCAGGAAAACACTTCAAAGTTCTTATTAAATAAATAAAACCGTCAAATGACAAAAAGCCATTATAGCAACGAAGTTATCTTCATGTTGCTATTTCAACATAATATTTTCCTGTTGCTTTTTTAAGTATTCTATAAAACTGGTTTCAGTTCATTTTGAATGCGGTGGCATGGAGACGAACGATGATGTTTATCATTTGAATGAAAAATTGCTCACTCACCCAAATAAACACTCGACATCTTCTTAGAAACATTATCGTCAATGTAAGTAACGCCGAGGGTGTATAGCGGTGAAGCTCCTAAATCAAATAGAAGTGAATTAGGGTCAAGTAGCAACTTCATTAACTCACCTATGCCATGAAGTAGTTGAGCGACAAAAAAGAACCAAACATTCCACGAAACATCTTCGACAATATTTTTCTCGTTCTCATCCATTGAACAATCTGACGATGTCGAGTTTCCTAAGTTCCCACAAACATTATTTTCTGGGTTTTCTGCTCTGTAAGGGCCGACAAGAAAGTGTGGCAGTGAGAAAGTGAAGAAACCCAAACCCATGATCACAACACCCCAGCCAACCCATTTAGGCTTTGAAGCTCCAACACGACCACCAAAGTAAGAGACAGGAACGAGACAAAAAAAGCTGGCAATATCGTAGCCTAAGACAATATAATAAATAAATTTTTGAAGGTACTCATGGTCACACGTCATTTAAGTATCGATCAAATAACGCCTCAAGATTTTGTGTTTCTCACCGCTTGCGATAAATCCAGTCTTGCGTGATTGCAGGCCGAAACGACGCTCGATGGTAGTAATCACAACATTTATGAATCCATTCACAACCAGACCTGAAAATGATTGAAGTTATTATTTGCACAAAAACAGCTGGAAGTGATAATGAAATGTCGTTTCTATTGGCTTACAACTTCACATTTAAAGGATCAACTTTAATGACTTTTATTACTTTTTTTGTGATTCATCTCCAAAGCAACCCGCAGTTTAACGAGAAGTTTAAATTTTTCTTTTTCAAACATTTCTGTTCATGATAATTGCTTTGAAATTTAATCTCAAGGGTCAATTGTCGTTACTTTTACGACATAAAAATATTCAGTTGCGATATTTGCAAGTCGTGACATGCATGCATATTAAAATAATTAACCGATTTGGGTTTGAGTTATTGATACTTAAAGTTTTGCTTAATTACAAATTTTTTTAATTTTGAAGAGAAGATAATTAATTTCATCAACATATTTAAATAATCTTAAGAAAGATGCAACAGGCAATGTCTTCTAAAACAAGTTTCCTTCTTTCTTTACCTTTATCAATCTGAATGACATTAATTACAAAGATTCATCATTTACTTGCTCGCTTGAATCCCCCTTAAGCCAAACCAACTCAAATTTATCTAATGGAATTATGTTTATGTACCGTGAAAGGGAAAAAAACGCCATTCGTTAGTCATCCTGTGATATTGCCGTCAAACACAATTACAGTCTGTGAATGGATCGCATCAGACTTTAAAATGAACGTCATTAACACTTTTGAAACGTATTAACTTCTCATCTAAATATTCTCGGGCTCAAAGTTTCTTTCTTATGATAATTTCATGTTGATTCATGTTAAGAAATCTTTTCATTGTGCTCTCATAAATTAATAAAATGTTTTATGAAAAGATATCAAATTTAATATAATATTTAATTCCTTAACATTCTCTCTTGTGCTGGCAGTTTAACAAATTCCAATTCAAAGACCTTTATTTGTTGTGTAATTCTGTCAAATACATCATATCTCTCCTCTATTTATGCTTCTATTTTCGATTTTCCCTATATTTCGATAATGTTTATGCTCCGTGCATGACGGCATGTTTTTGTCTCTTGTTGAATCGTTTTATAAGCTCTTGCTTCCTTTTAAGAAATAATAAGAAGGGAACCGCATTTTTGTTAGAAGAGAAATTATAACAAAAGCAATAAAGGGAAAATGTCAACAAAATTTACTGTAATTTAATAGTCGCGGAGCTATTGTGATGTGATCAAATGCAATTAAGATGGGAAAAATCAAGATTTAATGGAAATAAAGATAAATAAACGTTAAACGATTTGAGAGAAAGAATTGGAAATCTGATTAAATGTATGTTGAATTAACTTGAAGTTGTTGGTAATGTTTTGAGTTTTTAATTGGAAAATTCCAATTTGCAAATAAATTTCTAAAGACTTCAACAACACCAACCAACCCTTTAAAAATTGTTCAATTTTTACTAAATAATTTTTCTTCTCTTCAAACATCCTGCAACCCCTTTTGATGTTACCAAAAACTCATAAATCTGGCGACACTTTATTACTTAATATTTTTTAAACCATTCACATTTAATTTCTTTTGTTTATTTAGGATTCAGTGCGACGTTTAAAATGAAAATATTTATCTCGTGATGATGTATCAAATAAAAAATAATCTAAATCACAAACAGCTGTAACTTGATAAGACGCAAGACGATATTCAGATAATGTCAGAATGAAAGAAGGAAAATATATTTGTTTATTTTTTTGCTTCTCTTGCAGTTTTTCGTATGCTCTCGCAAGCAGAAAAATTATTCTTGTGGTTCGTTGTCCTTACTAAGAAATATCAAGATTAACTTGTAAGAGAAAAAATATTCTTATTTGTTATGAGAAATTCTACAATCAACGAAAGTTTATGAAGAAAAGAGAAATTGAAGTACGCTTTTAGTTTAGCATATAAATTGTTTGGATATGTTTAGAAAAGATAAGATGAAATGTCTCAAGACTTTTTACTCATCTAATCGGATGAACAAAATATTTTTTAAACGTTGCAAAAACAGAACAAGTGCTTTGAATTATCAAATTTCACAAGTGAATTGCCATGCAGCAAAAATTCTTCTCGATTCAATTACCAACACAGCATGACACTCGAACTCATAGAAAGATTATAAGCGATGCTTGATATCCAACGATGCCAACATTTCAATTAAACATTTTCTTATCATCCTCGTAAGATAAAATTTTAAATAAATTTTCATGAACACAACTTATCAAGACAAACCATAAATAATCTATCGTTTAATGAACGCTTTCAGATATCAACGCAAATCCATCAATCGGAAAGTTTTTATCGTGATTATCGTAGCAGTTACAAATGATCTAAACGTGACTTTTCATTCAATTTTCAGATCAGATTAATATTTTTGTTGCTACTGTTGTATTCTTCTTCTTCTTCTCTTACTCATTTCATTCACGCTGCCTCATCTGATTAATCAATAGTTGGTCTCATTTGAATGAATTCCATGTTCTTTGTTCTGGATTTATCGTGTGACGGAATGGTGTTAATCAACACGGTTTATTTAAGTTAAGAGTCAAGGGTGAGTTCAAAAATCCCGTAACAAATCATTTCATTTCTTTTCTTCATCGACAACTTCTAAAATATAATGACAAAAGCGTTACTTTATTGACTTACACTTCAACAATTCCAAATTCAATCGATTTCATAAACATTCAAAAAGTCGTTTGTATATTTTTGTTTCGCGCATTAAATCACATTTTATTTCATTGTTCTATCGAAGTCATGTCTGAAAAGTGCGGAGGTAGATGGGGGTAGATCTAATAAAAGCTCCAGGTTCATTTTTCTTTTTTGTTGATAAACAAAATCTGGTAACCTAGCAAAGCGCTTCTCCCATAAACATAAAACTGAAACGTCATTCGATTCCCAAGGAATAAATTGCCAATTTAAACGGTAAGCAAGGGAAAGTTTTATTTTTCCTTCTATTATATTAACTTTCATTTTTGTTAGTACCGAGACCTTATAAGTAACAATTGCGAAGTGAATATAATTTTTTCATTTTAACATGCATGGAAGTTATTTGAGTTTGTTTGGATGATTTAATAACAAACATCTACATACATAGATACTTTCATCTTCCACTTGTCATTCCAATTTGTTAATGGTTCTCAAGTCCGGAAGAACAAAACATTTTCTAAATATTTATCACATAAGCGTACGAGACATTTTCATAATTTTTATGATTAAATATTATTTATGTATCAGTTCCCCGAAAAAAAAACTTCTTAATCAACACTTTACAAACCATCACTTTGTTGGTATTAAATCAAATTAAAATTTATGTGATTTTTATTGTAATCGTAGCTCTTAAGAAGATAAAAATGAGTCGATGACAAAATTGAATTATAAAAACTTTCCTCGACTTGTTATTTTAAAAATGTGGATAAGTACTTGAGTAAATCGCATGAATTGAGATCAACAATTGATCTACTCATACATTTTATATGATGTGACAAATTACAATTATGATGGCGAATGGATTGTAGACGAAAAATAAGAAAGAAAGAAAGAAAGAATTGTTTTTCTCAGAATAAATTTCTTTACATATTCTTTCTCCGTGACTAATTTATCATCGACATCATCAGTCAGCATCACTTCCATTGAATTAAATTTCTTCTAATCTCATGACTCATTCCATCAATTACCTTGAATCGCGCCAGCTAGACATAGAAAAGCTAGAGCATATCTTGGATTCATGAAGCGTCTCAAAGTTTTCGGTCGAAAGTTCCACCAACCGCATGTTTGCGTAGCATCTTCCATTTCACTTACACCTTTCACGTTCTCACAATCACTTCGAGGGCCCACAGAGACGTCATCAATTGACGATGATGGATTTATTGTTATTTTATTGTCCATAATTGTGCCATCGTCAATTGGACTCTGTTTTAGAAGCGGTGGATTAACCGCGTTATAACTCATATTATTAGGTGACGATTTTTTCGTTGCGAGTTGTTTGAGTGCATCCGATACTCCCACAACTTCCGTATTCTTATTAATAGATTCGATCATATTTATGAATGATTTATAAGCGACAAAACCGTTAATTTAGTTCTCGAAAATATTACATCAATATTTAAAACATTTCCATGAGATGTAAACTCACTTGTCAGTATAAAAACAACAAATTTTTCATTTCAATATTGCACATCACTTTCAAAAATTTAGCAAAAAGCTTCTTGAATTAATCGTTTTGTTCAATTTTTTTTGGGAATTAAGAAAATTAAGTTAATTGAAATCGCAATAAAAGTTTAGAATCTTAATTCTTTCTTTCATGAATGTTCATCACTGTTTACTTTAGAATATTTATTTATACGACCAACTCACACGACATCCGAACACAAACTGAATCTAAATGACAACAAAATGTTTTTCACTTTTTTCTTTTACGATACGCATGCCATTTGAGGGATGATGATGCAATGAAGGAAACATTCAACATAATAAGAAACACGTTTCGAATTAAACAAAAACATTATCGCGCCGATCGAGGTACCTTTTGTTGCTTTCATTTTCATAAATTATTATGATAATAACTTGAGAAGTTGATGAACCTGTTAAAACTTCCTATTAAATACAAATTTATCACTAATCGGAAGTAATTAGGTATCAAAACTAACAATCAACAAGTGCATCTAAGAAAGTTATCGCATGGCATACTAAGATGTGCAACATCAACAAAACATTGATTTTATTGTTTTCATTCAATGTTTCTTTCTCTGAATGTTTTCACTTGTTTCGGTTACTAAAATTTGAAGAAAAATTGTTGTGTCCTTAAAGTTTAAAAACTAGGTAGGTATTTTTTTATTTTATTTTATATCAAAAAAAAGTTTTTTATATTTTAATCAATGCTTGCTACATGCCATCCATATTATAGAAGAAAAAAACTTTTAAAATATTATTAAATAGAATAGCGATTGAAACGAATTTAAATGAAATAAAAGTTAACTCATGAAGAATAATGTTGTCTATATGTAGAATATTTTATGCTTTACTTGGCTCTTTTAGCTTCCTCAACAACTTGAACAGAGATATCCCCTGAGATGAGACTCAAATCTGCAAAACTTTGTTCAGAAATTGCAGTTTCATTGTGCATGCGATTTTGGAATATTTTCGGTTGATCGGTTGTTCTAACATGCCCTTGATGATATGTTACTGTTGGGCTTGAATGTTTCAACAAGTTGTGAATTTTCTGCCCCCCAGGAACTTTCTCCAGGTCGCGATGAACTAACACCTAAAAAGAAAAAAATAATTTAACAAGTATTAAAGGAATAAAGATTTAAATTTCAAGCTTACTTTTGCCATTGTTGAACTGTTTGTTTTTGCTCGCATAGGCAACGATGATGTCAATTTTGACGCACTTTTAGTGTTTTCGTTTTCCTTTGAAAATTTATCACTGTCACGGAAATTAAACCGCTTTGGGCTTGTTCCAATTCCTGGATAAACTCGAGCTGTTGATGTCAAAGGTAACCCTGGAGTGTTGTTGATATATCGTGAGACTGGACTGGGAACATCCTGATATTTTTTCTTATGACTTGCAGTGAGATGAGACAGAGGAGTTTTTGTTGCAGACTTTTGTGATGGATGTTTGAATCCTGCATTAGCTTGTGCTGGGCTGTTCTTTACGACAGGAGAAAATTTTATCAATGGCGATGAAATCGTTTTTACAGCTGTTCCTGGCTTTAATGTTTTAGTCACTGATGAATGTTGTGGAGTTTTCGCTGTAAATGGACTAATTGCAATTGGAATTGCCTTCTTTTCAGTATCTTTTTTTTCCTGCATCTTTTGTGCTTGAGCCAACATGAATTCAATCTGTTCAAGCGTATCATTCATATTTTCAGCTCCAGCTAAATCCAGTGATTCATCTTCCTCTCTATCAAAACTTGAGTCAACTCCACTTGATGATATTTCATTCAATGAATCTTTTGTCATGTCCCTAGATTTTTGATCATCATTTGTTACATCAAGTGAATCTTTTGTAATGCTGTTGTCATAGAATGATCGAATTTTGGGCATTTTAATTAATATTTCTTCGTCTTCCTCCTGAATTTCACTCTTTGTGAATGTTCCTTCATCTGCTGTTTTATAATCACTCGCTTCAGTTGATCCTGTTTGAATTAACGCTGTACGATAAGTCGTGTTCGTCTTCCATGAGCAAGAACTCTCGCTAACTTCCAAGATTGTCGATGGACGATTTGCTTTAGCTGCTGCTAATGGTGAATTCATACTTGGTGGAGATATTATAGAAGAATTGTTGAATAAAAATGATGGAGCTTCAATATTTCTCAAATCAGTTTCATCAGCTTTTCTGTTACTTTTAACATGAAGATCAACTGGACTATCATCCAACGTAGTCAGATCAATGAGATGTTCTGAAACGTTGTTTAAATTGAGTGTGTTTTCGCACATCCTTTCCATAGCAAGAAAAGATTCATCGTCACATTTCATTAAAGTATCTTCAAGACCATTTACAGTTGTATCATTTAATGAAGCAAAACGATTGATTCGACCAGCAAGTGATGTAGCAGAAGATTTTGATGATACGCGAAGATTTTCCATTGAGTCAGTTTTATCCTCTTCAGATCGTTTAGAACGTTGTTTATTTATGTATTCTTCAAACGATATGCTTAATTCAGGTGATGATTCTGTTTCCGGTGTTAAATGGCGAGCAAGCCTGAAATATTAAAATTTTACTTCCGGAACAACAGAAAAATTTTAAGCAAGAAAAGAAAATTAAAAATATAAAACATGCAAGACAATCTCAAACGACACAAACTATTATATTAACCTTATTTGCTGAAGAAAATAATTCCTGACTTGATCATTAGACGGAGTATCGATGAAAAATTTGGTCATGTCGTTAGCTTCAGAAATATTCAGACTTTTTTCTGATTCTTGACTCATTGTTATTAGTTTTTTAAAGATTTTATAGAAAAATATTAGTAAACTGTTTAGAGGATTATCTTATCACCTAGATGAAGTTGATATGATCTCTGATTCTTTTTAATTTTAATAAAATTTATATTTTGAGTGAAATTCCTGAGTTTAAAACTTTTTTCCGTTGACTTGTTCATCGCCAGCTAACTTCACGATTTTCAAAATTTTAAATGCCGTTAAATTTTAAACTCTGGTTGGGTTTCTAATAACAATTCACAAACGAATGATGTTTTTTATTTTTGCAGATATTTTTGAATTTGTAAAGGAAATTGAGCACATTTAATGAATTTAAGGGAAATACTATAGATTAATTATAATTTAATATTTGTAAACATAATTGAAATGATTGTATTTCTAAATACCTAGTTAACAAATAACTTAATAATATGCAACACCTGTAGATATTCATTAAAAGTTACCGATCACAGCTTTTAAAAAGCTTAATGAGCATAACTGACCAAAAACATGGACCAGAATCGTAGCAAAAACAGAAAACACCTGACAGAAAAAATGAAAAAACATGAATTTTCTTTTTGAAAATTTCTCTGTTTTCTCAAATCTCACCAAGACGAGTATTTCCGATCGAAAGAGATCATTTTCATCTTTCGCAGTAAAAAGTCTGCTCAGTTTGAGTGCGGATTCCGAATTGAACGTAGCAAAAAGACGGTTAAAGCCACAACCAAAGAAAAAAAGGAAAAAAATATCTAAATTTAGAAACAGAAAGAAATATTTAAAAGATTTTCCAAAGAAGAAAAAATAAATAAACGGCAATAAATTGCCGAAAATTGAAACTATTTGGTAGGGAAATAAATTTACGATCTGATTAAGGATTTTGCGTTACAAAAATAAATTAAAATTGAGTGCAATGAAATTGTCCGCAATATTAAATTGAAGCGAAATTTCTTTAGAATCGACAAACGAGCGGGAAGAAGAAAAACTTTTCTCGGACGGAATTTTCATTCGTTTTGAGCTTTCAGAAGGAAAATATTTTATTTTTAGCAACTGAGCACAGTTGAAGCAGCAAAAAGTGAATCTATTTATTGTTACGCAAGTCAGAAAGGGAAAAAATCACAATACTATCAACAACTTTAATACAAATTCTTGATCAATTCTTCAATATTCTTAAAATTATTTAAGAAATCGGACGTCTTTATTATAATATTGAAAGAATGCCACAATGATCTAAGTGGATCTCTGGTGAGTTGAACGAGCGGCGGGGGTGGAAATGGTGATAAATCATGAATTTTTGGCAGTAAATTCGAAAAGCTTTCTCAAAGAGTTTCACGTATTTAGTTCATCAAACTAAAATGTATAAACACGCATGTAGGTTCTTATTTCATCCCTGACCTAAGTTATCATCCAAAAATATTCCTTTCCATTCAAGAGTGATGATATGTGTCGCATTTATTTCTTTCTTTTTTAACCGACATTCAGAGCCCGTCATCACTACGTTTTGTGAAACATGAACCACGAATAGCGATTTTAAAAATAAAAATACTCTTCTTAACGTCTTTCTGCTTTCGCTGACTCTGTTTGTTGCGACAACTAAAGAAATTTACGTGCAAACAGCGTGAAAAAAGTCTTTCTTTTAAAAATGAATATTCTTTTCTTCTGAGTGATGGCGAAAACTGATTGAAAATTAAAATTGCCAGACAGATTCCGATGAGTATGATAAAACTCGAAAGTTATTTTTATCTACATTAACCTTTTATGAAGCAGTTGCATTAAAAAAGATAGAAAACTTCTTCAAAGAAATGTTTGCATCATTTGAATTCTTAAATCTTTCATGCCAAAACGATAAAACGGCAATTTTCAAATTGACACTTTATGAAATGTCTGTGAAGTTTGCAAAAAAAGCAAAAAAAAAATAAAGTTATAATTAAACGAAATATTTATTCAAGTTCAGATATTTTAATACCATAATATTTAAAAGTCACTTACACCACGCATAAGTAAAAACATATTATGCTATAAATTCACAGCTGAATTAACTTTTCACATGTGATGATGTGAATTACTTAAATCGTTCATTTCGTTAATGTCGGTCATGTTTTTTATGATTAATGATCTTGAAGCATGAACTAGAAGTGATCTCGAGAGAAAGTTTCTCATCACGCATCTCTCACTTCTTCTCTCGTGCGTGTAAATTTCACGAAATTTCCTCGTGAGAAAATGACACGAAGATGAAGAGAAATGAGAGGATTGAAAATAATTTCGTGATCACACTCAAGATAGAAATTGTTTTTCGTCTCAAAAAGATGCCGGAAAACTTGAGAAAACAAGTGTACGAATATGTAAAGAAATCCCATGTTTCTTACTGCTAAACGCTATGACGTCGAAATAAAATCATTTTCATTGCCAAGAAAATTCTTCACGTCACTTTTCATTTCAGATTTTCTTACACATTTTTTCTGGCACATTTAGCAGACAAAAATGAGTCATTTGTATACAGTTTCTTCAAAAAGTGGCGATCAGTTGTGTCCATTAGGTTTTCATCCACAAGTAAGATGGCCAACAAGATGCAAGAGATGTTTTAGAGATTATAAAGAGCATGGCGCTCGAAGAGGGGAAGATATCGCATCGTCAACCCCAAGTTTAAATCGTGATTCACTTGATAAATCAGTTCGAAGTTGGACGTCAACTCAAAATTTATCAAGCAATGACACAGCAAATGTTGTGGAAATAACAGCTCCAATTCGTTTAAGGCAGCGACCATCATCATGGTCTTCAACCCCCGATCTCGATGAAGCTTCGAAAAAGTCGAACCCAAAAAGTTCCGAAGAAATTGTCGTTAGTGTTCAATTGCCTGTAAGAAGACGAAATACTTCATCAGGCTTTGATAATGTCGAAGAATCATTCACACTGAAACGTCCACTAAATTCACCAACAAATGGAAACCCTCCAAAACCTGTTGAATTCGATGATGATGTTGTCATCGCTAAAACAGATTCACTCGCTGAAAGAGTTCGGAAAATGCAAATGTTGAAAAGACAAGGAAGTTCCGAAAGAGAATCAAGTCGCGAGGGTTCAATTCCAAGAAGGTAAAATAATAAATTAAAATAACTTTTTATCTTTTTCGATATTCGAAAGGAATTTTTTATGTTAAAACTTTCAGTGACGAACAAATACAAAAAAGACAAGAAGTCCCCGACATGCAACAGCCAATTCGTAGACGACGTCAAACAGATCCATTACCTCCAATTCCTGATGACAAGCCACCAGCAAGAAATCGAGCTGAACTGCCGCCTGTTCCTGAAACACGTTCTCGTAATAAAGCAGATTTACCTCCCGTTCCAGAATCGAAATCAAAAACAAGTGTAAAGAAATCTTCATCACAGTCAAGTGTGAAAAATTCATCAGGTTCTTACACTGGAAATAACAAAGACGTGCAATTTTTGATTCATGTAAAAGACAATAAAGCAAGGAAGAATGAAGATACACTGTCGACAACCACAGAAACGACTGAGACAACGCTTTTGGATCGCAAGGAAAGTGAAATAAGAGAAGAAAATGAAATGTTGAAGCGTGAATTAGAGACAGTTAAAGCTCGTTGTGAACGTGCTGAACGAGATAAATCTGACATTCTTTTAAGACGATTAGCATCAATTGATACAACATCAAATCGAACGGCTGCTGCTGAAGCTCTTAAATTACAACAGAAAGTCAACGAAATGAAACAGCAAATGGAAGATCTTCAAGATGAAAAGAAATCTTTGGCACAAAGGGTTAAAGAAATGACAAATGAAATGAAAGCTCGACCGTCGAAGTCAATGGAGGAACAACTTCGAAATAAACTTGAGCAAGCTGAACGTATGTGTGAAGCTTTGATGGATGAAAATGAAGATATGAAACGTGAGTTGAAGAATATGGAATCGGAAATCGATGAAATGCAAGACAACTTTCGGGAAGAACAAGCAGACGAGTATGTGTCGGTTAAAAAGGAACTCGAACAAACAACCAAGAATTGTAGAATTCTTTCTTTCAAATTGAAGAAGTCAGAAAGACGAATCGAACAGATGGAAATTGAGAGACAAAGCAGTGGAAGTAATCAAACAAATGTTGAGCTTGTGACTAAAATAAAACAACTTGAAGATGAATTGAAAGTAGCAAATGAAGTTGCGAGACGATTGCAAACTGAATCAGATTCACAAACAACGAAAAAGAAAGCGCCAACGTTAGGAAAAATTGGAAAATCAACTTCCGATGGTGGAAAAGTTTCAAGAGAATCGTTGACACGTGGTGGCAGTCAAGAAGATCCAGTTCAGCTTTTGAGAGATCTTCAAGATTCATGTGAACGTGAAGCTGACTTGAGAGAACAACTGAAGTTTGCTGAAGAAGAAGTGAGTTTGTGTCTGAAGTTTTAATAGTTTTTGCAGATAATTTCATCATTCATTTCATACTAAAACTAACAGAAATAAATTATTATTCATTTAGCTTCTTTATCACTATCGTCAATCAAAGAAACTCAAAATAACAAAACCAGAACTTACTGAAATTAAACCGAAAAATCATGAAAAAGAATTGAAAAGTTCAGGAACACAAACTTCATTTGAAATGAAGGAGGTTGTTGGGGAAATCATGATTTATTCTCCATCGATTACAGCACTTTATTCGAAGCAAAACTTTTACTTTCAATTCATTATTTCAAAAGCTTTTAACTTAATTATTAAAGGTACGGAATAAGTTAAATAAAATCTGAAATCATCACCACATGTCACTAACAATACTCATAAAATTTATGTTGATCTTCGATGCAAATTATTTATGTTGTTTAGCAGATGATAAAGAAAAGTTTTTAATGAAATTTCAGGCTGAAAGTTTACGCAAAAAGTCATCGCGTGTTGAAGAAGAAAACGAGTCGTTGATGATGCAATTGAAGAAAATGGCAAGCAAAGCACGAAGTATGTTGAATGTTTGCCTTGATTTTACTAACATTTAATTTGATTAACAATCAAAGTGTTGAAATTGAGTCATTGAGTTGAATTAATTTTCTTTAATTTCAAGGTCGAAAGTTGAGTCCAAATCCACCCAAACGAGCGATTGTTGAGAAAGATGAAGGAATATCAGATGAAGAAGACACTGCTGAACTTAAATTGCAACTTGAACTCAATGAACAAGAAACTGCCGTATTGAGACGAAAAGTTGAAGAATTGGAAAGAGACAGTGAGACAAGTAAACGACAAGTTCATGAACTGCAAGAAAAACTTCTCACCAAATCAAAAGATGCTTCAATTCTAAAGAAAACAACGATAACAAAATCATCATCAAAAGACCCATTAAGTGACAAGAAGATTCAAGTGATGGAAGATGAGATCAATGAATTACGTAAAAAGTTAATTGAGAAAGATCGCGAATTTGAACGTGTTCAAGCAGAACAAAGTTTAACAAAAGGAAAATCTAAAATTACTTCGCTGAAAAATAAGTGAGAATTAAATTAATTAACATTCATTTTTCAACGATAACAATTCAATTTCTTTTCACAGATCTATTGAATCACCTCTGACAGAATCACAAAATGTTGATTTGAAACGTCAATTACAAGTTGTTGAACAAGAAGCGACCGTTCTGAGAACCAAAACACAAACACTCGAACAAGAAAATGAGAAACTTTTAACTGAAGTCAAGAAGCTTCAACTTACATCAGCAAAAGGTTCTCTCAAATCATCGAACAGTGTCACCAGTAAAGAAACAGACAAGTTAAAAGCAACAATTGAAGCTTTGGAAAATGAACGTGACGAACTAAAAGCAAAGATAAAGAAAGTGCTGGAAGATCCAACAGATAAATTACCAGCAAGAACACCTAAAGTTTACTCAGAAACAAAGACAAAGTTGCAACTCAAAGTAAATTATTAAATTAAATTTTAAAGACAAAAAAATTTAATGAATTAATTTTTAAATTTCATTAGAAAATGATTGAAGAGCTGGAAGAAGAAATCGCTGAAATGCGAGCAATTGCAATTCGATCTGGTGCGAACCAATTGAAAAAATTAGAAGATGAAAACAAAAAATTCACAACAGAACTTGCTGATCTCAAGAAACAAAACGATGAAATTTTACGTGAAAATAGTTAGTATAATTAATGAATTTTTTGAAAGTTTCTTTCTTCATCTTCAATTAAAATTTCAAACAGAATCAAAGAACAGCACAGCGTCATCACAGCTGAAGGAAGTTGAACAAAAATTACAAAAAGCTTTAACAGATAACAACTCGTTTATTGATAACATAAAAAATTTGGAAGAGAAACTTATGAAAAAGGATGCAGCGGTGAGTATTTGATCGAGTTTCTGTTGTACATTTAGAAGCGACGTTGCCAATTTGGATTCCATCGTGGAATGCGTGAATTGCCCATGTCAAGTGAACGTCGATATCGATTAGAAGAAAACATTCCAGGATCACCGGAAGCATAGGAATCAGTACGACGAACAGGAATGTAACTGACATAAGGATTGCCACGAACAGGTCTTCTACCTGGTGCTGTTACATTCGTTGCCAGAATATTAAATTCAACAGCTTCACCATCTCCGAGTGACTTTATCAAATGTGCCGGATTCTTCCGAGAAATTCCCGTGAAATGAACGAAAACATCTTCACCTGTGTCATCACGTGTGATAAATCCGTAGCCGTTTTTGGCATTAAACCACTTTACAGTTCCCAAAATGCGACTTGCTTCACGACTAGATTTCTTTTCCGGTTCGAGTTGGGGATTCTCAGCAAGTTCTCGTGATTGTGATAATGAAGAAGAAATTGATAAAGATGGGCTTGTGTTATATCCATTTACCATTTGATCATTTGATTCTTCCATTGCTGTTTGATTTTTAAGAAGACTATAAAAAAATCCTTTTTTACTTTCAGTACAAACAAATGGAAACTACAAAAATGTCATTTGAATATCAAGTGAAAGGTGAGAAAGATAAGTTAACTAAGATGGAAAAGGAATTAGAAAAATTAAAGACTGAACGTGCAAAATGGGAAACAAAATCGCAAGCTATTGAAGCCGAGTTGAATGTAAGATGAAATTTTACTTTTAAAAATTATTTAATTAAATTTCAATCAAACTTTAGATGAGCAAGAAATCGTCAGAAAAAGCGAAGCAAAGTTTTGAGAAAGAAATTGCTAGCCTCAAAGAAAAATCGTCACAGAACAATGAAATTCCGTCGAAGAAGCTTCAAGAAGTTCAAGATAAGAATAAAGAGCTTGAAGAGAAATTGAGTAAAGAAATCAAGAAATATTCGACTTTGACAGGCGAATTTGAGCTTCTTGAAGAAGAGCATGTGCTTTTTAAAGCTCAATTAAGTAGCGAGAAGGAAAAGCTGTCGACAGAAATTAAGAACTTGAAGCTACGAACGGAAGAATTGGAAGATGCTGAAGTCAAATTCAAGCGTGAAAAAACAGATTTAACTAAAAAGGTTTCTGATCTTCAACGAAAACTGACAGAAGCAGAACACAACAATGCAAGAACGTCATCGACATCATTTGACTTAGAACGAAGCCGTCTTAAATCGAAGTTAGAACAAAAAGAAACTGAATACAATAAACTATTAAAAGAACATGAAGTGAACGTCGATCAATTCTCAACATTGCGAAAAGATGTGAGATTTAACTAATTTCTTTTGTCATGATATCTATTGAATTTTTTCATTATTTTGTATTTTCAGAATGAAGACTTAAGAAGGAAACTTGACGATTTTGAACGAATCAATAAAGCCCAAAGAACTTTAAATGATCACAACGCAACTCTAGAAAATGAACTTAAAAAGCTTAAATTGAAGTAAGAAATATTTTCCTAGTTAACTTTTCTATCACTAAAACTTTATTTTCTTAAATAGATTGGAGACGACAGAAATGGCTGTAAAATCTGAAGTAGCTTCGACAAGATTACGTTATGAAACACAAATTAATACACTTCAAAATGAACTTTCTTCGATTCATCGACAATGTGAAAGATTCAAGAAGGATCGTGATTCATTCAAGCAGCTTTTAGAAGCAGCACAAAAGAATATTGGGGAGTTGAAGCAAAATCGAAAGAGTTACACATCAACATCAAGTGGGGATGAAGACGATAAATCAAAGATTCAGCTGTTGGAACAACAATGTGGTTGCTTAGAAGATGAATTAAGTGAATCACGATTAGAAGCGAGCAAGCTTAGAACTGAATTAATTTCTGATAAAAGTGCTTTCGAGATTAAACTTTCGGAGATGCAATCAAAGATGAATGAATACGAGGAAGAAAGAATTTTGGGAAGTTCAAAGGTTCCTGGAACTAAATCAAGACTTGAACTCACGTGGCAGAAAGAACGAGAAGATCAACAACGACTTTTAGCAGAAACTTCAACATTGGCGCGTGATTTACGTCAAACATTATTCGAAGTTGAAAGAGAAAGAGACAAAGAACGACTCGAATCTCGACGAAAAATCGATCAAGTTAAAAAAGCTACTGAAGAAGAACTTGAAGAAGGTCGCAGAAAGATTTCTGAGTTACAAAGCGATTTATTGGAACTTCGAGATGCGCATGCAAAACTCAGAACAGCTAATGAGAAACTTCGCCGTGATCGTGATCGATATGACAGAGAACGTGAGTCAGGCAGTAAGAGAAGACTTGAACAAGTTGGTGAAAAGAAAGTTGGAGCTTTACTACAACAAGTTGACGAGCTTGTAAAGATTGCTCCTGAACTTCAACATTTATCCAAAGAAGCCCAAACACAACCGGTAATTAATATTTTCTCGTTCTGAATGTGCTTTTTTGCATTAATAAAATTTATTTTTTATTCAGACACTTTCCATTCCAAATCCCCCTCATCGATCTAAAAGTCGCAGCCCTTCCCCAGCGCCTGCTTCATCTTCTTCCACTATGCAAATTTCTACAGTATTAGCACGTTTATCTGAAGCTTCTGATGAACTAAGACGTTATCAACGGATATGTGATGAAGAAAGAGAACGAGAACGTGCAAGAAGAAGTGGAATGAGACGAGCTGCATCACAAGAAAATGAAAATGGAATCGACACTGTAACAAATCGCCCAACCATGAGATTACAACGATCGTCACAAGGAAGTTTATATCGCAAGAGTTTATCACTTGATCAATCGATGCAATCAGAACAACAACAGATTTGGGCGAAAGACAGTGACGTTGGGTCAATGTCATCAGTACAATCAATTGATTCGGAATATGGAATAAGACGTGGGGATTCAAGTATGGATTCTCGATTATCAGCTGGTTCAACTCAAAGCGACATGACCGGTCGAAGGAAGAAGAAGAAAGGAATCATGGGAAAACTTAGAAGCTTAACAAAAGGCAGTCGGGGTGCTGAAAGTGATGCATCGGTTTGTAGAAAATAAATTTTCATTTCTTATTAAGTCATTAAGAAAATTCTTTGAAATTTCTAGAACCGAGGATCTGATTCTGATGTTAGTTTAGCTGGTGATCGATCAAGCAAGAAAGACTTAAAAGAAAGAATCTCTGGAATGTTCAAGAGAGCTGGAAGTTCGAGTCGATCTGGAAGTCGTGCAGGAAGTCAAGAAAAAATCCTAAACGATTCTCAATTGCGTCCAATTTCAATTGCAAATTCAAATGGTTCATCAAACACCTTACCACATAACTTTTCTTTACAGCAATCGTCTGCTCCAGTTCAAACTTCAACGTTACCCGCAAAAGTACAAACTTTGCATTTGTTTCATAGGAAAAGAAGGAAAACTTAATTAACATTCTTTATTTCTTTGATTTTTACAGGGAAAACCACCAACGCCAACAACCACTAGAAAGTTAAAGACAACGACAACAAAATCTAAAAGTTAAATAATTACCTTCTACACTATTAGGTTTTTCCTCTATCTAGCAAAATAAATGAAAATTTTATTTGAAAATCTTCTATTGCGGTAAATAAATTAATGAAAATTATAAAAAAATTGTTTATGGAATGTCAAGTAGCAAAGATTACTGCGTCTAAAAATTTTATATTTATTTCCAAATACCATGTTGTCGACTTCTGTTGGCAATCTAAAATAAAATTCTAGTTTGAAAATAGTTTGAGGTGTTTTGATTTTAAAACCTTTTAATATTTAATTAAACTTTGCTTAAGTTATAATTTTTTACATAGATTAAAATGTTTCATGGCAAATCATGGAATAAGTTTGAATTTAATTTAAATAAAATTAAAATCGAATTTTAACGGAACTTTAAGTTTTGAATATTATTCGAAATTGTTTTCGAAATTCGTAAAACTTGTAGAGATAATAACACAAACATTTAGGCATTAAGGTCTATACAAATTGATGTCTACATAAATAGCATCATTTCTAAATAATTAATGAAACGTTCGAATATATTACATCACTAAGATTCACAATCATATCCTTCAAGCATGTTCATATAGCGAAAGAATATTGAAGAATCTTTGTTCATATGAAAATTAAACATCATTGCCTAATTAGTCCCAGCAAGTTGCTATAAATGTCTCCAAAAATTTTCATTCAATAGCAACTTTAGAGAAAAATCGCGAAGTACGAAAGAATTGAATAAGCTTTTGAAAGATTTAAATTAAATCCAGTGACTTGTGCATAACTACTAAAAAATGAATTCAAATATTAATAAGCATGTTAAAACAGTGCAAGCAAAGAAAAAACGAGGCAAAAAGTCAAATCAGAAAATCAAAGATTTAATTTTAGCGAAAAACGAGAATGAAAGTAACAACAGTAAAAACAAACACCAGCAATCGAATCAAGCACCAAAAAAGCAACAATCGAAGCACATCCCGTCAAATAGTTCCTCTAATGAGACAGGTGGTGAACAGCACCATCAAATCAGAAGTGATGATGATCCAATTGATGATCAAGCGTATTCAAGTGAGGAGGAAGAGCAAGAATCGCGAGGAGATTATCGTCGAGGAGGATATCATCCAGTTAAAATTGGAGATCTTTTCCTTCAACGTTATCACGTTATTCGTAAGATTGGTTGGGGCCATTTTTCGACAGTTTGGCTTTGTTGGGATCTCGAAGACAAACGCTATGCAGCACTTAAAATTGTAAAATCTGCCGCAAACTTTACTGAAACAGCAAAAGATGAGATTAAAATATTGAAAGCCGTTCGTGATACAGATCCACTCGATCCCAAACGCAATAAAACTGTTCAGCTTCTGAATGATTTTAAAATCTCAGGTGTAAACGGTACACATGTCTGCATGGTGTTTGAAGTTCTTGGTCATAATCTGCTCAAGTTAATCATAAAATCTCAATATCGTGGAATTCCGTATGAGAATGTCAAAACAATCATTCGTCAAGTTCTCGAAGGTTTGGATTATCTTCATACTAAATGCCAAATCATGTAAGTTGACTTTATTGAATTTCTTAGGAATTTTAAATGATGTAACCAAAATTTTGAATCTTCCCCAATCTAGTCATACTGATATAAAACCTGAAAATGTGCTCATTTGTGTCGATGAATCTTATATTCGTAAAATTGCTGTTGAAGCCACTGAAATGGTGTCAGCAGGGATGAAACTTCCAACTTCTTTGATAAGCACTGCACCGGAAGAGTTCCAGCCTCAAGTGCCAACCGGTAAACTTAGCAAGACGATGAAAAAGAAACTTAAGAAGAAAGCAAAACTTCAAAATGAACTCATAAGAATGCAGATGGAACATTTACAACAGACAGTGGAGAGCGAGAACAAAGGTACAAAAGAAGATGAGAATGAAGCTGGTGGTGATGCACCAATTGATCTCAGCGCAACTGCAACAATATCAAATAATGATGAATCTCCCACCGATAATGATGAGACATCAAGTCACATACTTAACGGATCATTAAAATCTAATGCCTCGTCTGAAAATGAAAATGATGAGAAGGATAAAGACAAAGAAGATAGCGAAAAGGTCGACAAAATGACGTCCAGCATTAAATCAAATGACGAATCAAACGAAGATAATGAAGACGTTGATGAAAATGTGAAAATGATTAACTCTGAAAGTGTCATAGAAGAACCGAAAATTGTTCCAGTTATTCAGACAACACCACCACTTGAAAATGGTACCAGCGAACATTCAAAACGTTCTCCAAAACCAGCCACAACACCATCAGATCCTACATTTGAAGTTTGTGATTTTGATGTGAAAATTGCTGACTTAGGCAACGCATGTTGGGTTGATAAACATTTTACTGAAGGTAAACCATCGGCAACATTTTTCTTTAATCTAATTTTAACTTTTTTCTTTCTTTGAAAACTTCCCAGACATTCAAACTCGTCAATATCGCTCTCTAGAAGTTATTGTTGGTGCTGGTTATGACACATCAGCTGACATTTGGAGTACAGCTTGCATGGCTTTTGAATTAGCAACCGGCGATTACTTATTTGAACCTCATGCTGGTGAGAATTATGATCGTGATGATGACCATTTGGCGCATATCATTGAGCTTCTTGGACCGATACCCAAGGAAATTGCACTTGCTGGTCGTTTATCACATGTTTTATTCACGAAACGTGGTGAATTACGAAACATTACGGGATTGAAGCCATGGGCATTAATTGAAGTCTTAACTGAGAAATACGAGTGGAGTGTTGAACGAGCTTTAGAATTTTCATCTTTTCTTCGACCTATGTTGGAATATGACCCGGCAAAGCGAGCAACAGCAGCACAGTGTCTTGAACATCCATGGATAACTGGGGAAGAAGATAAGAGGTAAGACATATTATTAAAAAAGAAAACTTATACAAACATTGATATTCACACACATTTTCAGCTAAATCACCTGATTAAACCTGACATTTAATAAAATCACAAATAAGAAAATGAAAACATACAAAAACTCCGATTCCATCCCCCGAAAAATTATTTATATCTACTAACATACATCAAACCAGTTACTTGATATCTAAAATTTATTGATTTTTTTATTTGTGAAAGTAAGAAAATATTTTTGAAGAGACAAAGCAAAGACAGAAAAATTTTCAACCATTTTGCACCAAATGAAAGTAAAAAAAAATTACAAAAAGCTACAAAGAACTCTCTATGTAATGAAATCTCTTTATAAATTGTAAGATTCAAATGAAGACTTCAAAACAATTGTCTATTCATAAAAGAAATTTAGTTGTCTGTCCGAATTTCTTATATGGAGAGTTTTGTGCAGTTAAAATAGGAAAACAATTCAAATGATGAACAAAGGAATGCGGCGCCCCACATTTGGGAAAATTACGTATTAAATATGTTTATTTCCTTTGAGTAGTTTTTGCGTGACTCTTAAACTTTTTTAAAGCGACAAGTCTTGATACTTTCGATAAAAAAAATAAACAAAAACATTTCATCTTTGCTTAGAGCAAATCGAAAAGAATTTTTTATCATCTTAGTCGCTTTTTACCCCGTGAACTTATTCAATTAAAGATTTTTCTAGCATCATTTTTATAATTAAATATAGTGATTAAGTTCATGAATACATATATCTCATCATGTTTTAGAAACAACATAAAATTACTTGAACTTACTCTTAAGAAATTCTTAACTTAAAAACGTTTTTAGGATGAAACTAAGAAATTGTTTGTAAAAATACTTAAATGATTCTTTTCTCTATTTAAAGTTTCTCTCTTCATGACTTACATTTGATTCTATCTCGGTTTTGTTTAAATTTGATTGTGACGCAGGAAGGAATTTAATTTACACAAAACATACAATTCAAACACACGCAGATAAAATGAAATAAAACGAGAAAAGAAAATCAAATGTGAACATTTTGTTTCTGAAATGATAAAAAGAACTTCTTTAAAATAGCTACAAGAAACTCTAACTAGGAGATAAATAAAATATGAACTATAAATTTCTTATTCATTTTTCTTGCACATATTTACATGAAATTTGATTTAATAAATGATGATAAAAAAGAATCCCCTGAGTAAGTCTTTGAAAGAGAAAGAAGAGGAAAAACATTCATTGACGGCACCAGTAAACGTGAAAAAGAAAAGATAATGATGAGAAGAAGAAAAAATTGTTTCCTTTTTCGCCAAAATAACAGAATGTCTTGTAGTTTGACTCTGAGAAAATCATTACAATGATAATAAAAGAATTGAATAAAATTATCTTAAAAAGTATTTGATAATTGAGTTTTCCACAAATGAGATTTTCCATACAAAAAATGTTCTTTTTTAACTCTTACTCTTTTTATCATGTGGTTTAAATTATGCTGTTTATGTCACTCGTAACTCAAAAGTTGTAAGCAGCAGCAGAAGTAGTGAATAAAATAAATAAAACGGAAAACTTGTATGAAAAATTGCCCTGTAGAGAAAATTTTGTGATTTGTACGACAGTGACAGAACTGGTTTACTGCTGTAAAATATCATCTATCATTTTCTTTTGAGAATTATATTATTGAAATAGAAACATTTTGAAAACTTGTCATTGTTGGACGACAAATCCTTGATCGATTTTTGTAAAGCTTTCACAAAGCAATGAACAGAAAAGTTTTGTCATTTGGAACGGAAGGAAACCTTTGATGACGATGTTACACCAGAAAAAGAAACATAATAAAACATTATGTTATGTAGACATGAGAGAAATAATATAATTAAATTATTTAAATTATATAAAATTGTAAATCGGGTTTCAAAATTGTAGAATTTCATTTTCAGATACAATCAAAATTTTCATCATTAAAATTCTTCTCATTTCTTTCTCCTTTTTGGTACTGCAAAATTTCATGACGAGTCAGCGTGCGCTCGTAATAAACTGTTGCTTGATCGATATTGAAAGCACTAAAATTTGCTATTCTACCTACGGCATTATTTATGGAAAAATGTTTTACGAGCGAGAGAAGTTTTTCAACTGTTTGTGTATTATTTTTAGCATTTGTATTTATGAAAAACACACTGATAAGACAAACATTTATTCATTGATAACGTTAAGTGTTTGCCGTGGGCTTTTCCGGGAAGCAGTCTTCTGTCTGTAGTGCTTACACAGATAACAAAAAGATTTTTTATAGATTTATTAACAAAATTTATTAAATCGTCGATGGCAAAAATCTTCATTACAAAGAAAACTTTAAACTTTCTTATAGAAATACTTCTCAGCCTATAAATTTATTTTCTTCTGAATAATTTAAAATTTAAAACTTTTCGATAAAATATTTCGGTTCATGACTTTACTATTTTCATCATTTCTTCAATGCTAAGCCTTTTCTCTCGAGGCTTGTTCGATTTTTTGCCATTTTCAATTTCTCGCTTATCGATTTTTTCCCAGTCACTCCATGTGACGACATTATATTTTTTTGGATCAAGTCCAGGCTTAGTTGAATCGCATTTAATAGCACCAGAATGAACATCATCAATGATTGTTTGAGAAACAGCGAAAGCATTGTTCATGGTTGTGAGTATGACGCCAGTTGGACCAGTTCCAAGCCATCCAGCTACATAAAGTCCGATGTCAGGCGTGTTTGCGTCTTTTTGCAGTACACGTCCGTTTGTGTTCTTTATCATCCCACGTTTGTCATCAAAGTTTATTGCATCGTCAATACAAACAGACTTGTAGCCAATACTTCTGCAAACAAGTTGAGCTGGAATATTTTCCACATCTTCAGTCGGAATTGCTTTGTTATCAACAACTTTGGTTATTGTTAAGTCCACAGACTCAACATTTGATTCTCCATTGATCTGCAATGGTGACCTGTAGAATATCGGGAGGAAGTTTTTATTGCCTTCATTTGACTTATTTTCTTCAAGACTTTTAATCATCAGTTCAGTGATTCGTTTTCTAGGTCGTGGAAGACTTTCAACTTGTTCTTTGACATTGACAAAATCACTCGAACGCCAATTTGTGTCGACATTGGGAAGTTTTAACATTTCCCTTAATTCTTTAATTGTAAAAGCAGCTTGAAGAGGTCCACGTCTTCCAACCAAATAAACTTTCTTCACACGACTTTTACTTAAAGCCTCAAGTGCATGTTCTGTTATGTCAGTTTTTCGCAAGTCATCAATTGTCGATAAAAGAATTCTGTTTAAAAAAACATTTAAAAATTTGAAAGAAGAAATTTGAAATTCTCTCACCTTGCGACATCAACAGCAACATTTCCTTGACCTAGAAGAACAGCACTTTCACCAGATAGGTCAGGATTCAGTTTATCCAAGTTTGGTTGTCCATTGTACCATCCAACAAATTCTCTTGCTGATAAAACATTTCTTTTATCTTCACCAGGAATGTTTAACTTTGCATCAATATTAGCACCATATGCTAACAGAACAATGTCATAACAATTTCTTAGCTCTTGTAAAGTGATATCTGTCCCAACAGAAACATTGCCAATGAAACGAAAGTTTGGATGTTCTGCTGTCTTTGTAAAAGTGTTGATAACATTTTTAACTTCGGGATGGTCTGGTGCTACTCCAAATCGCACGAGTCCAAAGGGAACAGGTAGCTTTTCTATTATATCAACATGTGAATTAGGCAAATGTTTAAGAATGTATTGTGCAGAATAAAATCCAGCCGGTCCACTTCCAACAATACATGCCTTAATCGTTTTCGCTTTTGATTCAGAATAATTTGCCTTGAATATTCTTTGATTGACATTTCCTATTATTTTTGTCCATTTCCACATTTCGTTGAACTTTTCATTAAATTACTAAGTTAAGAAAAATTAATTAAAATTAATTTTCTGTCTTTGTTTACGTATTGAAAGTCTACAAAAAGCGAATCTCGAGAGAGCACGAGTAAAACATAGAAAAATTCGATAAAGTGTGCTAAAATTCACTCCGACACTGTAGCGAATAGTCAAAAACTCTCCAAATGTCAAACAACAAAAAATTTCATTTCGATAAATGAAAATGCGAAGTCTAACGATAATAACTTTAGTTTTAATTTATATAATATGTGAAATTAAATGTGATAATTTTGATGTACTGATAGATGCAAAAGCAACGTCGATTCATCGTATTGATAGTCTCAATTTATTGATCTATTGTAAGTTTAGTTTGAAAATCAACCGAGACGGAAATATTCTGTAATAATTTTTCTAATTTCAGGTAGCTTATTGGCACTTACGGTATTAACTATATGGATATTTAAGTATCGAAGAGTATCGTGGCTCAACGAAACGGGATTGGCTGTAATTTATGGTAAGCATTTGATAAAACTTATTCTAATTTTTCACAGAAATTTCAAACAGATTTCAATTTTTTGATAAAAAAAATTGCGGAAAGTCAGCATTATTAGGCAAAGACCAGAACTGTGACGAAAGTCACAATCAAAAATTGCGACGTTTGCATAAACACAAAAACAAACAAGTTTATTGAATGATTCATCAGCAAATGTTTATTTTTAATCTCAATCCATATGTTCATTCTCGTATCTTTCCATTCACTCACGAAATTGGGAAATGAATTTACTGTATTAGAATTGATCAATATGCTTCGCATGCATGGTTATTTATTTAGATCAAAATTAATGGCATTTGCCTACCTTTTCCATACATATATAAAAATCTGATTACATATCATTTATTGATAAACAAAATAAATTTAAAAATTGATTAAGCGATTTAATATCCAAATTGTATTTCACGGTCAACAAACATCATTAATTAATTATATTGATACAATTATATGGCGAAGTTTCAAAACCTGCCCATGACGAAATAATAAGAAGAAAAGTTTCGATGAGTCGTTTAAACATAAATATTCATTAATTACTTGACTGCGCGATAAACAACAAAACTGACTCAAACAGACATTAGAAAAAAATGTAATGAAAAGCAACACCTTTTTTATAATTCGTTTCAGGGTTGATAGTTGGTGCAATAATACGTTTTGCTGGTTCATCGACTCCGATAACACATTTACCAGTGGAAGCGGAACGATCCGCTAAATACAATGAAAGCTTACCACCTGACAGTTTATGGCTGAAATTTCCTGGAACACTCAATGACACCAATGCCACTCAAAATCGAACTTATGCTTACACATTTCGGGGACAACTCATTGGTAATCACATTAATGAGATCGATTTGAAAGCAACTTTCGATCCGGAAATCTTCTTCAACATCATCTTGCCGCCAATCATTTTCTATGCAGGTTACAGTTTAAAAAGAGTAAGAAAAATTTATACAGTGAAAGTCTCTTTCATCGAGATGTTACTGTATTGAAATAATTACTTTAATGACTGACATAAATTATTTATTACAGAAATATTTCTTTCGTAATCTTGGAACAATTTTAACTTTTGCTATCATTGGAACGACACTTTCGGCACTTCTCATTGGTGGACTTATGTATGGCTTTGTGCAGCTAATGTCAAATCGATCAAGTTTTACCTTCCTCGACACATTATACTTTGGCGCTTTAATTTCACCAACAGATCCACTGACAATTCTCGCCATTTTTAGTGAAAAGAATGTCGATGTGAATCTTTATGCACTCGTTTTTGGAGAGAGTGTTTTAAACGATGCTGTGGCAATTGTGTTAAGTGGCGCAATTCAAAATTACGGTGAACATTATTCACAAACAGGAGATTTTGAGACACATGCATTTTTAAAAGCTGCGAAAGATTTCTTCTGCGTATTTTTCTTCTCTTTGGTTGTCGGAACATCGATGGGATGTGCAACATCATTAATGACAAAATTCACAAAAGTTCGAGAATTTCCACTTCTTGAATCGGCTTTGTTTGTGTTAATGTCGTACAGCACTTTTCTTATCGCTGAAGTGTTTGAATTGACTGGAGTGGTTGCAGTGCTGTTTTGTGGCATTTGTCAAGCACATTACACGTTCAACAATCTTTCGGAAGAGTCAAGAACAAGAACGAAACAACTTTTTGAGCTTCTCAATTTTCTAGCTGAAAACTTTATCTTCTCTTACATTGGTGTGTCGATGTTTTCATTTCCACGTCATCATTTTGATGCAATCTTCATCATAACTGGATTTTTATGTGCTTTAATTGGACGAGCTGCAAATGTTTATCCACTTGCTTGGGTCATCAATCTTGGAAGGAAGCCAAAAATGCCATGGAACTTTCAACATATGTTGTTCTTTGCTGGTCTTCGTGGTGCAATGAGCTTTGCTTTAGCGATTAGAAATACTGTCTCGGATGCTAGACAAATTATGTTGACATGTACATCACTTATTGTCATCACGACAGTAATCTTTCAAGGCGGCGCAGCAAACTTTTTCCTAAGTTGGTTGAAAATACCGTAAGTTGATATTAATTGAACATTTACGTTTTAATTCCTTTAACTCATTTATTTTCAGAGTAAGAGTTGAAGATGAAACAGACCAGTTAACATATCAGTCAGTGAGAAGTGTAAGTGCTTTTAATTAAACTATGATTTTTAAAACATGCACAAAAATCTTCCAAATCTGAACTTTCACAAAATTTATTAACTCGGAAAACTTTTTTTTTCTTTCTTCTCCTATCTTTACTTTATTGCAATTGTTGATCTTATAAAAATTAAATAAAATTTGCACTCGTGTGTGGTTATCAGGTGTATTGTTCAATGGAAAACTCAAACATTGCGGTAGGTCATTGACATGTTTGATGTTTTATTTATTTTTATTATTATTTGTGCACGATTTTCATGTTTAACTTTTATATGGCCTAATAACGTATTATTGATTTATTAATGTTTCTCTTTTGATATGATATTAAAGGATGTTGAAAGCCCCGATGGCAGTTCTGATGTGCCAGGTCCAAGTAGTTCATCAAAAAGAAACGAAAAAGCTTTACTTGCGAGAATTTGGGGGAATTTTGATTCAAGGTAAGGAACTGCAAATTTATTTTTTCCCATTATTATAATTAAAATGATATTCAATCAGATACATGAAGCCACTTCTGACAAATTCTCGCCCAACACTTTTTGAGACGTTGCCATCGTGCTGTGCACCAATCGCAAGAATACTCACTACAACCGAGCAGTTGAACCAAAGTGGACCAACAAGAAAAGTCGATTCCGATTCTGATTTATGTATTGATGATCCAAGTGTGAATGGAACGAGAAGAAATTCAATAAGTCGCGTGAGTATTCGACTTGATGAGGGTTACATGGCTAGTTATAAGAATAGAGAATGAAAATCTAACAATATTGAAATGACTTTATTACATATTTAATATAAACAAATGAAATAAGACACAAGAGTGATGAAAAGACTCACAAATATGTTGAAATAACATTTCTGTCATAATCGAATATAATTTCTTTTCATTTCATCATGGTTATAAATTAATATACTCTAAATAACTTATTTAATCATAACAAATCATGTAGATATTCAATGAACATAAAATAATTTATGTATTTAAGTTCGTTATCATCTTATAACAACTTGGTGATGGAAAAAGTCTTTAAAACAAACACTTAATAAGTGCTGTGTGCATAATAATACTTACAAATTATTTAAGAAGTAATTATTTTATCTCATTTGGAGAAAAACATTTGCATGATGACCAAATATTATTCATCAACACTGACACGTTGGATTTATTCGCACCCTTCTTGTTTTGGTATTTATATTAATGTTTATTTATTCGCACATTGCTTTACTTTTTATTTTCATCAGCTTTATTTATCATTATTATTTGAAACAATTATTTTATTGCTATTTTCTTTTTTGCTTTCCATTAATTTCCAGATTACCACAAGAAGCAACAATTCACCATCAGTTATTTGAGTTTTAGAGGTTGACGATATTTGTAGGAATATCTGATGTTTTGTTATTGTTCTACAACCGTTATTACCTTTCTCCTTTATATTTTTCTAGCAAAATATGCTAGATATACTTTACCAAAAGATTTTTAAGACAATAAGTTTGTTATTATTTTTATGATTTTAGTCTTATCTTCTACCATTTATCAACAAATTATCATTGAACTGTGATTTGAGTTACAAAACATTGTAAATGTCTTTGCGAATGTTTATAAAACATTGAAACATTAACGAATGTTCTACTAGAACGCTGCATAAACATTAATCATGTAATTCCCTTAAATGATGTTTATTTATTTATGTTCTACGGAAAACTAAAGAAAAACATTAATAATTGTGAGAAGTTTTCAACAGAACAAATAAAAGAAAACTTTGAAAAAAGGAAAAATTAATTTTTTAAAAATTTTATTTGAAAACTTTTCATTTTTCAGCATACAAAATTATGATTGAAAAATGCATTTTTACAGATAAGTGGATACATTTGTTTAAAAATCAATTTAGCAACAGGTACGTTTAAGAAAGAAAAGGAAACTTTTAGATTATACAACTGCAACATGTCCCGATCAACCACACAATGACCAAATTTCCCGAAACCATGAAAATTTTCTCGATTTTTATGTTGTTAAAGTTTCGCTTTGTTTTTAAGTGCACTCATAAGCTTTTCCATTTTCATGGCCTTTCTCATGTCACCACTGATCTTTAATTTTCCTCCTAAGAAGGCATTTGCTGGTTTCAATTGCCCAGAGAGCATGTTGAAGAAATCTTTCGAATCCATTGTAAGTGTCGCATCGGGAGTAAAATCTGGTTTTCCTTTTCCAGCTTTTCCTGGTGCATTCTTTAAATCTATGTACCAAGTGCCGGCTTCTTCACCCAATACTTCAAATTGGAACGTTGCGCCAGTCTTTTCAATGACTTCCGGTGTAATGTGATTCTCCATTTTTTGGAAAATTGTTTCGATTGTTCCACCTTCTGCATTGCCTGATGACGAAGGAGCGTCTTTATCTACAACTGCATCAAGGAAGAAATCCAACATAAGTTGATCCTCATTTTCTGGGAAACAAGCATATTGCTTCATGTCAGTGATTCCAGATTCTTTAAGAATCTTTTCATCAATGTAAAAGTTTCCAGTGCATGTTCTCGGCTCTTTGATAAGAATTGCATAAGCAGCATCGGCCATGATTTCAGATTTTCTTGAGAATTTGTTACTATCGGGACCAGCAAGCATATCCATAGCAGCTGTTTGTATCGCTGTTTGTGGCCAAAGTGCATTCACTCCAATATTTATTGGTTTGAATTCTTCAGCCATTCCTAACACGCACATACTCATTCCATATTTTGCCATTGTATAAGCAACGTGATTGGCGAACCTTAAAATGAAAATTAAAATCCATTCTCAAGGGAAAATTTCTGTTGGAAAACTTACCAATGAGGTTTCATGTTAAGTGGTGGTGAAATATTTAAAATATGTGCATGGTTTGACTTCTTAAGATAAGGTAAACACTCTTTTGATACGAGGAATGTTCCACGAGTGTTTATGTGATGCATCAAATCGTATCGTTTCATTTCAGTGGCAGCTGTAGGCGTTAAACTGATTGCTGATGCATTGTTAACAACAATGTCGATTCCACCGAATTGTGCAACAGCTGATTCAACAGCTGATCTCACTTGAGCTTCGTCACGAACATCCACGACACATGGAAGAGCTTTTCCGCCAGCAGCTTCAATCTCTTTGGCAGCTGTGAAGATAGTCCCGGGAAGTTTTGGCTGCAATTGAGTTAATATCATCAAATTTATTTATACATAAATTATAATGAAAACTTACATGAGGGTCAGCTGTTTTTGCAGCTACAACAATATTTGCACCATCGGCAGCAGCTTTCAATGCAATCGCCTTTCCAATACCTCGTGATGCTCCCGTAATGAACAAGGTTCTTCCGGCTAGTTTTCTAAAAGAAACATCATCTTTTACATTAAATATTTGAAGGATTTTTCATGTTTATGTGTTTTGGATGGAGATTGACGGTAATTGTTGTTTTTAATAAATAATCTTGAGCTACTTGAATTAAAATTTAAGCATAAATTGTTTTTTATCTCAGAACTGAATCAATTTGAGCCACTTAATAAAGTCACACGAAGAAATTTTAATCAGATGTCAAAGTCCACTTTTTTTCAATCATTCTCCTTGAATGAGAAAGTCCAAAATGATAATGAGAATTTAAGCCGATTATTTAACTATTTCATTTGTGAACTGTATTAATTTTAATGAACAATTAAAACTTACCCTGTGTTGATCATTTTTTATTTGTTCAAACTAATAGCAATCTTGAATTAACTTGTTGAAATTGTAAAAACGATTTTATTTGGGCGAGATGAAGATTTCTGCGGACGTAAATTTATCGTAACTCTACAAATATGTGAGAAGGGGAAGACGACTTTGCCTTACTACATTGAATTTAAAAAAACTGTTAAAATTTGTGATGAATTTATGATTTGGACAATTTTGATTGATGAGAATTGTTCACAAATTTCTTTCATTAATATTTGTAAAGAACTAAATTTAGGTCGATACAATTTGCCGGAGAAAAATATTCACCGCATGTTTCTGGAAATTATAAAATGTTAATTGAATATTTTGTAGACTACCGTCGGAAAATTTTAAGAAAATGAAAATGTTTTTTTCTTATGCTTTTATCTTGCGTACGACTACTTACTCACTTCACGTGAATGTTTACATCTTGAGAGAAAACAGTGAAATTTAATGATCTTCAAAATCGAGTAAACAAACAATGTCCAAAAGAAAAAAGGAAGAGAAAAGTCTTGAGATCATCTGACGATGTTTTATGTTCTCAAATCGTTCGTGTGTTCCATCTTTGATACACTAAACATACCAAACAAAATTAAGAAAACAATTTCAACTCTCTATTTCCTTTTCTACCGTTTTGCTTCTTCTGATGAACAACGAATAGATAAACAAATCATTAAATCATTTATCGCCTAGTGAAAAACACGTGTCATTCAATTCTTGAAATGGATACGATGCACCGACTGAATGCAGTTTTCAAACTCTCTCANTTTCATTGTGGTAATTCCAGAAAATTAAATTAGCACATAAATTGAGTTTCAAAGATATTTTCTAAGAGATGGAAATTCTTTCAATTGAGAGAACGTCTATGATTGGGCAGAATATCTGAAAATGGCGACGAAGTAATGAAGAGAAAAAGAAAATTGTTACACCCACATTGACTTGTGAAAGAAGAATATTTTAGGAGTCAGTAGAGTTCTGAACATCGTTTGGTTAACACATTTATTATTGTCGAAACAATTCATACATAAATTTTAATATTTAAAATTACAAATTACAAAATTCTTAGCCAAAAAGTTTTAAATTAAATTTTAATTTTAATTAAACACTGAGTCAAAATTTTATCTGAAATAATTAGAAATTTTGATAGTTTTACAATTTTCAGAGAAGTTCATATTGATAAATTATAGTAACGATGTCGAGTTTTGATTCCGACAATGACTTCATGCATGAGGATTATTATGAAACAAATGGAAATTTTTATTCAGCAAATGGAGTCTATCAAGGTTGGTTTATTCAAATGTAATTAAGTTAATCGGAAAAGGATAATAAAATAAAATTCAAAGGAAAAGTGAAGGAAATGATATAAAATTAATTAAATATACGTGAAAGCTGATCAAGTGACACTTGCCAACATAAATATCAAAATTTATTGTAAATAAATTCAACTGTAAAGTTCTGAAAGTTTTCATCTTCTAGATTTTTAAACGGAAGTGAATATTTTATGAAGTGAAAAGATTATTTCTTTCCAAATTAACTCCAACAAAGTTAATTTTCTACTTACTCACTTCACGTGAATGTTTACATCTTGAGAGAAAACAGTGAAATTTAATGATCTTCAAAATCGAGTAAACAAACAATGTCCAAAAGAAAAAAGGAAGAGAAAAGTCTTGAGATCATCTGACGATGTTTTATGTTCTCAAATCGTTCGTGTGTTCCATCTTTGATACACTAAACATACCAAACAAAATTAAGAAAACAATTTGAACTCTCTCTTTCCTTTTCTACCGTTTTGCTTCTTCTGATGAACAACGAATAGATAAACATATCATTAAATCATTTATCGCCTAGTGAAAAACACGTGTCATTCAATTCCTGAAATGGATACGATGCACCGACTGAATGCAGTTTTCAAACTCTCTCACTCCGATTTCATGTAAACATTTCAAAAAAGGAAACTTTTTAGAAATTCTTGTAAATACGAACTAATTTTTTATAAACGAATCTTTAAAATAATCTTATCTTATCTCAAAAATGCAATAAAACTACGCATTTAATAATAATTATGCACTTAGAGAAATATTTCTCTATAAGCTTTATTTATTTTCACTGCCAATATTAAAATTATTCTACTTTTTCGAGAATCCATCTGAAATTGAATATTAAAGTTCAATGATAAGATTCATAAATCTTTGGCTGAAAGCTGCATGAAGCGAATGTAAATTACAAAAAAGAAAAACTCATAAAGATTAATTGAATCACTTGAGTGTTTTCCTTCCCAGAGTTTCTCTTCCCCATACCGATTGCGGCCAGCCAGTACGTTTTTTATCTTCCGATCCTTGTTGTTGTTGCTGTTCAATTTGACTCTATGAAATTGTAAAAAGAAAAAAATAGTAAATCTTAAGTTGATCAAAACTTGAGACAATATTTCCGTAATAATTATTTGAAGTACTTTAAGTATTTTGAAACAACAGACGAAAATTTGATATCGTGACTAAATATATTTAGTATTGAAACTTCCGACACTTGAACCCCTGGTATTTAATATTCAATCATATCTAAGTGGAAATATTATTTATATTTCTTATTTTCCATTAGCCAACAATTTGGGTGGCGGTGGGAATCTTAAAGCAGTCACCAGGATTCATAAAGAAATTTATTTGATTCAAAAATATTTCTCAAATATGTCGCGACATTACATTTATAAAATCTAAGAAAGATAAAAACGTTTTTATGTTGTGTAATTGAATTCACTTTCATCTACCATCCATTAAACTCTTTTGAAAAGTCATATGAAGTCATGTGAATTTTTATTCCTTCGTATTTCATGGTAAAATGATTTAAAGTCCCGAGTCAAAATGTTTTCAAGTGGTTTTGGCTGCTCACAAACATATTTTGTGATCTTTTCTTCTAACTAATTTCTGGAGAATGTTCTAAAGATTTGTCACAAACATGAATTTTAAAAACTATTTTTATGATATTTTTGAAAACAAAACTGTCAAATGTGTTCCAACAAATGATTGTGGTCTCATCTTAAGGATTTACCGTTTTGTTGAGTGCCACAAAGAGATTCTTCATTCTTCAACGATCCTTTCAACGATGCAAATGATCCTTAGTATCATGTTTCAAATAAACAACTTGTAACAAGGGACCTACATTGTCTCGTCCCTATGACGAAAGAAATCTCAATTTTCAAGAGTTTTTCTCTTCCTAACTTATTTATATCTACGAAGATGATTTTCCGTGAACTTTGAATTAGCCTCCATTAATATCCATCAAACAATTACTGCCTTTGATGCATTAAAAAATCAATTTACCGCTTTATATTTTTAGTGATTAATTTCTGTGATAAAAATACTCTAAAATTGATTACAATTACGCCCACAAAACCAAATATTTCTCTATTTCTTTAAGTTTTGGCAGCCGTCAGATGTTCACAGAAAAAGTGCTACAAAAATATTTTCATTCAAGTTGAACTAAAAATGTTTTTATTCCATTCAATGCTTAGATTTTGCATTCTATTCTCTGTCAACAATTGCCAAAATTGACTTTTTTTTTCACATAATTATATTAATGAGATCCCTTTTAAAGTGTGATACATAATCATAAACAAAATTAAATAAAGTTATTCAATTTAAGGGCAATTACTGAGTTTATTACCGCACTCAAGTGTCAACTATTTAGGGGCTGAACAAACCAATGTTGCTAATGCGCATGGAATTAAAAACAAAGAGCAGACAACAAAAGAGAAAAATCATAAAAATATGTTTTCCAAACCGCACAAAAACCAGAACACTAGCAAGACAAGTGCAGAGATGAGAGGGGGAAAATGCTCTTAATTTAATTGAATTGCGTAAACTCACTTGAATTTCTTTTTTCATTTGTGCACGACGTTCAGCATTTATTTTCCTTGACGATGGCACCAGTTCAGCACGGAAACCGCTGAAAGTATTTTCGCATTCAATTAACTTCAATTACAGAATTCTAATAAAAGAAATTTTTATTCACCTCTTAAAGTTTCCATTTGCTATTGTGGTTTCTTCGCCTTCGAGAACGTTGATCAAGTAACTGATGTATGATGTCGCCAGACGAAGTGTTTTAATCTAATTAAAAGGAACCATTACTAGATATTTATTCAATTAAATATTTTAAAGTGAAATAGATACTTTTGATAACTTTGTATCTGAAGGAACGTTAGGAATATGTTCACGTAAACTGGAATATGCTGAATTTATCGACTGTGTACGTCTTCTCTCTTTCTTGTTGGCTGTCGTTCTTCTCTTCACAACACGCACTACTGGAACACGAATCTCTTCATTTGATGTTACAATAAGATTCAAATTTGATTTACTCGAGATCACATTATTGTTGTAATTAACATTTGATGATGCCACGCTGGGACGATTCGAAGAATAATATTCATCAACTATGTAATCTGATGATAAACATTAAGGAAAAGAAAATTTTCATGAAATTCTCATAAAACTTATTAATAAACTCACCACTCTTATCAAGTTGCGAATAAACTGGATACTGAAATGATGATGTAGGTGAAGAATGATTGATTGAATCGTCGTTTGATGAAAATTTTCTTATATACTCGTAATCGTCATGACTCCCTGAAGATTATTTAAAAGAGAACATAAAACTGATGTGAACGTGGACAATTTGTTTACACTTAAAAGAAACTTCTGATTAGGATCATTTAAGAGCTTCAATCTTCACTTCCTTAAATTTCAATGATCCAAAGGAAATTTTCCTTTTTTAAATGTTTACATGAAATCGGAGTGAGAAAGTTTGAAAACTGCATTCAGTCGGTGCATCGTATCCATTTCAGGAATTGAATGACACGTGTTTTTCACTAGGCGATAAATGATTTAATGATATGTTTATCTATTCGTTGTTCATCAGAAGAAGCAAAACGGTAGAAAAGGAAAGAGAGAGTTCAAATTGTTTTCTTAATTTTGTTTGGTATGTTTAGTGTATCAAAGATGGAACACACGAACGATTTGAGAACATAAAACATCGTCAGATGATCTCAAGACTTTTCTCTTCCTTTTTTCTTTTGGACATTGTTTGTTTACTCGATTTTGAAGATCATTAAATTTCACTGTTTTCTCTCAAGATGTAAACATTCACGTGAAGTGAGTAAGTAGTACGCAAGATAAAAGCATAAGAAAAGAAACATTTTCATTTTCTTAAAATTTTCCGACGGTAGTCTACAAAATATTCAATTAACATTTTATAATTTCCAGAAACATGCGGTGAATATTTTTCTCCG